GTAACAGGCACAAAACGGGTGCAATAGAAACTGCCTTGCTCCTACGAGAGGCATTTGGCATCAATGGCAATATTTAAGGGCGGCTCACCTGGAACACTGTGTCCGGTTCTGGGCACCAAGGTTTGAGAAAGATGCAGGTAAATTAGAAAGGGTCCAGCAGAGGGCAACAGAAACGATCCAGGGTTTGGAAACACTGCCCATGAGGAGAGACTGAGGGAACTGGGCATGTTCAGCCTAGAGAGGAGAAGGCTGAGGGGGGACATGAGATCCCTCTGTAAGTACCTCCAAGGCTGTCACAAAGAGGAAGGCCAAGATCTTTTCTTACTAATGCCAGAATGTAGGACACAGAATAATTCAAGTGACGGCAACCCAGATTCAGGCTGGGCATCAGGAAAAGCTTCCTCACTGTCGGAGCAATACAGCAGTGGAACCAGCTGCCTGGAGAGGTGAGGGGGCTCTCCCACACCAAAGACATTCAGGGAGAACCTGGACAGCACTCTGACTGGGATGGTGTGGCTTGGAGTCCTGCCACAACAGGGGGTTGGACTAGATGGCCTTCATGGCCCCTTCCAACTCTTCTATGATTCTATGATGGGTGAACAAGTTACCCAAGCGCCTAGAGATGCTTTCTTCAGACATGACTGCAAACCATCCAAAACCGGCAGAAGACACCCTTTTTGACCCTGCAAAGCACTTTTCTTGTCCTTAAGCAAAAGGCCATTTAAGGCTGTTTAATTATATTTTAAATGTTAAAGGCCTCACTTAAATTAACCTGGGACAAACTAAAGACGGATCAGGATTGAGTGGTAGATTTCTAGGAGGTCTGCAATAGAACCCCAAGGGTTTCTGTCTTCCAGTCCTATCATAAAAGTGAGTAAGCTTTCAAGGGAGTAAATAAAAACCTTTCCCTTGTGCCAGCTGCTTCTTTCTCAGCCTCAGTGTTCCTCCTCAACAGAATACCAATTCATTGCTTTGGATTAGGTCTTTCTTAAGTTCCGTTGCAAATGTTGAAGTACTGTGTTAGAAACCCCGAACTCTGGCCAGTCAGGTGAATTGTAGATCTCACAGCAATGGTCCATGGGGTACAGGAGACACTGACTCTGCCCCGGGTCATTATTTTGTGTCTGGCTCGCTACCAAAAACTAAAATATATTGGAAAAAAAAACAGATCCTGCAATTGATACACGGTGGAGCCTGCACTGGTCAGTTCCACGCACTGTATGGACAACCCACAACGAACCTCCATTTTCCTTAAGCAAATGACTCCCAGCTGCTGCACTAGGACTGGAGAGACCCCCCTTTTTAGAAGTCACCACTGCGGACTCAAGGTCAGAAGCTGTGCAGTAGTACTCTGCTCTGCTTCTCCGTTAATTCAAAATCCCGTTTGCACATGCAGAACATTTCAAAAGTCCAAAGACTGAGTCAAACTGCACATAGAATTCAATATTGACTACTGATTCAAAATACAAACAAAATGCATAAGGAGAGAGAGAGAGAGAGAGAGAGAGAGAGAGAGAGAGAGAGAGAGAGAGAGAGAGAGAGAGAGATTAAATTGCATAAAAACCAGGACTCTTTGCATTTGAAGTATGACTCTTGTATGAAATACCTCCCTAAAAACCTGCAGGCTTATATTATTTTCCCAAGAACTTCCTACCATCAGCTAACCCTATTGAATCATATCAAGCCCACTTTGGAAAAGGAATTTTTGGCACTGAGCTATTTATTTAAAATCTTGAGATGGATCAAAGCGTTTTTGTCATTCCGAGAGTGGATGGTAAACACAGAACCCTTTAGAAGGCTGATCAACTTCCAAGACTCAAAGCTGTTTCTAACAAAATGCCACCAGGCCTAAACCTTCTGACACATAAATATTTCCTTTCCTTCACTGGCAGATGTTGCAATAAAACCAGGGCTTCCAATTAGAGGGCAGAACCCAAATCGCTAGAAAGCACTTAAATTTATCCTGTGGTTTAAAATTCCATCTCACTCTCCAACTATCATCTCTAACAGGGAAGTCATGGGTGAAAAAACGGTAAGATTTAGCGTTAGCAACCCTAGGAGGGAAAATAAAGGTTAAAACAGGGAAATATTGTGTATGTGTCTTTGTATTTGTAACTGAAAATAATTCAAAACAGTTTCTTTTTTGATGCAAGTGCCGGAGCCTCCGTGGAAGACAGAATGGAATGAAATGGAATGGAAATTCCCTCAGGTGCCTATATTTAGGATCAAAGTCCTTTCTTAACACAGAGAAACAGCCAGTCTCCACGGGACCGTTCTGCACAACCGTCTGGAGTGAACTTTCATTAACCTGGGTTTCCGTGCCAACTTAAACACGCAGAACCTCTCCACTTGAAAGAAGCCATTCAGCCACTCCGTGCTCCAAGATACATGGAAAAACCATTACATGAATAATCAACACAGCGATTAAACAGCGAACCCATACAATGGCAAAACCAGACACAGCCCATAAATAAGGGAACATGTGTGCACATGTGCATGCGCCTTTCCTGGAGCCACTTTCCTTCAGAGCCATCATTAAAGTTCAGTCTCTTTAAGAAGTGCCTAGACGTGGAAAGCTCGCCATCCTTCGCCTCTTGTGAATTATGGCTATGATTTTAAGAATCGGGATGGAGGGGTTTGGGTAACACAAGTACAACTTTTTCTAGACATCTGTGGATGTCTTTTTCATTCCCGCAGCTTCCCACAGCCCAGAACTGAGGTCACCCGGGCAGGGATGTGAAAATGTTTGGCTCTTCTGAATCCTGACTCCTTCAGACCTAGGCGTGCAGCCCTGGTAATCAAGCACACACTTCCCGCAGCCAGCGGCAGAGAAGACTGGGGGCTTGGTGGCCTGGCCTGGCTTTTGTTTCACTTCTTCTCAACACCAAGCTGGGTTTTCAGAGGTTCCCGTGTGAGATATGAACTGCACAGTGGCCTACGTTTCAGCCAGTGCAAGATTTATCGATGCAAAATGCATTTGGAACTGGCTAGGAAAATGCTTGCGCAGACGAGTCACTCAAAATGTCAACTCAGGTAAGAAAACACAGAGGTGCTGGGGAACCTTGATTAGAAGGGTCTGAAAAATCCCATGTGATCAGTACATCGCTACATATGTTGACTGATTTAACTTTTTTGAGTGGTTTTATTGCCATTTTAGTGCTGGTTTTCGGATTGACTGGAAGCGACAGCAAATTGGCAATCTACGGGGCAGGGTGCGCGTGTTCAAAGCAATGACATTGCGAATAGGTTTCTGCCAGTGTCGGGATTCTTTCTTCCCAGGGCGAGAATCCACCATGGGCTTTAAGAATTAAGAACTGTGGGGGAAGCACGAACCTCCATGCTCTGTGCAAGATGGAAAGGATGACAAATGTAAGCATAGGCAGGCGAAAGACAGCAATGCTGGCTGTGAGGAAGAAGAGCCCTTTTCCCCAGCTCTTCTGCTCAAAGGCTTCCAGGAGCAGATTGAACAGCTCAGTAAGAATGCCAGGCAGATTTCGCCCTCAGGCTTATGACCCAAAAGCGACAGCATGAGAGCGAAAAGGAGAGGAGAGAAAGGCGGAAACCAAGCCAACACAGGCTGCTGTCAGTTGAGACGCTGCTCTCAGCAGGCCTGCTCAGCCTTAGCTTGCAGCACAAGCCGTAGATTGAATATCCAGCCATGCCACGTCCAAACCCATGTTTGGACTGAGTTTTCTGCTTTCTCCCATCTGTCCAGCACTCGAGCTTTGTAACAGTTGCCTCCAGAGGCAAAACAACACCTCTAATTGTGCAACAGACGTCATGCCGAACCATAGCAACACTTCCTAAGCCAGGGCTGCTGTCCAGCTTGCATTAAGTTCATGTTTACAAGGCACAGTAGTTAACAAAAAATTATATTGTCGAGGACGGTTGAAATTGCCAGAAATTTTCCAAATGAAGTCCTAGCCGTTTCAGAGGGGCAGGTTTACGGCTCTGGAAGGATGAATCTCTCTCTGCTCCTCTCGTAATGGGCCCTGTCATGCAGTCTTACCTCACCCCTTTCTTCATGTGCCTATCGTTATTTTTTTCAAATGTTCCTATCCCATCTTATATTTCCAAAAAAATCTCAGGATGGTGCATAAAAGAATTAAAAGCACCAGAACTAGGCAACAGTACTTGATTTAAAATACTACACACACACACACACACACACACAATTAAAAAAACTGGGCAGAGAAAAAGCTTTTGGCCTGGCGCTGAAATGAGCAAAGAGCTGGTGCCAGGTGAACCACTTTGGGGAGCCTATTCCACGATCGGGGTGCCACCGCAGAGAAGGCCCTTCTCCTAGTGACAATATTAACAATATTTACTTATTTATCTTATTTACTTATTTGTTAACAATATTTACTTATTTATCTGGCCAGGGCGACTTCTTTTCTTTACTTCTTTTCTTTTATAACATTTCTTTTATAACTTCTTTTATATCTTTTATTTATTTTATATTATTAATTTTAATTTTATATTGTTATTTTTGTATTGTATTGTATTTTATTGTGTTGTAAGCCGCCCTGAGGCTTCGGCAAGGGGCGGCATAGAAATGTTCTAATAATAATAATAATAATAATAATAATAATAATAATAGTGACAGCCCTTCTCACCTCCTTCAAGGAGGGCTCCCGGAGAAGGATCTCCACCAATGAGCTTAATGTCTGGGCAGGAATATATGGGAGGAGACGCTCTGTTGGGGGCCCCAGCTGTTAAGCACTCTATAGGTGTCAACTCCTTAAACCAGGACTTTGGCTGGCAGCCAGTGGAGATGTTATAGGACTGGTGTTATATGATCGCATCTGCTGGTCCCTTTCCATAGCCTGGCTGCTCTTTTCTGCATCAACTGAAGTATCTGGACCATCGTCAAGGGGAACCCCACACAGAGTGTGTTACAAGAGTCCAAACAGGAGGTTACCAGCGCGGGGGTCACTGCTGCCAGGCCGTGTCTATCCAGGTAAGGATGCCGCTGATGAACCAGCCTGAAAGAGTCCTACCTTTGCAGCGGAGTTGGACACGCCATGAGTAACGTTCCGGATAAGGCCGCCGATATTTCCGTATTTTATCAGCCCGGTGACACCTTCTGAAACATCATTGAGCAGGCCCATTGGATTGCCGAGGAAGTCCACCGAGCTCAGGATTTTCGCCGCTTGGCCGATCAGCTCCTGAAACCAGAAAATCGCAAAACCCCATCGTGGAACAGCGAGCACTCCCTCTTGGCTGCCCGCCTGAAATGACGATGCTGGTGACGGAGCAACTCCGATAATAAGGGAAGAGCATCTCATCTGTCTTGTACAGGGAGAGATGAAGCGGTGTAGGGAAGCAACGAAAGTGTCACTGAATCTAGCCTTCTTTTATACCGGATCAGTCCCAGAACAGCCAACCTGTGTCTTACCTGTGTGATAATCTTGGAGGAAGCATCATGGGGGTGAACACACTGTGTCATCTCTGAGAGTGCAGAACATGTCAAATCAGCAAAGCTACCTGGCCATAAAGTGCCTGCCTTGCTATGAACAGACTAGGGGGTGTGTAGAAAATACACACTGTAGGAAAATAACATGTGCGGCACACCGGTACCTCCCACAGAGATCATCTGGCTTTTCACACTTCTGGGGCTTCTACAGCCATGCCACTCACCTCTTGAAAGTGCTTCAGGATGTCACAGATGATGAACTCTTTCGTCTCGTAAGGGTGGACTCTGGTGAAGGGATCCAGGTTGATCACGGCATCTTCAAACCTTATCAGAGGGAAGCCCAGGCTGCTTTTCAGAGCCTAAACCAAAGAGAGCAAATCAACCATCACATGCTCTTCATTCTAGATCTGGCCCTTAGACGAACTCGGCTGTCCATCAGTTCTGCCGAGCTGCTTTCCGGCAAAGGGTGTCCTTCTCGCACCTTCTTTGCTTACACCCTCCTTCCAAGAGAGCTGGACTTCTTGGAAAGTGAGAGAGCATGAAAATGGAAGAAGCCACTGGTTTTTAAGCTTCTCACCTCTTGGCTAAATGCCACCAGAGGCTGCCCTTTATTTGCTGTTCCGTCGGTTAAAAACAGAAGGCACCCAAAAGGACATCTTGCAAATTTCCTTTCCCCTCCCGGAGCCGTGCGTGCAGGTGTGCACAAGGACAGGCAGATGCTCCTCCATGTCTCCCACAACCTCTCTTGCCACGCTCCTTGAGAGACAGGCAGAAGACCAGGAACACTCCAGGGGGCCTCAGGATCGAAACGGGAGCAATGGGAATATGCCCGTTTTTGCACAGATCTTTTCCTTCTAGCCATTCCAGGCCATTTTGCATTTGCTTTCCCTGCTATTCCGGAGTGCCTGACTTGGATCTTAGACGGGAATGAAGGCCCACGGCATAGGACTGCTGAGGGAGGGATTAGCAAACACTGGAGACAAAGCAAGAATGAGCTCTCCTGCGTGGGTGTCTAACATGGACCTCACAGGAGTCTATTTGTATGATTTCATGGTCCCAGAGGCCATCCGTAGGGATGAATGGGCTCCACTTGAGAGGTGTTTCCCTCTGAATTCCTATGGTTCTGAGCTGGGCTAAGCTGGACTTCACTGGATTACAATCCAGCAACTAAAAATCAAGATGATCAGATGAAGGTCATGCTGGCTTTACTTTCAGACAATGAGGGGCTGACATCAAAGTGGGAGGACAGAGGGTCTCAGGCTGAACGTCTGGCAATTCTGGTTAAGAAGGTCTCCAGTCGCTAGAAAAGAGGAGATTCTCGACTCCGGAAGGGAGGAGCAAAGCAACGGGGCAAAACAATTTGTGGCAAAAAGAGCAGCGACTTTCACCCCAACAAAGGTCCAGCATCTGGTTACATGACCTGCTCCGCATCTCCTGATGCTCAAAGGGCCAGTCAGACCTGGCTGGTCATCTTAAAGACCTCATTTAAAGGGTACAGCAAAGCAACATCGATCCTGCTGCAAGCTTCCATTTCAGAATATATCGCAGTCCCTAAATCTCAGTGGGTGAGTCTTCCAGACAGTGAGGAGGGATAGCATCCTTCGAAACAAGGATTCTGAATGGATTCTTTAGTTTTCCAGGTTGGGGGAAGCCTCAGCACACTATGCAGCTCCTTGAATTCTGGGCATTCTGGCCGACACAATTCACACCAACAGCCTCAAGGGTGATAAAACGCTGACAAAAGGAATCCATTGCCTGTCATGGGATTCACTAGGGCCACTGAAAAGCGAAGGATCTCTGAAGCCTTACCTTGAGCTCCACAGGGAGGCTGCTGGAAGTGAAGACACTCAGCTTTATCTGCGGAAGGCTAATTTTGAGGTTTTCAAAGTAATATCGCTTCTGGGCTCCACCTTGATCAACGGGTGCTTCATGAAGATTTTCACTGTAGTTTTCAACCTCTGCAGCCAACGGCATAACACTGGCATTATTAACAGTGGAAAACAGTCCCTGGGATGGGTAAATCTCTACCACTGTCATTGAAAAGGAGACTTGACAAGGGAAGGCTGACAAGAAAACTGTTTCTTTCGAAAGAGGAATTCTGGATCCTAACTTTCTCCATGCTTGATATATATTCAACTTTGGACTTCAGTGCACCCACAGAAGGTGTTTGTTGCAAAACTGGAGCTTCTTCACATAATCTGCCAAAGAGCGTGCTCAGCACTGTCTCTTTTAGAATCACAGTGCGGAACATTTTATGCAAGCTTTTGCAATCAGATTGGCAAAGTGCTTCCACTAGCAATCGCTTAATAGAAAATTCAAAATGGATTTTCTCAAGAATAGACTGAAAAAAGCAGATGTGGCATTTGGAACTTAAGGCTTTGCATCCGAACAATGAAATATTTCCCTAAGTTTTATTATTTTTTTTAATTTACAAACTTCCCAGATCCAACTGGCAATCTGAGAATCGACATGCACATGGTGGGCATGTCGTGAGCGGAGCCGGCTGGTGCCGGAGGTCAGACTAGATGGCCCGGGAGACCCCTTCTGACTCGCTCGGTTTCCATGTCTATGTTTCTAACTGCAGACCTGACAACATACCTGATTCGGACAGATCATAGCCAAAGAAACTCAGTAGTTGAAAGAACAGCTTCTCCTCAATTTGGACCGTGAACTTGCTAGCTGTGATCATCAGATGCTGGAATTAAGGGATATTGTTAGCCCGCTACCTATGTACAAAGCACTTTGCAAGATAGTACCAAGATCACATGAAGGGCTCATAATCTAAATGGACTCCCAGAAAGATGCAAGCAAAAGATCTATGACTTAATTTTAAACTGAGGCTCTGAATTTCAGCCTCTCGGGGCATCCACTCAGTGTTTCAGATTGAATATACAGCCAGCAGGAGCTTTTAGTCCCACATCCTTACTCCACAAGTCCGGCTTTTGATTGATATACATACAGAGCTTCCCCTGCACCCCTTGGCTCAGATGATCTACTCACTAGTCGAAATACTTGGAGTGCAACCTATTTCCCCCATGGCAAAGGGGCAGAACCCTCTGAACTGGGATTTTCGCCACCGTGCCTTGCACTGGGCGTTTTATCTAGACGGCAGTTTCCACCCCTCGAGATTCAGCACTAGAAAAGGAGGATGGGATGCCAGGTGGAACTGGCATTGCAAGTACACCCCCTGCCCCTGCCTGGGCCCAGGTGAGACCCTGGGGATGGGATGGAGGCAGGTGGAATGGCTCTTTCCATGCTGGATGCAAAGGGCGAGGACAACAGCCCAGCCCTTGAGACCTCCGGCCTCCGAGATGATGGCAGGAAGGCACAGGGTTACGACTTTAGATAGAAGAAAATTTTACCATGCCCAGCTTGGGATGTGTAAGGCAGGAAGCTTAGTTCTACTTCTGGCTTTCCATACCTGGCACCTAGAATTATGTCCCTCATGCATTTTGTGCAAGGCATTATGGACTTTGCGTACCTCGCCCAAAGACTCTGCGAATGCTCCTGAGCATTTGATCTCAGCTCGGCTTGTTTCACTTCCTGGCCCAGGCTGAGTGTGGGAAAGGAGTCTAGCAAGAGTCAGAGAGCTGAATTCCAGCCTGACCTTCACATCCGTACTCCCAACAACCCCCAGGCAGAGTCGCATGACTTTGTTCCCTGCCTAAACATGCACAGGATCGTGCCCTTAGCCATTTATATAGCACACTCAGAGCTCAAAGCATTTATCATCCATTATTGGTCTGTAGCATCTACAACCACCATGGTCAGTGTTGCCATAGAATCACAGAATTGGAATCATAGAGTTGGAAGGGGACAGAGGGGCATTTGGGTCCAATCTGCCGCTCTTGCAGGACGCCCAGTTAAACTACTCCCCTCAGATGGGTGTCAAGAGCATCCAGAGTGCCTCCAGTGCAGGAGAGTCCACCACCTCCCTGGGTCATGGGTTCCTTTGTCGTGCTGCTGTAACAGTCAGCAAGCTTTTCCTGATGTCCAGCTGGAACCTGCCTTGCTGTCACCTGAACCCATTACTCTGTGTCTTGACTCTAGGATGACTGAGAAGAGATCCTGGCCTTCCCTTCTGTGGCAGCCTTTCGAGTTCTTGTAGAGTGCTATCACATCTCCCTTTCGTCTTCTCTTCTTGAAGCAAACCTGCCCAGTTCCGTCAATCTCTCCTCATGGGGCTTTGCTTTCAGTCCCTGGACCATCCTTTCTGCCCTCCTCTGAACCCTTCCCAGCTTGTCTGCACCTTTCTTCAACTGTGGTGCCCAGAACAGGACCCAGGACTTCAGATGAGGCCAAAGCATTTCTGAGTAGAGGGAAGCTAGAACTTTGCATGATTGGGAGATGACCCTGATGCTGGGAACAATTGGTGGCAAAAGAAGAAGGGGGCGGCAGAGGTTGAGGTGGCTGGATGGAGTCAGTGCGGCAGTGGGTGTGGGCTTGGGTGGACTCTGGGGGATGGTGTAAGACAGGAGAGCTGCGAGGAACGTTGTCCATGGGGTCGGGCATGACTCTGCGACTGAACAACAACAAGGTAGCTTTTGTCCTTTCTGCAGCCACTTTGCATGGTTGACTCACATTCGGCTTGTGCTCTACAACATTTCCAAGATCCTTCATGGCACTGTTGGTGTGATAACAGAGGCTTCAAAAGATGTTTCCACATGAAAACTTTCCATATGAATTCAAGGCGGAGGCAAGGAGGGATCCAGGAATGCCCTGATTTATACTGCAGCCTCTCATGCCCTGCCCAACCCGGTCTTACTTGTGCCTTGATTTCATCAGGGATCTGTCAGCAAACAGTGTATTACTCACAGCCATCATTAGCCTGGATCCTAAATATGATGGTGTGATAGTCAAGAGTTGAGTCTGGGGAGGTTTTCAGTCTTTGCAGGACTGAAAGCTACCACATCAAGCCTTCCTCCTTGCCTTCTAATGTCTCGGACAAAGACAGATGCACAGCCAAGGATTCAAGGACTCTTCTAATCAAACAGCATTTTAAAGTATTTTAAAGGCTTCAATTAATTATTGAAACTATAAGAAAAAGTAATACAAAAGCTCAGGCTAACTCTTCAGAATCAGTTGTTAATGGTTGTACTATACTGATATTAAATCACACACCCACCTACCCACCCACCCATGTTGCTCACAAGGTTATGCAAATACATGCCAAAAAAAAAAAGAGGGGAGGTTTAATGTGCTTGGACTCTGTGCATACATGTGGATACGGACTTCAGTGGGGCTAGAAAGCAAATCAGTCAGTGCTTTCATAGGAGACACTGTAATGCAATTCGAAGGATGGGCTAACAGTCACACAGAAAGCAGACCCTAGACTTCCTAAAACCCGTGAAAGAGCCTGATGGCAGGTTCAACTCTTATCCAAGGGAGATGCAACCAAGCGGATAGCTGCAACCCGGCATTCCGGCTCTGCCTTCCTCCAGGATACTCTCAGTTCCAAGGAGCTCAGATAGCCCATTCCGCTCTCCCCACCCCGGTCCGCCATTTTTCTTTCCATCCAGCTCTTGAAATTCCACAGCTAACGGCCACGCTCTGCTTCCTTAGGCCAAGTGCTGCCAATTCCCTTCGGTTCTGGCATTTGCACATGTTCCAGGGGCTTATTTCTGCACTTCTGCAAAGCTTTGAGCAAGCAGACGCCTCCCCCTCTTGTTCCGCCGTGGCCCGTTTTGGATCCAGCGGTCAGCCCCTGAGTTCACTGTTAGAGGGGGCGGCGTTAGAAAGATACCCAGAGGTTAGTGCTGCGGGGTTTTGTAGCTTCGGTGGGCAGAATGGCATTCGGTTGCTGGATTACCTTGTATATATCAGTTAAAGGGCTCTTACTGGGGAATTTCACGGCATTCAACTGCAGGGCGGGAGCCGTCTCCGCGATTTCATTTTCAGCTGTTACGGGCGTCACAAAGAGCACGAAAGGCTGTGTGGTGCGAAGGAGCTGGTTGTCCACCTGAGCAGAAAGCAAGAGAGAGGGCAAGTCTTGAGGGGGGCCCAAGCTGGCGGGGGACAGTTGCTGGCCAAATGCTTTAGTGCCCATCTCAAAATGGGAGTGCCGTCTTAGAGACAAAAGCAAGATACCTGTACATCTAGGCTGAGTAACAGGCTCAAGAAAAACCTGCCGAATGCATATCCCAGTAACCATCTGTGGCCAAAATTACTTCAGTGGAAGCTAATTTGCACTACTATTTCCTCTTCATAGCTTCAAAGCATGGGAATTGGGATGTTACAAATGAGAAATGCTGCCAGGAATGTTTTTTCACCAAAATGAATTCGCCCCAATTGACAGCTCATTGTCTGGTTACCTGAACATCCTGTACGCTAAGTTCAAGCATCTGACTTGTGGACAGCTGTGTGAAATGGAGGTGAATGCCAGTAAAACTTGCAAATATCAGCTCTTCCGGGGCTTTGTTCACTAACGACAAACCTACGCCACCTTCTAATTTCAACTGGACCTGTGAATGGAACAGAAAATCGATCCAAAACCATTTGTATCAACACGGAAAGCACTGATTTGCTCAAGCCCTCGGCTGAGACCCAGTGGGAGATAATTAAGCTGATCTGCATATCCTGCTGTGCTAACAAAGGCGAAGCAACACAACCATCCCCACTCAAGGTGGAGCACGGGCTGCACGTGGGTTTCCGTGTTGTGTGACCCCAGCCAGGCGAACTGATCACGGCTTGCTGATTAGGAGCTACTCCCTGAAGGGAACCCACGCCTTGTTGCTGGGCCGCGAGCTGCCCAAACTAGGTTTCTGATTCTGCGGGCCTCTGCCACCTGCTGCTGAATTTATCCTGGGAATCCTCCGAACACTGGTATCTTCATTTCACCAGGGAGTTCCCTGAAGTCCTGCCCTCACCAGGCCTGCAAAGCAAAACTCCTGAAGCGCAGCAGGAGTTGGGTTTGCTCTGAAATTCACAGCAGCCGGGGGTAGCGTGAAAGCTCCCAAGGGTGAGCGGGTCCTACGGCCGAGCCTGTTGGGAACCACAACAAAAAGCTGTGCCCAGCCAGTGCGCTGACTCACTTCCAGCTCTTCCTCTGTGTCAGGATTCCTCAGCTTCCGCAGGTCTTGTTCCAACTCATCCCCTTCGTAGGAGAAACGGTCGTTTCTGCGTTGGTTGAAGTCTGTTATCTAATAAGGAACGCACTGTTAGGATTCCTCTCCCCTGGCCATCCAGTTTAATTCACAATTCTCAAGCGACCCAAAGGTACAAAGCCACAGGAAGAGCTTTGTATCTTCCCAACGAAAGCAATCAGTCCAGCTGATGCCACAAAAGCCTTTGTTCTACACAGTGTTACAGATACAGACGAGTAAGCCCGGAAGCTGTCCTCTCTCTCTGAACGATCTCAGCTCACGGGGTGCTGTTCACCCTCCTGCGCTGCCCCTCTATGGGTGGGTCACTTCGACGTCTCTCCCTGTGTCGCTCAACCAATCTGGACTCTAACTGCCCCACTCTGCACGAGTGTCTGTGGGAACGAGCATCCTCGTCGAGGCCAACTCCTGCAACCCCCCAGCTCTGTTCTCCAGGTGCTGCCATCGTTTCCCCAGCAACCTCCAGACTGGCCTCTGCTTGCGCTGCAGTTTTGTCCCCCTCCTGAATCCCCCCATCTGCTGAACGGTCATCCCCATGGACTGAGCTTTCGGGGAGGGCTGCTTGTTCCGCTGGCACTAGATACGCATCCTCCTCTCAGCCCTCTGGTTCTCACGGGGAGTTTCTTTCTCTTGTGTGCGCACTAAGGACTCTCCTGAGTCAGCGCGCACGACACTAACCTGGGAACTGACACATAGGTATTATATGGACACATATATTATAAAATACCCAATGTCTGTTTGGTTTCTGGCTACCTTCGTGTAAACCTGCACACAGACACACATGCGCATCAGAGAAACACGCATGCGCATTCAGAGAAACCTCATTATCTCTGAATCCTTGGTGTACACAGGAAAAATCCTCCTCCTTGGTTTGCCTTGCGAGCTCTGGCTGCCCCCCCCCCCCCCGTGCCTTCAAATGTCTCATTCATTTTATGTCTGTTGTGGGGGGCATCCTTGCAAACACAGGATTTACAGATGATGGTGGCGAGCCATCTTGAGGGAGAGAGTCTTTGGCGATTGGGTGGTATAAAATGAAATAAATGAATAAATCTCTTTTGGGGGGGCAGTGGAAATGCATGATAATGAATTATAGATCGATCATGTATTGCTTCTCTATTATAAAGGCATTGAAGTATGTTAGTAAAATCACAAGGAAGAGCTCCATCACCTGCAGGACCCTTGTTGGCCCATCTGGAATGACCCGGACTGCCAAGATTCCAGAGCCAGGCCGCATCTTCTGATTGATGAACTGCTGTTCTGGCGGAACGGGGCCCAGCAAGGCCGTATCAGGGCCAAGAACAACCTCAGCTCCGTCCTGCAGTCCTTTCACGCCTCCCTTTGCCTGGAAGGAGAAAACCAAACAGAAGGTGACTAAAAGCTTGGGGCCTCAAAGGCTGGGATTGGCAATACAGGAGGGACCCCCAGCAGCCTTGAAAGGTAGCTGCACGGCCTCTATTCAGCATCTCCAGTGGAAAAAAGTCCACCACCTCAAAACACTCCTTTATACTTCCAGTCAGGAATTATCATTACAACATTTCTTCTGACACTGACCTGGAAACTGCCTCCGGGTAATTTTTACTCTTGTAAAGCTCCTCAAGTCCTGCTCTCTAGGGCAGAGCTTCAAACTCACATATTTAAGCTGCCTCAATAACATTTCTATTCTGTTTTTGTCTATTTTATTTTCTGGACAAATGGACTTACAGATGGATCCAGTGCACTGCTAACTTTGAAGTCAGTCCCACTAAACGCCAGGGGTTTACCTGGAAGTAAGTGTGCACAGGACTCCGGTCTTAAAATATTAAACAATCGGGGAAGAAGGGAGAGAGGTCCCAGCTACAGAGCACAGTTTTATTAACAAACGTACGTTACTGATAAGTTAACTCTGCAAAAGACCTTCAAGGATTTGCAGGGAATTAGAGGGGAAGGTGGGGAGAGTCGGGACAAACAGAGGAATCACAAATGTTGACAACATCTCTTTAATAAAGAATTCTAAAGAGTTCATTGGGTATAGTATAGCTGACAAATTCATTCCAGATGTACACCTCAGAGTAGACAGTCTTTGATCAAAATCACCCACCCTTTCTGCGGGGAAGAAGGCTAAATCAGTCCAAAACTGATTCTTATGAACGTGCTTTGTACGTAAACTGTCTTTGAAAATCCTTTTTCTTATGAAAAGGCAACTCAACATAATAAATATGAACTTTTCAGCTCATTTTTAAGCTGTCTGTTGCAGCAAGCAACAAAGATAACACAAGAATGGTTTTGAACAGCTTTCTGCAAAGATCAACTGGATATACAAAATGAGCAAAATAAGCAGACCTTAAATCATTCCTGAAAGAAAATTCCAGAAGGTTACCTGGATGTCTGTACCTGTCCCAGCCTGACCTTCCTTAGAGGATTTGCATGGGAAGGGGCAGAAGCGGTTAGAGTCTTTTCTTTTATAGGCCCTATTTGCAAGCGGCTCTTCTTGCAGGAGCTCAGAGAGCATCATGGGTTGAGTTACGCTCAGGTGGGAGGGTTCGAGGCCACCTTGCGCGCTTCAAAGCTACTCTAGGAGGGAAAGGTATCTCCCAGCTCCCTACACTGACCCAGTTCACACATGACGCTAAACCATCCTTGGGACAGTGTGAACACTCTGCAAAGACGGGGCCTGGATTCCCAGCCAGGCAGTTCAGGTTTCGAACGTGAGATAAATGGGGCTGAACGGGAGGAGCCGAAAAGTCAAGGGGAACAAGCGAGGCTACTCATGTTGTGGCTGGGAGCCAAACTGCGCTGGCCATGGCGGAGAAATGCTGCAGAACAAGCAAGAGGGTCAACGAGCGGCTGTTGCAACCGAGTGAGGCAACACCAGGCCGAACGGGCACCCCGGCCATGTAAAGTCAGACATTCCGGCTGTCCGGCCACAAGCTGTACCAGCCACCCCGAGGGCAGAATCCAGACGCCGGGAAAGGGGAGGGAGGAGGGGGCCCTTCCAGGATGGAATCAACTCTTCACGTGGGCAGAAGCTATGCCCACAGATCGGAGGGATCAGTTCTTTTATGAGGCAATTCGTTCATAGCTCTCCTAGAAAATGCAAAGCCCATTTAAGCGCCAATAAAATACTATTTCCCAAGCTCTTCATTTTGATCAGCTGGAAAGGAAGAAGAGGGGACAGATGTGCTCACGACGTGAGTACAGGGCAAAGGATGGAAGTCACGGTGTGCCTTCTCCTTCCACACAGCAGCTGGACTCGAGCTGAGTTTGGCTGCGCTTTTAAGGTGGCGCAGCCTAGTGTTATATCCTAACGGGGAAGTGGCTTCTAAGCTAGCCAATCCCAAACCAGGGTTCAAAAGCTTGCCGGCTTAAATAACCATTCTTGTTCTGGATTAGGATTGCCTCTTCAGACTTGATGCTAAGGGGAGATTCCTTGAAAGTGAAACAAAATTTTGCAAAGGATCTCCTCCTGCTTTGTTCCGCTGGAACCTTTGCCGCTCAGATCTTATCCACACGGCATTGTGTGTGAACACAGGCATTACAGGGCTGGTTCCAGGCTAACAGAAAATGAACTGGGATTAAAAAGCCTTACCTTTGAGCTACAGATAGTGCAATAGTTCTACCACCCCTCCAGAACCTGCCTCTGCCCTGGCAGAAACGCATGGGAAAGTGCACAATTAATTCTTAAAACCCCTTAAGGTAGCAAACAGCCTGAGATACAGTTTAAAGGGCTCTCTGAACATCCTTGCGTTGAATTGTTCACCCAGCAGCCATCCCAAGGAACACACGCGAGAACAGCAGTGCCAACCTGTACCACCAGTCCATGCATGCCGCAGACGAGCTTCCCATCCCGGAAACTCCAGGTCTGTGTGGTGCTACGTCGTCTGTCTGGCTTTCTCAGCATCAGTGGCTCATACCTAAAAAGGAAGAGAGCCTGTTTCCGGGCCTGTGTTTCGCCACTTTCCTCCATTTCTGGAGATCTGTTCATATTTGCTTATTCTGTTTTCTCTTCACCCACAGCCCACCCCTATGTGCTAAACTGAAAACAGATTGGAGCGACTGTAGAAATGATAATGTAAAAACTGTAGTAAGCAAGCGCTATTGAACAAAGACAAAACCCACTCTAGCTCACGTACAAAATTGCACTGTTTTTTTGCAAAACGAAATAAGATGAAACGAAATGAAACGAGATGAAGTGAAATGGGACAGGGTGAAACGCGGCAAAACGAAACGGGATGGGACGGGACGGGACTGGACAAGACAAAACACTGATGTCTGTTCACAGAACCAGATACTGTCAACCAAATGCCTCACTCCCGGATTTCCTATCAGGAAGCTATGGCTTTTCACAGCAAAGGATCAATTCAAGGCTGTCGGCTCTCTGGTCCAAGGATGGACCGGTTATGCCAGCTGGAACCTTTGCAGCTCAGATCTATGCTGAGGGCATCAGTTGCTGGCACCAGCACTAATTCCCAGAGTCTCTGCCAGAAGCCAGACTAAAAACACAGTTGGACAGAGTTAGTTGAATGTCTGTCGGAAAGAAAATTTGAAAAACGGGGCGGCAGGCATGGAACACTCGGCGTAAGATCTTAGCATCCTGTAGCACTCCCGAGGGGAGATGTGGGTGCCTGGAACTCTGAACAGGTCAGCTTCTGCTAGGAAGCGAGGATACGCTGCAACAGTTTACTGCAGGTCCCACTTCTGTGGCTCTGTTCTCAGAACCCCTTCAAAAAGACCAAGCAACCAAGGAAAAAACCAAAACTGCACTTTGAGAGTTTCAGCAGTAGCTTTAAAAATTGGTGCATAACATTCGTGTGGACAATGATCTGACCCACACAGCACGTTGTGCCAGAAGCCCACAGGGGCACCTCTGGCAGGTGAACCCAGGCAGCAGGGGTTGCTTCAGATAACGCAAAAACAAGCCGTGGGTTATTTGAAGGTTGTCTGTCTCCTGCCAGCTAGGTTCTCATGACACGGGAGGCTGGGTGCTTGCGGGTGCTGGGCAAACATTCCACCTCCACATGCCTGGCACAAACTAACAGCCTTTGCAGGTAAATTAAACCACGATGAACTGCTGGGTTGTGCGAACCAAGCAACTAATGTGCTGAGCGGAGTTATTCTGCTTTCTACAGCTTAGATGCACAACCCCCATTTTCTGCCAAAGTGAAAGGATGAAAGAGATTACATACAATATTTGGCAAATGCAAAAAAAGGCAGTAATTTCATACGTGCTTTTAAGTTCGTTTATTTTCAGTCTTACATGAATAAGGTATGTTTAAGCGTTGGGCTGAGAGCCGAGACTGGCACTGGGGAAGCGAAGGCATCGTTGAGCTGCAAATCAGCACAAAACCAAGCTGGATGCCTGGAGCTTCAAAGCCGCTGATGACGATTAAAAGCTGGCTCAGGTGCAACTGTGAACCAGGGTTTGCTGCGATGGAGCCAGAGCTTCGAGGATCCTCAGACCTGCTTTGATCTCGAGGCTGACCACAAAGCAGGGGGGAATGAACCCACGAATGGCTCAAACTTCCACCTGAACAAGACCTAGCTTGGAACGCATCCAAACTTTAAAAGTGGCTTGAGAAGGAAACGTCTTCCTTTTGTTAATTTTTGTGATAATTACCCTCCTGCTTGCTTCTGTTTTTACCTACTTGGACACCTAGATCTTCTCACGAGCCTCTTCTTTATGCCCCGCTCCCTTGCCAGCACGTGACGGGAGCAGGGCCCGCTGTGCCACCTCCCTGCCTTTGGAGGCCCCGTGGCAGAACAACACACCTGGCTCAGGCCCACTGTCAGGTGGTGGCCAAGTGGTGACCTTCTTGCATCAGGTGAGGCCTGCTAGCTGCTTGTGCCACAACCGTTGTGCTCCGGACTTCGGTTGTTTTTAAGAACTGGAGGGATAGCTGTGCTGCTCTGTTCTTTTGTATTGTATTTGTAGCATTTGCAGGGGCCAAAACAACTACTGCGTGTAAAACACTGTAAACTCCCTGGCAATATATGCCACATGCTGAATAAAGAAATTTAAGCTGATGGCCATTTTGGGGGACTGATTTCTTATGTGCCTTGAGAACCTGTGGAAAAGCCGGGTGCAGAAAGCAAGGCAGGCACCGAGGGCCGCCTACCTGTTATCTGTGACTGCAGCAAGGCCGGCAATGTCCAGGATCATGGAGGATTCTGTGGCCCAAGGAGGGGAGGACTTATTCGGGTGGCGAGGGACTGCGGAGCCTTCGTGGCAAAGCATGCCTGTGCCAGTCATTCGCCACAGCTGAGAACGCTTCCCGGGCTCCTGCGAAGAAACCGCGTCAAGGATCGTGGGCAGACCAAGGCATGCGAGGTTGCGATGAAAGCGATGAAAGCGACAGAGAGAGATTCAGGAAGGACAAGTGCCACGTCCTCCCTCAGGGAAAGAGAAACCAAAGGCATCGATACAACAGACCTGCACATGAAAAAGACCTCGGAGTAATTGTGGACAACAGGCTAAATATGAGCCAACAATGCGGTGCAGTAGCCAAAGGGGCAAATGCTATTTTGGGATGCATTAACAGAAGTATCGCTTCCAAATCATGAGAAGTGGTATTCCTCTATACTCCGCTTTAGTCAGACCTCACCCGGAATCCTGTGCTCATTTCTGGGCAGCAAGACTGAAGATTCAGAAAATTTAGAAAGGGTCCGGCGGAGGGCAACAAAGATGATCCAGGGTTTGGAAGCACTGCCCCGTGAGGAGAGACTGAGAGAACTGGGCATGAAAAGGGAAGAGCCTGAGGGGGGACAGTTCTGGCACAACACCAAACAGTCCGACCTTACAAAACTTCAAGGAGCTTCAGATTCTTGCACCTCCTCATTCTCCTCTCAAGTGTAACGGTTCATTCCATATTCCTGGTTGCAGGAATATGGAGCTGGACAACATGACTTAACCTTAGTTTCCAATCCTGGTTTGTAGGGCAAGAGAAAAACCTAGTTTGAAGGTTTCAGCAAGCTACGGTTTGTCTTGAACCAGGAAGGAGGAAGTTGCTGCATGTGAGGAGGAGGTGGAGGGAGCACTTGAGCTTCCTTGAGGAACTCTCCCGCAATGTGAAACCATCTCTGATTCAGCCCAGCCATATATATTTGCAGTTTCCCAAATGATTATGAAGAATTACGAGGCAACTGAAACCACAATTACCAAAAGGCAGGTAAGAAAACCGAACTGGCTGCTACAGTGCCTTGCCTTGAAGTTCTTAGCAAACAGACTTTGCCATGTTGACATATATGCAGTGAGTTAGCAAAGTATCAAAGGTGGGACATCACGTGAAACAATGCCGGTCTCGCTTTTCCTTTATAATGAAGACGTCTCTCCCCAAACCTGTTTAGAGTTCCATACCTTTTTCTTTAATATGACTCTCTGTGTCTTCAAACAAACATCCAGGACAAGCTCCGCACAATCGACCTCCTTAGTTGAAGCCACGGGTCTTCCAGTGTCTTCCTGAAGGCTAGAATTCCAAGGAAACCCACTGGGTATTTTGAGAAATCTCCTACTCTCAGAAGCACACAAGTTACAGGATGCCTGACTGGCCTGAATGGAAAGGCAAATTTTCGGAGAAAGCAAAGGGGAATACAGAGGCCAACAGGCTCCCTGCCTCAGAGGGAGGGAAGTCTCTAGCCCTTTTAGTATGTTTTTCCCCACCAGCAGGGAGATAATCCATTTTGGATGGATTCTGGTGGGTGATGCGACCTGCAGAACTTCAGAGCTAACAGTCTTGTTATACCTTGCCGGGTACATAAGCAAGGAGAGACCCCTCAGAAGACAGAACCAAAGCTGCCCTAGGATGGAGCTATTCTATTTATAGCCTGCCTTTTTTCCTCCCAAGGAACTCAAGGCAGCTTACATAATTCTCTTCCTCCATTCAGTTTTAGCCTCACAACCACCCTGCGAGGTAGGTTGGACTGAGAGTGGCTGCCTGGCCCGAAGCCCGGGAGCTTCCTGGCTGGGTGGGGGCAAGAACACAGATCCAGACTCCCAGTCCTGCACACGTAACCACTACACCAAACGCGACAGACCCTCCCACCTGTTAAAAGTGTTTGTGAGTGGTGGTTGTCTTTTTTGCATGTTCCGTTCCAGTGGGTGGCCCGCGCTTTTATAATATGAAAAAGCTCCCTGGGCTGCAGACCTGTGCCCAGGCTTGTGGAGAAATAAACCCTGAGGAATAAAATGGGATTTATTTCTGGGGAAGCATGCGCAGGGTTGGGTCACTGTGTTCATGCAGCTCCCTGGGGGCCCAGCAGAGCGTTGCATGCTGGCTCCCCATAAAAGCAGAACAAAAAAAGATGGAGCCCATGTCGGGAGGCACTTAAACCAAGCAGGAGGAGCGATGGAATAGAAATGTTACAAACAAGTAACTGCCAATGATGGGCAGGTCTCCTCTTCCGCGGGACCCGGCCCCACGTTCCCAGCAGACCGCGCAAGCAAGACGTTACCCCGAGAAAGTGTACGTCGCCGCGATATAAATGAAGTTCTCGTAGTAGAGCTGCTTGCTCTCCTGGAAGTTATTCATGCTGCAAGTAACTTCGGAGGAGCCAGCCCCTTTCACTGTCAGCGTTATGAAGGGCCCCAGCGTGGGCTCATCCCAGGCGTAATCTAAAGAAGTCCCCGCCTTGACTTCGGTGCTGAGCCGTGGTTCCGTAACGCCATGCTGCGTGAACACAACCGGGACCTACGGTAAGAGCACAGGAAAGGTGTGAACAGTTTGCGGCGAACGCTGGATTCCTCCGGCTTCACAGACTAGCAGAGGGGACCCTAAAGGAACCTGGCACGCGGGCAAGATTTAAGCCCAGGTCTCGGCAGTCCACCCCGACCGTTGGTTCTCGCGTGTCCATCAGGGGCCTGCAAGAGTCTTTTACCTTGGAGAAGTTGTCTATGCGGAACGTCGGTGGCAACTGATCGGTATTGCTGAATGAGACACGGAATGTGGCTCCCTTGAGAGTGATCTCGACTCGCAAGAAGTAGCATTTCCCAAAGGTGTCCCTGCAGAACATGAAACAGGAACCGCCGGGGGTCAAAAACTGGGAGAGCTTCTCATTGTAACAGTTCTTCACAAAGTCGGGGTCAGGATTTTCAGCAGTCCGCAAGCACAGCCAGCCAATGACACCTTGAAAGCTGATGGGTGCAATATGCAATATTTCCACTTTGACGCCTGCTGCCTTGTAAAATTAACTTCGAAACAGGGAGACTAGATCGGTCTGGTGTTAATTTTGCTGCTTCATTTTCAGCACTCGGGGTTTGGCAGACTGCCCATGATTTTTGCAGGGAGGAAAACAATCCTAAAACCAATTCAGCAGGAGGAAATACATGTACTCAGCTCTTGCCCCCCCCAGTGGGCAGGGTGCTTGGGCTTCGAAGGTAGAGATGTTCACCCCGTTAAAATGCAATTTAAAGATTGTGTTTCTCCCAGCTTCCACTGAGGAGATGCGCCGAGACAATACTTTCAGGTAAAGCTTTGCTGGGGACAATGAGAAGAAATGGAATCAGCCCCCCTCTGAGAAACGATAAAGCAGAACAAAGGTGGACTTCAGGAAGAAAAGTGGCATTGCTTGGTGCCTCAAATAACAGCCCCAGAGAGGTCTTGGGCAGAGTTGCAGGGCACTGCTGTCAGACCTTGCCCTGTCACTGGATTCGCCTCCTGCAAGATTAGTATGAACGAGACACTTCAGATGGTTAGGCCAAAAATAATTCCTCATTCCGGACTCAGCTGTATGATTTGCAGAATGGGAGATCCAAAAGGACATGGGCTTCGGGGTGGGATGGATCTTAAGGCTTTCCACGCACAAGGACCCCTTTAAGTTTGGTTCCCAAATCAAGCACTCCTAAACGGGAGTGCCCCACCCCTGTAAGAGACGCAGAATTGGAAACAAGAGGGATTTTGTCTTCTTCAGAGGAAGCTGCCCGCTGGTGAGCCGAGAGCTCCCCCATGCTTGGATTACCAGGGGGCAACCAAAAGGACACATCTATCTACCCATCACTTCCCTTTTCTCCTTGGATCTTGATGCCTCAAAGGAGGAGAATTATTTTTTATCTGTAAGTCATATGCATCCAAACTGCAGCTGCTGCAGAAAGCAAGGCTGCTCATTTAAAACAGAATACACGAGACTGCTCACTGACTGAAGCAAAGTTACGAGCCGCTGGAAAGCTTGCGTGTATTCCAACCTGTCAGGGAGGTCTAACAGAATGCCATGCGTTGGCATACATGCACCTGCATACTTAATAATAACATCCTGTCCTCTAGATCGGGACAAGATATTGTCTGTGGGCTGCAATGTCAAGAACAAACACGCATTTGTTTTCGAACCGGAGAGGAGGAGGAGGGGATTTTACGGCAAGGGTGTGGAATCACCCAGAGATGAAGTACCTCATATTGATATGAAAGGAGCTGATTTTGTTGAGTTCAAAGCCTCCAGACCAAATGCAGTTGGGAACATCCATTAAGCGAACGCACAGTAACTGGTCACAGTCGTTGCGCGGCCAGTGGAAGACAACGCTCGAGCCGGGGAGGGTGGAGATGTACCCCTCTGGGTTGGAGGTTCCCTGATGAGGAGGGAAAAAACACACGTCCTTCACAAGCAGTATCTGCACATGGTGCATTTTGCATAAGGACAATTAATTAATTGTCATTAATGTATTTTGATGCTGTTAGCCGCTTGAGAGAGCCCAGTCTGGCTATGCAGCAGTTTCTAAATAATAAATAAAAGATACAAGTCTTAGCACCCGCATATAAAGAGAAACCAGAACATCTGGATGTGGCACAAATAATGAAACAGCAACAACAAATTGGTGTGGTTCTCCCAACACGGTTAGCAAGACACTCTGCGCTACTGTCTCTGTTATAAAACTGTGGATTTGGAGCATTTGAACACAAAGGCTAAGTACATTTTGCACACGTCTTATGGAGAAGATCTAGACATCTTTGGCATCTCCCGCACTGCAGAAATTAAATGAAACTTCCAGGAATTTTGGCAATGGGCTTTTTGCTGCTCAGAAAAGTACACGCTTCTTCATTTCTCATCTCCTTTAGACAGCCCAAGGTCCCTCCTCTCTCCTACGCACACGGATCCCATGGCTCCAGAAGCCATCAAGTTTGCTTCAAGACAATGCTGCAAACGAACGTGCTCCAGAATGCCCTGTCCTTGACAGCCTGGCCTGCCACATGGAGTTAATGCCCCATCTTATCCATCATTTCCGTCTTATCCACTTCACTTATCCAACAAGTTATTAAAAAAAACCAAACCCAACCTTAATGTGGTGCCTGGGGATAATCAAAGCTTTTTGTGCTGGGAAATCTTTCTCCCAGGAGTTATTTCTGGAACTGGCATAACCTTAGTGAAAGAATGCTGGCCGTCTATGCTATTTGAACAATGCTAGTCCCATCTCTCTCTGAAGAGGAGGCTGTGATAGCGTAACTGTTTTATCTGCTGCTACTTTGGAATTGCTGTTTTTTTTATCAGTTCTTTGCTTGGATCCCTTTATAGAGCAGTTTATATGCTGCTCTTCCAATATTGGTATTTGTGTGTGATGTTGTGATACTGCCTTTACTGACTCTAGGAAATTGCTGTGGGAAGACAATTTATCCTGAAATTCAGCTTGAAATATCAGCAACAGAATCCAGCACATATCTACTTGGACACAAGCTCCACTGAATCCAATGGGGCTTACGTCCATGAATCTATTTATTTATTTATTTAAAACTTTTCTACACTGCCCCATCACAATGTCTCAGGCAGTTCACAACAACATTAATAAAACAGTATAAAGATAGAAACGAGAGTAAGAACAGCACAGCATCTGATGGTAGGTATAAAACCACAATTTAAAGCAAAGTAGCAATTATTGGAAGAATAAAAAGGGTTTCGCCGGGCACCAAAAGGAAAGAAGCATTGCACCAGGTGAACCTCTCTGGGGAGCACGTTCCACAGTCAGGGTGCCACCTCAGAGAAGGCCCTTCTCTGGGTAGCCACTGTCCCAATCTCCTTCAAGAAGGGCTCCCGGGGGAGGGCCTCCGCCTCAGATCTCAAGGGGCAGAAGGGCACATAGGGGAGAAGGCGCTCTTTTAGGTATCCTGAACCAAAGCCATTTAGGGCTTCATAGGTCATCGCCAGCACCTATATAAAGGTGTATATAGGATCTCAGCCTAAACATAAAATGAAGAGGAAAGTAAGATAATTCCAGAGGGAAAGCTCAGGGCAGAAAACGCCAAGCAATGTTCTTTGGGCACCAATATTAGCCGACAGATATTCGTGGCACATGCTTTTGTGGGCATCTTTAAGATGCCACAAGAGTCTTTATGTTGCATCCTTAAAGTGTGGCAAGGTGGACACATAAGGAGAAACAGAAGCGTTCTTACCTGTCCTCTGGCAAACTTCCGCTGTGCAAAGGCAAGCTTGTGCATGGATTTATTATCTAACAGGTAGCGAGGCGCAAATATTACTATACAGGTGTCGATGTAGCGACCTCTGCCTGTCTTGACATCAATACCTGGTAATTGATACAGCTAATTAGAAAGGAGCATCCAAATCAAAATCTTAAAGAAAACATAGACACTTTCTTCATTAGCGCGGGACTTAACAAAGATGCATGTTTAATCTTGGCTTGCAAACCAGGATATCAGGTTTCAGCCTGAGTTTAACCCACAGTTTCTCTAATTCAGAGAGCAATGACGATTTAACAGGCCTTGAAGCTTTCATGTGGGCTATTAACAGCCAACCCAATCTGCATATTCAAAGGCAGCAGGAGAGCCTTGCAAAATTTTTCATATTAGGAATTACCTTCATTCGCAAGGATGCCAGACAGATTAGAAAGCCATACACCACTTTCCCCTTTCAATATGACAAATAGCTAAGATTTCCAGAAGCAATTCCCTCCCCCCGCCCCCAACACTGCCCCTAAAGAGAGAAACAAACTCTTCCTAAACCTTAAAGGTAGCTTAAACTAATTTTAATTTTTAAAAGGAAAAGAAACACTTCCTTGGGAAGGGAGAAACCTTGATTCTTTCTTACCCTGGACACTGCTGGTTTCTATTCTTTTACTATTCGCTGCTCGCTTAACACGTTCTGTACTGTTGCATATTGGTGTATTGCTCTGAATTTAACTAGCACAATTGCTATTATATACAGACCTCTGCTAGATGCAAACCTCATACACAAGTCATTGCCTCTTACTTCCTCCTTAGTATGACCATGAGATATTTGGAATGGCAGCCTGTCATTACAACCAAATCCAGACAAACGGAAGTAGGTCTTAGCTCTGCTTTGCAGGGAAGCCACTTCCAAAGCATGATTCATAATGCTGGTGTGGTTCCCTAAACTGTAGATTCAGGGGCAAATAAATAATCAACCACTGCTGACCGAAAATGCAAGTGAAGGCTTCCGTTCCCCTTCTCACAGTCACGCTGGAGGAGGCCGTGAGGCGAGAATAAGCTTTCAGCCACTCTAGGAGCCAGTTGTGGGGGAAAACTAGGTTTTCCACACCTTGAATCTTGGCTTGGCAGGGATTTCGTTCACAGGGTGGCCGCTGATGGGCGCTGACTTGACGGCGCACAATAATATAAAGGTACATACCAATATTATATATAAGGCCAGGTCTGTTTCCTTGCTGGATCACTTTGAGGGCTCTGACCCCATTCCCTCCGTCCAGCGAGAAGCCCTGGCACCAGCCAGGAGTGCCTTCGGGGTGAATTCCTCGCCCAATCCTCATGGTGCAACTGCAACATGGAACGGGAAATACCGATTGGATGGTCACTTTTGCAGAAGCCTTGACAGAACCTAAGACTGGCCCGCATTTGCTCGGCTATGCCGTGGCCGCTTTACAAAGGTCAGTGCTAAGAGGAAACTGCCCAGAGGAGGAGCTGCTACAGAATTAGCTCAGGGTGCTGTGTCCTTGGAATAGCATATGTATATCGAATGCACTCGGTGTACCTAGCCACCTCTCACACAGGTGCTGATCTCAGCCAGGTCCCTGCCTGTTCTCCAAGCCCTGGCACATCTTCCGGAAGGAGTCCTCCATCGGCAGAAGCCTCCCTGTGCTTTAAGGGCCATCAGCAATGTGTCTGCTAGAAAGCATGCCAGGTGGTCCGATCTGCTTCTTTCGCATTCCTACAAGGATTACTTCTATTTCCTCGCACGGAGCTTAACTGAGATGGATTCTTCAACCCTGAGAACAAATGGGCTTGCAGCGGTCCTTCCGAACGGTCAAAGGAGACACCGAATCTTCTAACAGCGCTTTCACTGGATGTGCTAACATTTCCGTATCACCGTGGACATTGCTTTTTATTTCCCTCACAGTTTTAGGCTCCTGCAGCCCACGGCATAAAAGCCGTGCTTGCCCCTTAATATCCTCAATTACGTGGCACTACGGATGAGTTTTTACCACTCTCAGCTTCACATGCTACATACCTCTTGCCTGCTTTGACTAAATGGCAACATTATTCATTTTTTTATAAAAAAAATATAAACCTCGCTAATTTAGATTAGCTTCGCCTGGCACTGAGCCTATATTCTTTTCGGTGGCAGGTCAAAACCTTTTCATTTAAGTGTTATTTTAAAAATTAGTATTTCAATCATTTTAATCAGTCTCTCTTATTTTTATTGGCTGTATATTGTTTTATATTTGTATTAACCATTTATTCGTTTTTGATTTTAATGTTTGTAAGCCATCCTGAGATGCCACGCATGGAGGACGGCATATAAAAGTTTTAAATAAATAAATAAATGTCCTACATAGGACTCTCTGGGTGTTGAGCACTTCAAAACTAATGAAATAGATAAAACACAAACACAGTATAATTTAGTACAATTTAAACAACTTCCTAGGTCACTAACAGAACTATTTTGAAACAAGTATAGTAGACTAAGACCATCTGTAAAGTTAATACGAAATTGAAAAACTATTCAGTTACTAAAATGTCAGGAAAATACAACTGTCTTTGCCTGGCGCCGAAAAGACTGCAATGAAGGGCACCTGGCATTCTGCTCTGGGGAGCCTATTCCAGAAGCAGGGGGTGCAACCACCAACAAGTCCCCTCTTCTGTTCACCATGCTCTTCCCCTCTTAGAGGAGGGTTCTTTCGGATATGAGCAATTGCAACATTTGTCGGAACAGACATTTGGTCCTGTTATAGTCTCCTTAGCTACTGGGAACACTTCCCGAAGTTCACTGGTTATACTGATCTATCATCTATTTTTAAAAATACTCATAATCAGTGAATAAATACAGGGAATAGAGCTTACAGGTGTGGCTGTTCTTTGTCCGCGTAACAGAAGAGGAGAGGACTCAGGCTCCGGGCAAGCTCGTGCTCATCGAACTGGCCCGCTGCATCTGTCTTGGCGTTGTCTTGCCTGAAGATCAGCGGCAACCCTTCAGAAGCAAAGCCGTGGTTACTTGGCAGTTTAATTCTCTCAGGGCACAGTCCTGCACATGTTCGGACTCCCAGCATTCCTAGCTGGGCCAGGCATGGTTTTTTCCTCTCCAAAAAAGGCATAAGGTTGCAACCTTAAACACCTGTTATGCCAGGTTGTTTGGCCCTTTGTTATTAGCCTTGCATTTTTCATTGGTGCCCCCAACTGGCAACTTCCCTCTATCAGAAACTCCAAAAAGTGGGTAAAACGGCTATTATCTCCAGGCTATATCTAAAGAGCAATGGACCCTTTGCACACAGGGAGAGGTTAAGAGAATTATTATGAAACACTGGAAAGACAAATTTCTTTCTGATACGCTGTTGTGGGTGATATATATACTCTGATGATGTTCAAATTGGGGCTTTTGGAAGAAGTAAGTCTTTCAAACCACATGTTCTACTTTCAAGGGGTTGCTTACTTTACGAATATGCATTTCTAGAAGTTTGTTTTCGTAAGTTTCATGTCTATACTGCCCCATAGCTGAAGCTTTCTGGGCACTTGAAAACAGTCTATAAAACCAAGGCAATAAAATCCCATCAAGGAAACATTAAAACAATGAAAATATACAGAAGAGTGACCCTTTATTCATTATACTATGTTATAGCACTACTTATATAATTTGTGTTCTTAGTCAAATCAGATTCTATTGTTACTTTATATTTGCAAGAGACTGAACTGAGTATATGCAATGGAGCACTTTTCGGGTTTTGTTTGCAAATTTTTAAAAAGGATAGATAGGCTGAAATCCGCAGACACAAATCGCATCAGTTTGCAAGTCATTAAAAATGGGCCAAACAGCAATGTACCACAGATCCTGCGCAGTGTGTGTAATGCAAATTTCAGTGCAGGATGCTTAGAAGAAAAGCGTGTGCTTTTTGATGCCGGATATTGTTTGCATCAGCTGTTCTCTTTAATGACTTCCAAACAAGGTGGGCCTGAGAGCCAGTGCTAAGCAGATGCCTTATTTCCTGGTGAATCAAGCTCACCAGCATCCACAGAACTCTATTGTGCGATTTACCTGTTTTGTTGATGAGCCAATATGGTGCCGAAATAAAAATCTTTAAGGATCCTTCAGCTCGACACACAATCCTTATCGTGAGATTCAAGAGGCGCCTTTTGACGTCATACAGTCGCATCCGCACAACATAGTTTTGCGTTCCAGGAGGGATCAGAAGCTCCTTGCAGTGTGGGAAGTTTTCCAGGGAGACTCCTGAAATCAAGGAAGAAAATGATGCCCTTTTCTCGACGGTTCACAGGAAGAACCATTTCCCACCTGTTGAGGGTTTCCCTTTTGGGTGGTGTGGTCCCTCAAGACTTGGAAAACAAGCCCCGTAGTCCCACCCACTAATTTGCTCCTCTGCAAGGGCAACGTTTGCTGGGAAGCTATCCAGTCCCTTGGGAACATTAATTAAGCCCCCAGGCTTATGCGAATGGGGCGGCATACACGAACCCCAAATTAAAAAAAATTATGCATTGTGGTTAAAATTCCTGTGTCTGACAGATGCTCAGGAATGGGGAGGGGGGTCATCTGCCTCCTCCTCCATCCTCTTCCCCCTCAGTCCTGGGGAAACCGCAGGAACACCAAGACGTTGTGTGACCTGCAGCGAGTGTTCAGTTCACTGTGTTACCCGCACTTGCGAAAATGAGGGCAGCTCAGGACCACGAGTCCATGCTCACCGCCCCCCCCCCCCCCAACAGCCCCCGCCGGCACTCCTGCGGCAAAGGGTGCTCTTCTCCCACCCCACCTTAAGCAAAACAAAACAAACAAAACAAACCCTGAAAAAGCAGTTACAAGCGGGCGACAAAGTTGCAACGTGGGCAAACTGCGACCCACGCAGTTTGGGTCCACGGCTTCATGCCACCGGGAGGCCAAGTGCCCTCATCATGAGGCTAGTCCTCTGGCGGGGTCAGCCCAGGCGGAACCGCCAAAGCAGAGACACCGGACTAAGAGGCATCCGCCCCCAGACTTCCTCTCGCTTCGGGTCCGGGGAGGCAGCAGCGGCAAGCCACCGGCACGCGCTCCTCCCTTGCACAACCCTGTGATGGAACCGTCCAGCATGCAAGAGCTCAGAGGGTCCCCGTAAGAGGACTTGACAGCCCGTAAGAGCACCGTACGTATTCTGCAATTCTGCGCAGCCTGGAGTTTCCCCACGCATGCTGATCCTTGCTCCTCGTTTCCTGACAATCTTGTTCTGAAGGCAGTGCGCCCCGCATATACCTACCTGCCCCTTTAGATCAGCTCCGGAGGCTTTCTGCCACAGCCGTCCCTCCGGGAAATAAGAGGGGCGGCAAACAGGCGAAGGGCCTTGTCTACTGCCGCCCCCCACAATCCTTGGAACTCCCTCCCTAGGGAAATCCACCTGGTGCCGTCTTTGCTTTCTTTTCAACGCCTGGCAAAGGCGCACCTTTTTACGAAATTCTATAATATCTAAGCCCTTTGTGAATGCCGATGGACCTTCACTGGTTTTATAAACCAATGAAGGTGTATTACTATAATAGTATAGTAGAACTGTACTATTTTGTTTTATGATATTATTCTTTTAACTGTTTTATTCGATTGTGTGAGCTGCCTGGGGAGGTCATTCTGGCAGTTATAGGCAGCATATCAACACGTGACCCAATCAATCAATCAATCAATCAATTTTTGCTGGCGAGGACGGTGCAGCTGCTTGCACCGTAGTCGCTGATGCAGGGCCCGGATTCGGGTCGCGTTTGCGCCAGCCTTGCACTGCCCCGGTGCCGTGTAGCCTCACCGAGTTCCACATTCTGCGACGTGTCGGCCGTGTGCAGCAGGGCTTCTTTGCCGGGTTTCAGAGTCCCACGGATTGGCGTCCCTTTGATGCAAAACTCGACTTCACAGGGGAGCAAGTTACAGATGACCATGGTGGGAAGAAGATAAATGGTGTGTCCGGGCAGCCTGAAGATCTGCTTGGCGCTGTCGGAAAAGATGCTGGAAGGCATGTAATCTGGATAATTCTCTTTCTTTATGGCGACGCGGAACCTACAGAGAAAGAGAGACGCCCCGAATAAGCTCCAAGAGGCCAAGCTATTTGCCTCCTGAGGCACTGTTGTTATAGTGGGGCCAGGTACAACCACAAAATATGCCAACTCTTCACTCATTGGCCACACATCAAAGCTCTCCGTCGGTTTAATTATTTAGCACTAGCCAGCATGGCTACGGGTTGTTCCCTGTCCTGGAAGGGAACAGCTGTTCTCCATGCCTGAGATTCTCTGAGAGGCAACATGGGACTAGAGGATTCGACACTTGCCCTGAAGGTCCCTTTTGATTTGCCATGATGGAGGTATCTGAACATGAATTCTCTCCCCCACAGTTCAGAAGGGATGGGATCGTGTTACGTAGAGTTTTGCTTCTAGCTCTGGAGCTGCCAGATGAATAAATGAATGAGTAAACAGAGTCCAACCTGCTGTGTCCCACAGCTGAGCTCGAGGCAGAGTGGAAGCAGAGGAATCTAGAAGGTAGAGGAGACCAAACAAGAGGAATACCTTTCCTGACTGGATCTTGGCACAGGCTGCAGGATTCCTGCCTGGGCCCTGTTTGGGTCTGTCCTTGATTTTGTACGATGTGCTTTGGATGCCTCCATCACACCAAGCCAGAAGGAAGCTTCACGGTGCATGTTCTCTTCTCGGCTTGGGCCGGGGGCATGTCCCACAAGGGGAAGTGCACAAGCTGACCTCACGTGTAGGAAGGGTGGCAGTGGCTGGAACTGTGAGAGAGAAGAAACGCGCTCCAGGGCTCTTCTCTCAAAGGCTGCCTCCACGGAGGCAAAAGGGTCTACTCGGTGGAGTCGAGTGAAGGTGCTGGGCTGGTCCTTTTGGCAGCCCGACCTGTTTCTGCAAGGGCTGCATTCATAGAGAAAGGTGCGCTGTCACCGTGTTGCCTGGCAAGAAAACTTGCGACAGAGGAGGAATCTGGAATGATGCCGAGCCTTATATGCCAAAGCAACAGGTAGGTGACCTGGATTAAGCAGGGCTAAACAGCGGAGCTCTGTCCTGGGCGGGGCGGGGCAGGGCAAAGACCAGGAATGCCGCCAACACCACCAAGTCCGCTGGCAAAAGTCTAGGCCATGTGATGCCTGCCTTTCTGAGCAAAGAGGCCTTCGGGGAGGATGAGCAAAGAGGACATGGAGGTGGGTAGAGACCTGTTCTCCCCTGCAGAGGAAGGCAGGACGTGCTCCAACGGAGCAAAGCTCAGGGAATCACGGTTCTGTTTGGATGCCAGGAAGCACTTCCTGACAGTCAGGACCCCGAGGGTGTGGAATGGGCCTCCATGAGAGGCCGTTGAGGCCACATTGGTGCGGGTGTTCAAGGATAGGCTGGACGTGCACGTGGTGGGCATGTCATGAGCGAGCTGGCTGGAGCCGGGGGTCAGACTAGATGGCTCGGGAGACCCCTTCTGACCCTCTCCGTTTCTATGTTTCTATGAGCTGCCCCCTCGTGCGAACAGAGGAAGGGGACTTTGATGTGGTGATTCCAGAGTTGTGGAACCCTCTCCTCCCAGAGAGCCACCTCGCTTCCTCTTTTGCTGGCCCTTTTTAGGAATCTCCCCAACTTCTCCATGTAGCCGGATTTCCTTATTCTGTCTATCACACCCCTTGGGATTTGAAAACAGCAGCATTTCATATGTAAGTGGAAACATTTCTGAATGTGATCCATTTCAGATGAACATTTCTGTTCGCAAACTGTCTTCTCCTATATTGCTAAGCCAAAAGGATTTTCTTCTGGAAGGGAGGGAGGGGAAGGAGAAAGAGAGATGGGTTTACAGGTTACATAATCCCCTGAGCCTCTAAATCCACTACATACCCCCTCGCCAGCTATCAGAACTTCTGGTCATATGAGCTTTCGATTATAGCAAAGATTTTCAAGGACCACTGAGTCAACAAGGTAAATGGGATCACAGAACGGGAAGGGGCCTGGCAAGCCATTGGGTCCAACTGACTGCTCAATGCAGGACTCAAGTCACCCTTCCAGATTTCAACCAGGCCTGATCCTGCTTAGCTTCTGAGATTAGGCACTTCAGGCTATACCAAAGCACACCCATTACTTCCCTTTCAGAAGTTGTGGCCTATGGATCCTCCATGCAAATTTTTATGCTTCTCATTCCAACTGAAGTCCAGTGGATACTACAACTCTACTGCTCTACGATTCCCCTTTCTAGAAATACAAGATTCGCCCGCCAACTTCTTTAGCTTCCCTTGTGGTACTGCAGTCACAGTGATGCACCTCAAGTTGACCAGAAGGTCTCAGAAACAAGACAATCCAGCCATGTTCCTTTCTAAGGCCCCTTCTTGCCCATGTGAGAGTAATGTTTATTGGTAACATCCTTCCTGTCACTGCTGGGGAACCAAAAGCAGGACTACAGCTGCTCCAAGACGCAGTCACCTGAAGAATCGGCTGTTTTCGGACTCCGTTGCGTGGCACTCTCGTTTGCTGCTGCTGACCTCCGAGGTCTTCTGAACGTGCGTCCAATGGATCGGAGATTTGCAGAAAAAAACCCCCATCCCCTTGGGCCTGACCTGCAGTCGCCAGGACGTGAGATGAAGGGGAATGGGGAAGAAGTCTCCCGGCATCACGGAGGGAAGCACAACAGGCTCTGCAACCAAGCGAGAAACGCAGCCCCTTTCTCAGAGCAGGCCACTGCTGAAGCAGAAACTATTCATACATAATTTTGTCTTCTGACAGGCCTTTCCTGCAAACACTTTGGTTAAGCACCCTAGGGCTGATTTACCCAAACCACCACTGTCAGGATCTCTCGAACCAGGTTATTTTTTCTCCCAAATACAGTGGTGCCTTGTATTTCAAACTTAATTCATTTCAGGAAGCCGTGTGAACTCTGAATCGTTCAAAGTACGAAGCAATGTTCCCCATTAGAAATAATGGAAAGTGAATTAATCTGTTCCCAGACCCTAAACAATACCCATTTCGGTATGCAGTGGCTTTATATATAAATAACCAAAAAATAAAGCGAGAAAAGGCACATGCTAAAGAGCCAGGGAGAGCCTTTCCCAGCTCACGACTGATGACATTTCTGCAGCAACCACGGTTTTTTCACTTTGCTCACATCGTTTGAACTGCAGAGTGATTTTATCTGGGCTCTGACATTTGAACTCTGGATTGTTCGGACTTAGGGTAGTTCAAAGTACACGGCACCACTGAATGCTTGTTTGCGTGGGGGCTGGGGTTAGGAAGATGATCTGTGTGGACAGACACAACATCACCCAGGAAGGAAGCGGGAACATATCCTGCCTGGAACACCATAGTTCGGTTGGGGATTCAACACACTCACTGTCAGGAGCCGAAGGGCTGTCCAGCCTGAGTTCCATCGGGATATCCAGCTTGTTCTTTACAATCAAGGCCGAGCGCACAGTTACCACCTTCCGAGCGCTGCCTTCCATGGTAACTGCAAATACCACGCGAACGGGAGGCAACGCAGAAAACTGCAGTCGTTAAAACAAAAACAGTGGTTTACAGAAGCAGTAGGACAAAGGGCCGAACTCTGCAACAGCAGAAGCTGGAGGGGGCATCTACATACAGTCTCCTTTTGTTGATGAAATGCATTCGTCAGCCAAACTAACCAAGTTAACATTGGGCTCACCCACTCAGAGCAGGCTTGATTGTCCTATGCTATGGAGATTTTATCTCTACCTGTCCATGACGGTCTTCAGAGTCTAGACGGTGATTAAACTGGACCACAAGCAACTGTGGAAGCCAAGCCCTGCTTTGCTAGACGATTTCACAGTCAACGAGATCAAACTCCAGTGGCAGAATGATACTATCTCAGTATTATTATTATTATTATTATTATTATTATTATTATTAGAACATTTCTATGCCGCCCCTTGCCGAAGCCTCGGGGCGGCTTACAACACAATAAAATACAATGCAATGCAAAAATAACAATATAAAATTAAAATTAATAATATAAAATAAATAGATAAAAATATAAACGATATAAAAGAAGTTATAAAAGAAAAGTTATAAAGGAAAAGGAAAGGAAAGGAAAGAAGTCGTCCTGGCCAGATAAGTAAGTGAATATTGTTAACAATTAAAATGACGTTTAAATAAAAATAAAAATACATACTAACCAAAACAAAACTAGGAAAGGGGAGGGGAGGGAGCCACTACTCACATAAACGTGTGGATGGATGATGTTTGTTCTATTAATCGGACTGCCAACCTAGGACAGAAACACCAAAATTAGAACACCAGAGTGCTCGGTGGCCAGTTCCCAGTTCCCACGCGCCATGTTTCTCTGACCAACGGCATGCCCGATGAGGACGGGCTGGGCAAACGCTGCAAAATAAAGGTGGCCATCCTGTTTCCTACCTCTTCTCTTCCATGGTCAAGGAAGAAGTTTGCTCTCAACATGGTGTAAGAAGCATATGGAGAAGAATCCCCTTGGCAACATGTAATTTATGGAACTGTTTTGCTGTACTCAACCAAACTTAGATCCCAGTAATGGGCACTAAATGGCAAAATACTTGTTCTGAGAAGGGCTTGGGCTAATTCAGAATTGAAGCTCTACCGTAAGCGCCAAGGCACCCTACCTGAGATGCCCAGAGCCAGAAATCGGCTGCCATGCTGTCCTTTACTTCTATACAACAGAATGGCTATTGACAGTGGCTTGGCCATTCCTTCGTCTACCCCATTCCTTTGCCTACCCCTTCCCTGGGAAGGCCATCAATGTAGTAACATCTCAGTCCAGGGGACAACCATCTCCAACAGAAACTCCACGTCGCTGTGCGTTATTGAGACAAGTCAGCTGCTTTTTTACTATAATTTTGGCATCCTTTGGGGGCACCGCCCAGTTCTTAAGAATATAAGGCTCATGGCAAACGGGCTTAGGAGGCTCTTGCAGCCCTAAGTGCACATTCTCTCTCCCCCACCTCACGATGACCACCGGGTGAAGGCAACTGGGATCAAGTCTGCTGGTTTCACCAACCCCCGCATGTCGCCACTCCCCTTCCAGGCACTGGGCGGACAAACTGTGGCAGCACGGACCCTCGTCTCATTCTGCAGGTGATTTAAAACTCGCGCTCTCGTTGCTACAGATATTCTCTTTCCAAAAATGGGGAAGGGAGCTAAGTGGACAGCAGAGGAGACGGCAAGGCAACACGCTTGTCTCTCGCTCCGCGATGCTATTTGTGTGCACCTGCACGGAAAGTGCCAACACCCTTTTTTCAGTGACTGAGCTATAGGGAATCTTTCTTACCCCTTCAGGACAACGTCAAGGACTATAACCTCTGCTTTCAGCGTGATGCCTCAACACCATTACGACCCGCACATCCTTGGCCTCCCCTTTCATCAACTTCAGCTTTCTTGATTCAGAAAGCTTGCATGCGTGTAATTGTACCACCCTTCTAATACAGCTCGATTAGTGTAACCACACGCTGTGGTTCCCAACAAGTTATCACTGCAAAAATAAAAATGTGCACAAAACGAGGACTCACAGTAGAGGAGGAGGTGCTCTTGTCGGGAGCGGCGTACCGGAAAAAAATCCCCACTTTGTCCACCGACACGGGGCTGACGGGCTCCCAGCCGCTCACTCGCACTTGCAGCTGGTGAATCCTTAGCTTATGCGTGTGGCTGTCGAGTTTCAGAATCAGGGAAAGAGCAAAGGGCTTGGGTTACAACAGCAACGGCTCTAAGTTCATTGCGTCACTGAGGAAAAGAATGCTACAAATAATGTATTAGCATATGGACATGATTCATAATTTGCCAAGTGGTATAGAGCGCATAATTGAACACGGCACTTAATATGAGTGTGTACAAGGAGCACAGTGGTACCTCAGCTCACGGACACCTCAGTTCACGACCAAATCAGGCCGTGAACAGAAATTTCAGGAAAAAATTTCTTTAGGTCACGAACTCTGCATTGGGGGATGATTGTGTTCGCGCCTGTCCCTGCACGGGCACGATTGCAGTCATGCTGGGGGGCGGGGATGGCCTCAATCGCGCTCATCTTCCCTGCATGAGCGCAACCACAATCTCCCCCCCGAGCACGCCCACAATCGTGCCCGTCTTCCCTGTGATCAAAAAAATATATTTACAGGACGGGTTAACCTTATTTACATTGAACCTTATGGGGAAGCTTGACTTGGCTCACGACCAATTTGGGTCGCAACCAGAGATGTGGAACGGATTAAGTTCGTGAGCCAAGGTACCGCTGTATTACAAGCATATGAGGAAACTGACCAGACAATGATAGCCACAGGGAGGCGCTTGTGGAAGTGTGACCAATAATACTAGTTTTAAACGAAGACGATGGAATAACTGCAATGGGACCCCGAGACACTTCACCTGTGCCTCAGCTTTCCTTTAGCTTCAAATGCGAACGGGACCTCTTCACCGGTGAGGACTTCGTGCCACTCACTGACTTTATGGGCCCCATCGAGAAACGTCCCGTTTTCTTCTGGGATGACTCCGGGGCTCCCACTGTGGGAGAGCGCAGCGCTGCAATTAAGAATGACAGCCGACCGTCAAGTTCTGCATGGACCTCGTTATGGCGTCTTAAGAAAAGGAAACGCTTTCTTAGTAACATCAAAATCGATGTTAAGGAACCAAATGAAACGCTGATGCAACCGACACGGTTTTCCTGATTGTTCCTGCGCGATGCCATGGAACAAAAGCACCCTGGATCCCTGTCCTGGCCACGCCATGTTTTTGGGTCCTTCTGAACCCGTTCCAGTCGGGTCCTAGTGGGTCACCAGGTCAAGTCCAACAGGCAAGCTTCACCACAAGCAAGCTCAACCACATTAAGCACTTAAGGAAATTGCAGAGAATCGTCGTGTTGATCATATCTATCGCCATAAAAGAGAACGTACACCAATGGCAAATTAGCCAAGAGGATTATGGTTGAGAGAGCTGGCACACCAACTCCACTAAGGGAGCAAGCTGTGCTCAGACTGTGGACCCTGAGGGTGTGGAGTGGGCTTCCACGGGAGGTGGCTGAGGCCCCATCGGTGCGGGTGTTCAAGGATAGGCTGGACATCATGTTGTGAGCGGAGTTGGCTGGAGCCGGGAGTCAGACTAAATGGCCCAGGAGGCCCCTTCTGACTCGCTCTGTTTCTCTGTTTCCTGTCAGCCAAATCGACACCCCACTTAGGACATCAAGGGGTACCAACCAAGGGGCATTAATAAGAGACAAACATCTGCACTTCAGCCCAGAGTGTCCAGGCAACTGCCAGTGTTCATCTAAGAAAATATCCTCACAATCTTCCAGGCATGACCACCCTATTCAATCATGGTACCCTCTGGATGTTGTAACTGGAAATGGGGCAGACAGGGAGTTCTCACTCCCTACTGTAGGTTGGAGGGGCACCATCTGTTCCAGCCCCCAAATCCCTCTTTCAACAGTATCACTCACATGATAAAACTGGAATGTATAGAGAAGCCCTAAGATGGAGGCTGTCTGAACAAGTATTTTCCAGGTTGAGCGATATTAGGTAATAAAAACACACCCAGGTGTGGGACATGTCTGTTTCATAGGATCCTAAACCTAACCCACTGCAAGAGAGCATCTGTTAAAACTTAACGTGAATTCAATCTCTGACCATGCCTTGGCTTTAGGGAATTTATTTATTTATCTGTTACATTTATATCCCACCTTCCTCCAATGGTGGAGCTCAAGGTGGCAAAATGCGGTTCCTGGGAAGGCTCTCCAAGCTCAGGCCAGCCTCAGACCTGCCTAGCTTCAACATGGTGGGTGCCATAGGCGCCCTCCGATCATACTCTGGCCGTGATGGGATGCCAGGAGCAAAGGAGCAAGCCAGACTAATGCCAGTCGCAGCCAGCTTGGCTTACCAAAAACTGCACCACGGCAGCTCGAAAAGGGAAAGAGAAAAACGAAATGCTTCCAAACAAATCCACCAGTCCACTTTGAGAAAAAGGATTCCCTAAACCTCAAGGTTTGGCTTGCTGCGCATGCGTTTCCAAACAGACCATGGCCTCTTGGAGGATGTTCGGCTTCCACCCACAGTTCCTTACCGGGTTGGGGTTGTTGTTAAAGTGGCAAACCACAGCGTGCAACCCGTGTGATTCCGCAAAGCAAAAGGCACAAAAGGCTGTCGGCGCTTTGGGGTCTTCATTTCTGCTGCGGAGGGAAGAAAAGACGGGGTGAGGAACAGAGCTTACAGTTCTCCTACCGGGATCAGCTGCTACTCCATAAAGCAGCCTTCCCCGGCCTTGCGCCTTCCAGATATGTTTGGAGCGCAACACCCAGAATCCCCCATCCATGGCCCTGCAGGATGGGAATTCTGGGCGTGGTGGTCCAAACGCTTCTGAAGGCCACCTGGCTGGAGAAGGCTGCCATCAAAGATGCACTGCCGGCTCGCTGCAGCCGCCTGAGTCCAGCGAGGGCCCTGAGTTAGGGAAACCTGACCAAGGGACCCAGATGCATGAAATGGACGAGACCCCGATGGAAAAGAGGAGAACTGCACCTCTGCTGCAGGAGAACTTTGGGGGAAAGAAGAAAGCATCTCGCGTATGCAACACCGTACCTCTCGCATACATCTGGTGCTCTAGGTTAGCCAGACTGGCTGTACTCCTAGTTCTAAGGTAGGCAAGAGGAAGGCCTGGCAGACAGGAAAGACAACATTAGCGAGGAAGCGGGCGACACGGCGGTACAGGCAAGATCGCTGCGCGCAACAAAACGGAGGAGGAAGTAGGAGCACGGAGGACACGACACGACACGAGGGAGGGTGAGGCCCTCTCGGTGCACACGGAGGACAATGCTGAGCGTCGTGAAGGAAAGCGAACGAGGGCAGCAGGAAGGGTGTGGAGTGGAAGAGCACCAGATCGACCTCTGGCCTAAGGAAGGGACTCGCCATCTCCCCCACTTCTGCAGTAGCTCCCTTGGCGGAGTTGATGCCCGAGGAGATGTAAGACCCGAAGTTTTTCAACTGGGCGAAGGGGAGGGGAAAGGAGGAGCCAGTGCCTAGGAAGCTGCTTTGGCCCACACGGGGCTCAAGGAGCTGCTGACAGCGGCTGTCCGACTCTGATACAGGGTGGGGGGAATGGGGCCGTGGTGTCTGATGGGGTAACAGCAGGGGGCCGGAGCTGGGATCTCGCGGAAGGTGTGGCATGTATGTTGGGCATATTTGCTCTTGTGAGGTCCGTGTGACAGAAGGTCACCTGAAATCCTGCCAGATTGTCTTTCCTGTGAAGAGAAGGTGCAGACAGAAAGAGGCAAGTGCTCCAGCTGAAAGCCAAAGGGCCCAGAAGCAAATCACTGGGGGGAATGAAGCACAGGAGAAATACCACTAAATGGTGCCCTACTTTGCCGTCTACAACACGCACGGTCTGATGGCTCACATCGCCAATTTCCGCGGAAAAGCCACGGGAGGGTTCAGGCGGCCAATACCAACAAGGCTGCACGCAATTGCATGAGTCAACTCATACCCTGTCCAAAGGTCAGAGGGTCAACCGACGAGCCCATCCATTGCTCGGATTCGACTTCCTCCACTTTCTCCTCCTTGCAGTAATCTGCCATCCAGGACTGCTTGGTCCTGGTATACTGCTCTAAAGAAGCAGGGAAGAACAAAACCGGCAAAGCCAGAATGAGTGCAAGAAATACAGCGCAGACCAGGGAGGCGATGCGAACTCTCCGTCCGGGTTCAGGACACTTGACCCCAGACCAAACAGTTAGTCCACCGAGCTTAGTATTGGGTACTCTTTGGCATTTCTGGCAGAAGCAAGTCTTCCCAGTCCCTTTATGGAGATGCCTGCCTGGGATCTTTTACCTGCGAGATATACACCCTTGTCGCAGAAGTATGGCCTTTCCCCAAATACAGACAGAGAAGTGTGCAAGCTTCTGCATAAGTTGGGTTCATACAAATGGCACTGATATGAGGAGTACACCAGGTGCCAGTCAACTGAACAAGATGACCACGGCCAAGCACACACGTGTCAGCATTCACAACATCCGGTGGAATTCTGCACCCAGAGGCACTTGTGCTGTAGCAAAAAGGGAGTTGTATTAGCTAATAATTTGCAACGGTTTCCAGAGGGATAAAAGGCCATGCATGCGTTCTGCAGGCCCTCCTGGGAGCTTTTCCACTCCACTGTTCAGACAATGGCACTGAAGTTAATTGAGGCTGTGCAGTTGGTGGTTCCTAGTCCTGAAGGCCACAGACAAACCCAGATAACCGGGAAATTTGTCTGCTGTCAGAAGAATTAATGCCCAGTTTTTAATAGTGTCTTCAAAGGCTCCATCCAGTGCATTTATTTTGACATGAGCTTTCAAAGGCTGCAATCTGTTTCATCGGGTGTGTTAGTCAAAGTTGAGATGCATGTGTGCATATACTAATACAAGGCATGGATGAGCCAGGTTTGAATATTAGCTTGAACTTTTCTTGGTGTGCCACAACTCTACTGCCTGAATTAATCTAACATAGTTTCAGTGGCACCCAAATGGGAAAATTATGGTTAACATGAATGGAAGAAGCCAGGATCGGAAACCAACTTTGTACTAAAGCTTTCAGACCCCAGTTACCAGAGATGCTTAATTCAGACATAATAGGGGAAAAGCTGTGGTGAATTAACCACAAGTTTTAAATTACAACATGTAAAAACTTCGTATCTTTGTTTACTAACATGTTATGCAATGTTCAAACCAGACTATGAAATCAGTCATTTCTCTGAACAGTCACCTGGTAGCACAGAGGAATTAGTCAAGGCTATGTCATTTTTTCAGACATGATGGAAGAGCACGCCTTGAATCCATGAACCTGACCTACCAATCAGCACAGAAGTTATATTAATATCCAGGCGACGCCGTGCTTTCATTTCTACCTTCAGCCGAGAAGGGTGTAGGCGGCTGGCTGGCTGCTTTTGCCAGGACACGGAGCATGGCCAGGGCTCAATGAATGGCTCCCAGCCTGGGGGAAAAAGACAAGAACGCTTTCATTAACTCAGGTTAAAATGTGACAGCTGACTGGAAGGTCATCACTTTCGTCTCTCATATAATGTGCTCAGAAAAGGAAGAGAAGGTCATTTTCAGCTGGAGGTGGAATCAGACAAGCTTCTAAAATTTTAGAGAAAAGCAGACTTAATGGCTGCTAGTCAAGAGGGCTAGAAGGTACCTCCATGTTCAGAAGCAGCGTCCCACTAAATTCATTTTATTTATTTATTTATTTATTTAGAAAATTTCTATGCCGCCCCATTCGCCGAAGCCTCGGGGCAGCTCACAAAAATAAATGCCAGATGCTAGGAAGAAATAAACACTTGCCTGAAAGTTCACGATTATAATAATCTCCCGAGAGTGTAAAATCAGCATTGCCTTCAGGACTGGCTCTGAGGTGCTGGAGAAAATTTAAGCCTGCAATCAAAATGAAGTAAATATGGCCAATCAATACAAAAATGACACAGATTTTCCTTAAATTCATATATACCTCAAAAAGGATCAAATGCAAGGAACAAACATCTCTCTGTTCTCCACTTTGTGAGAAGCAGGGTTCAAAAGGCCTCCGTTGGAGCACGTGTCACGGTGCCCCGCAGAAAGAAGCAACCTCTTCCTCTAAGCAGCTGCGCCTTTTCAATCTTCCTGGTGGCATCCGAAACGCTAAAAAGACGGGATCTCAACATGGGGAACGAGACGGAGCACCCAAGGTAGATAAAAGCAAGCATTCAAAGGCCCAATGATTTTGGCTGCAGGACATGACAACCCACTGCGGACGTCAGAAGGTGGTAGGCTGGCATGCCAGCTGAACCTGGACTGCCGCGCAGAGGGTGGCATGTTGGTAGGGTTGAGCTCAAAATGTTGCGTCGCCCAAATCCATGCACCGTGGGTCCACGGAAGCAGCACGCTGCTCATCAAGGGCGACAAAACCGCTGGCTGCTCTCGGCAAGCTTCCCTAGGCCGCCGCTTGCCTGCCAGTGACAGCGGCCACACCGGGTGCCCAAGCGGCTCTTTGGAGCGCCAGCTGCTGGCTGGGTCTCCCCCGTGCTACCTGCCACGGCAGCCACTGTGTGAGAATGCAGGGCCGGGCGGATCCGATCCTGCTCTTATCCGGCACAGCTCGTGTGCTCTTATCGCACCACCTTTTCCAAGCAAAGATCCCCTCGTGGCTTCACTTCATGTTTGACAGCTTGCTGTTTGACGGTCCCTTTGGTTCCTTCCTGTTCGGCCACCTCCAAATTTGTGCCTTTGTCTTTTAAAAACCAACTGGAAAATATGTGCTTAAAAAAGCAAAACAAAACTGGGCAATATATGCAAATTCCATCAGTACGTGCAAGAGAAATATAACGTACTTTCACCTTCCATCTGCTTTGTTGTTGTTAGTCGCAAAGTCGTGTCCGACCCATCACAACCCCTTGGACAACATTCCTCCAGGCCTCCCTGTCCTCCACCATCCCCCAGAGTCCACCTAAGCTCACGCCGACTGCCCCAGTGACTCCATCCAGCCACCTCATCCTCTGCCGTCCCCTTCTGCTTTTGCCATCTATTGTTCGCAGCATCAGGCTCTTCTCCAGGGAGTCCTTCCTTCTCATTAGGTGGCCAAAGTATTTGAGTTTCATCTTCAGGATCTGGCCTTCCAAAGAGCAGTCAGGGTTGATCTCCTCTAGGACTGACCGGTTTGATTGCCTTGCGGTCCAAGGGACTCGCAGGAGTCTCCTCCAGCACCACAATGCAAAGGCCTCAGTTCTTCGGCGCTCAGCCTTCCTTATGGTCCAGCTTTCACAGCCATACATTGCACCTGGGAAAACCATCGCCTTGACTATTCGCACTTTTGTTGGCAGGGTGATGCCTCTGCTTTTCCATCTGCTACCCAGTCACAAAATCTGTTTGGTTCCAAATCAGTCAAAGAGGAAAACTATGCAGGGACACAAATCTACAAACGTGACGACCAGTGTAAAAAGAAAACAGGCGGCAGAATGGGATGCAGCCAATGGAGCACCAGCAGGACTGATGCCCTCCACATGGACCCACACGCCATGCCGCACTCTAGGCCTGGATATAATGTGAAGTGTGTGGCCGCTGGCCAGCTCCTCACTCCATTGGCCGCTTCCACGTGCAGGAGGAGTCCCATGGGAGTGACCAGAGAGGCCTGCAGACCTCCCTCCGCACCAACGATCCAGCGTCCTCAGCAGTTCTGGCTCACGATTTTGCACCCATGCAGCCAGCAGGGTGACCAGTGTAAAGCAATTCACATCACAGATGCTTTTAAATGCCCCGTGTCATTTGAAGGTTCCCCAGCCTCAGTCCAACGAAATCCGGGCTGCATGTGTAGTGCCATGTCACGACCCAAAGCCACCCAGCAAGGGAAATACTTACGTGAAAATGTTAGTTCAGCTAAAGGGATGTCACAATCCATGCAGTCATCAATAAAGCAGATGCAGACGCTGTCTGCTTTAATGTCTAGTCCGGAAATAAAACGCAGGGTCATGGAGCCTTGGCTGTCCCGACTGCTTGGCTCTAAAGGCGCACGCTTCAAAGGTTCTGCATTCTTGAACAACCAGCTTGCTGCCGTCTTCAGCTGACCTAGAGAGAGGAAGAGACAAGGCACAAGAGAAAAAGGGGAGAGGAAGCAATAAGAATGTTGATCCTTTGGTGAAAACATAAGTCTTTGCCCTTTCAAACATGCAGAAGGCGCTATATATATATATATATATATATATATATATATATATATATATAAAATTTATATTATTGGGTTAAAATAAAAGCAGAAGCTTGTGAAGTCTCATTAAGTTCTCATACAAAAAAGGCACATTTTCCCTTCACCCCCGCTACAGAAGCATGGGGGGCGGGCGGTGAGGGGAGCTGGCACAGAGAAGCAAGACAGAGCTGTTTTTTACCCTGCCGAAAGAACGCAATGCTTTGAGGGCAACCAACAGCCCTAGATGAGAAAGGACTGGGGGCTGTCAAGACACTGAATCTGCTCCCCGCCACAGACATTCCGCGGCTCTCCGAAACGAGAACGCGCTTTTGCGAGGACAAAGACTGTGCTTCCTTGAGCTCTTGCTTGAAGCTTGGCGAGCAGGCCCGCTCCTCTGGCGCACTTACTCTTGAGCAGCAACCAGGGAGGGAGAAAGGGCAACAGGCAACGTGCACCCCTTTGGCCACCTGTCTTGACGTCTCTGGCACCTCGCGAACCGGTGGGGAGCCTCCACAGGGACGAGCGTCGGGCTGCTTCCTTGTGAAACGGGCAAAACAGCCCAGCCTCCCCCACCAAAAAGAAGAGGGGTCTCAATTTTGGCTGGGTGCTTGATGGCCTGCTAGTCTATTTCTTGGCAACAAACTCTTGGGATAAGGTTATCGGATTCGCGGTGAGCACACCGATCACGGCACCTTGGCAATCCAGCAGGGCTTTGCGGCAGTCTTGCAGGCTAAACCCCAGTTCCTGCAGTCGGGCCAGCTGCAACTCTGCAATTAAATATGCACTGCGATCAATACATGTTCATTTACTACTATTTCCCCCCCCCCCCCAAATCTTTGCTGAGAGTGACCGACTACAAACACAGGAAACAGCTTCTAGTTTATGGGAAAGTAGGACTGAGAACAGCTACTGTCTGAATGTGGCGCTTCTACTGCAGGCATATGCAGAACAATATTAATAAAACCTTTTTATTTAATTGCTATTTTTTAAAAAAATAGCATTTTATCATTTTGAACAGTCGCTTTGACTTTGTCCTTTATGCAAACTTTCATTGAATTATATTACTTATAAATGTGATTTTATTGTATTTCAATTTTATGTACCGTGAGCCGTCCTGAGAGGCCAAGGCATAAGGGACGGCACACACATGTTATAAATAAACAAATATGGCTTTGGTGCTGATCCAGGGAGTCATGGCCCCATCCAATACACAGATGGGCGCATTTCTACAACCACCTAACATAGTAGGCTCGCTAACTTACTTTATTATTTATTTATTTATGATTTATATCCTGCCTTTTTCCTACAAAGGGCTCAAGGCAGCTTGCATCATTCTCCTCCTCCATCTTATCCCCACAACAACAACCCTGTGAGGTAGGTTGGGCTGAGAGTCTGTGGCTGGCCCAAAGTCACCCAGGTGGCTCCCTGGCTGAGCGGGGACTCGAACCCAGATCCCCTGAGTCCCAGTCCCGCGCTCTTAACCACAACACCACACCGGCTCTTACTGTTTTATGCAGTTCAGCAGCTGATTTCCAAAGTGTGGGAGCCGGAAGCCTTTCCCAGTGGGAGCAATCCTGCTGCCCCGGGCAGACGCTCTTCAACCTGGGCGTTTAAGGGCAGGGCCAAGGCATGGCGGCAAGCAGCTCTGCCACCGCTACCCACCATCCCCTGCCTTTTTCCACACAGCCACTTTCTGCCATCCAGATTTAGTGCAGGGGAGGGAATGAGGCCAGGTCGCCGATCGTAAGCAGGCATCCCTGCAGCCTCAGCCTCCTCTTTCCTCTTCCGATCTCCTCCTTCCTTCCTTCCTTCCTTCCTTCCTTCCTTCCTTCCTTCCTTCCTTTCTTAATTAATTAAAAGCTCCCCTCCCAGCACTAGCATCTCACGACAGCTTATGAGTAGAATAAAACAATAAAATAATATTGTAACGATACTGAATAAAACTCTTCCCTGGAAGAGGCAGCCAGCAGAGCCCTTTCCACGCCAGCTTCAAGAGAGCAAGGCAGCCGTTAGTCTTGGTTCTGAGACTGCGGGATCCTAGTGCTGGGACCCCGAAGGATCCTACTGTCTCCCAGAGGAGGCTGGGAGCTCTCAGAACTGCACCCTTAGAGGCCTTCACGGGGATCTGGGCCTCCTTCACAATGTCCTTCTGTACCATCGGGAGCTCTCCCTCGCCTTAATTTTCAGAATGACGGAGAAAATCCATCACTGAAGGAGTCCCGATCCCAAACTAGTCTTCTAAGCTGCCCCCAACATTTTTGGATGCAGCTTCAAGGAGGAGATACTGGTCTTAAAACTGAAGTAAACTGCTAACATACACTCTGCTAAATCCTATGTCTGTGCTTAGTTCACAACAGAATGAGGCTGCCAAGAAACAACCTCAGTTAAATAGACTGACTGTACCGAGAACAGGGTCCAAAGTGTGCTTAGAGGTTTCCGCGGTTTCTGACGTCAGTTCTGGTGGTTCGTTCACACAGGATGGACCAGAAGAAGCCACGGAGGTGGAGACGCCGGCATCTGAAGCATTAGAGTCCGAAATAACATTGCCAGTCTGACCTGGGATGGACTTTGCTATAGCCAGGAACAACTGAATGTCGTTATAGGACAGTCTAATGTCTAATGTCTGCAGATGAATCTGAAGAAGATTGGGAAAGCAAGCAAGAAAGAAATCAGGACTGAAGCTTGCAGAGTCTTGGAAGGTGGTGGATTCTCTTTAAAGCCAAGGGCAGATGGCCATCTATTATGCATCCCCTGTACTCAGTCGGTTAGCTGACCCTTCCTTTTGAGACCCAGCATTCCAAGATCCGATAAATTCTATCAACACAGCAGGGTGGAGTTAGAAAACTCTTAAGTTAAATGTGCTTTTATTCTGATGTGTCATTTAAACAACTTTTTTTAAAGGAAATGCCAGATTTAGTTTCTCTTTAAAAGCAGCCAAATTTAAAAAAAAAAAAATCTGAAAGCTCCAAGAGATGTCAAAATCAATACGATTTCTGAAAACTGAAGATGTAAACTTAAACAAATTGAGTTAGAGATTCTGCCTGTACATAAAGAAGGGAAGAAAGGGAAATGATCTTCCTTTGGAGAGAAGTATTAAAAATGCTAGGCACAAGGATATTATATGCCAGTTGTAAGGATCCGTGTATCTGCCAAATTGCCACTGGCATCCATTTCCATCCCCTCATTCCAAACGATGCCATTTATTTCACCAAGAGGATACCTAGGACTCCAGCTTCCAGCCCTAAATTGGAAACGCAGCCACGCGTGCTCCAGAGATCCACTCCACTCCGAAGAGGAGCATCTGCACCCTTTCCTGCATGACAAGGTCCCTCCAGGGAGACACTTTTATGTATTTGCACCTCAGCAGAGTTCAGCTCACTTCAATTTTCAGTAGTTCTGAGTGCAGAGACACAGGTATGAAATTTATTTACCTATTTATTTATGTTTGGATTTCTATCCTGCCTTTTTCCTACAAAGGGCTCAAGGCAGCTGACATCATTCTCCCCCTCCATCTTATCCCCACAACAACAACCCTGTGAGGTAGGCTGGGCTGAGAGTCTGTGACTGGCCCAAGTCACCCAGTGGGCTCCATGGCTGAGCGGGGACTCAAACCCGGATCGTCTGAGTCCCAGTCCCACAGTCTTCACCACTCCGCCACACTGGCTCTCTAAATTCACTACAGGGGTTCTGTTTCTGCCCTCCCAGATTATGTGTGCGTGTGTGAGTCTGTCTGGAGAGCAGCAGAAGAGGGCAAGATCTGGGAGGAGGGCAGAGCGGACTATGAACTTCGAGAAGAAAACAGCTATAACGTCCTCACATAGAAAGGCACTGCTTCTCCTCTCAAGGTGTGCACCATGGGGACAGCTCGGTACAACCCTGATGATGAAGTGCTTTTCCTGTGCAAGATGCCTGTGGGAGGTTTTTCCTTCCTCTGGCTTCTTATTGTGACCCCAGGATCGTGGCTCCCAGGATCACGAGTTAGCAGCTACCACAGAGTCCCCTGGAAAGAGTGGCAATTGCAGGAGCTGTTCTAGCCATCTTGCCTCTGTGTGCAGACCAATGAGGGACAAGGAAGTGGCACGGGCAGGCCGGGAGCGATACACCTTGGGATTGGATTTCAGGCACAGTGGCTGATGGGGCACATGCTGCCAGTGGGGAGGATGGAAACCAGGATAAGCTGCTCCTCGGTCAGGTAGACCATGGTTTAAAAAAATGCAAACCATGGTCTCCACAGTGGTTGCTTATTATGTTGTGTGAACGTAGACCCTGCTTAGGATTTCCAGGCTTAACTTGGACGTGGGTTTGAGAAGACTGGCAGTGATGCTTTAGAACGCTTACCTCTAGAAAAGGTGGGAAATCTTCACTGTTGAAAGCGTCCAACAATCCGGAGCCACTTGGATACGAATGATTCCCGACAAGCTCAATTTGAATATGTGCAGGATCGACAATGGAGAGCGCCGTTTCCTGCTCATTTCCCAGCCGACAGGAGAACACCTAGGTGAAACGAACAAAACAGAGGCTACGTCTGCATCGGTCTTTCCCTTTTTTTGCTTATGCCGCGGAAAGGATGTTTTCACAAGGGTGGGAGGGGAAAGACACAGGACAGGGGAACGGACCCAGCAGCTCAGGTCTGACTTTTGGCTTTTATGCCTGTCCAGGGTTTGCCCCAGAAGTCCTCTTATTCCATTCTTTAAAGCTCCCAGGAAGCATATGCTTTCAGGGGGACAAGTACTTGCCAAAAAGAAAAATGGGAAGGGAAGTACCATCAGGTGCTTTAAGCACATCAGGAACTGGGAGAGATGCTGTCACTTGGGGTGGGGGGTGCATTCTCGTTTCAGATGGCAAATCCCGATCTGACTTTCAAGTTACCACCCCAGCCAAACAAACCCATCAGGCTACATTTAGACCCGGAGCCGAAGCGGTACACCGGGCCTAGTTCTGACAGATCCCCAACCAAAGACAGATCAACATGCCACCGTGTGGCACCTTTTGTAGGGCAGAACTCCAGAGCAGGACTTCGCTAAAATCAGATTAACTAACTCGAATGCTATCTAGTAGCAGGGACCTCCTTAAGACATCCTTTTATTCCTCCAAATTGAATCACTGACCCCCTCAGAGTCATTGGACCTTTTGCATGCTTTGTTTATAAGCCGACAACTGCCCATGAGCTTGGACAATCCAGGGCCCTTTTTCTGGGCGACTTACAGAGACATGCTCGTGGCTGCGGAGCCCAGAGTCAGTCTGGCTTTTTCGGCCATACCTTGTAGCTCTCGCTTTGCTCAATTCTGGCTCTGGACCCACATTCCCCGGGCCTGAGTCCACCGCCTTCCTTCCCTTGAATCAATTCCCAGCCCGAGAGAGTTGGGCTGCCTTTTATACTGCAATTTAAGGAGGTGCAAAGAATCCGACAGAGTCTCTCGATTCGGCTCCCCGATCCAAGTCTGCCAGGGTTGCCCGGGCACCAAGTCAAGCCAGCTCCCAGACCTCCATCGCCACAACGGACAATTCAAGGGGAAAAAGGAGGGAAGACTATGGAAATTCCCATAAGATCAGCCACTATGCACAATCACGGGAGGGCCATGTGCTTTTCAGGTGCTGAGTCGTGCGCTTCCCATTGGATCTATATGCTTTCTGAACGCGGATTTGTGCAAAAGGCACAAGATGCCATGATTTGCACTATGTGGGCAAATTCGCACACCCCTGCACAAATTTCCTTGGAGTTCTTTTTTAAAGCACAAACTGCATCCTGGCAAGACACACAAGAGCATGGCCAAAACTCTCAAACAGGTCTCCGTCCAAACATCAAGCTTACATCGCTGAACTCAAACGAAGAGGCCTTGCCAAAACAGCGCATCTTCTGCCACGGATGGAATCGCCCAGTAGAGCAGCCACCGAGTTCAGAACCTGCTTTCAAGTGGGGTGGCTCGCCTGCCGGCTTCCACCATCCCTTCTGGCATTGCTCTTACTTGCCAGCTCTGAGTCCAATGGCAGATCCAGGAAAGCAATTTAGGGGACTGCACTAAGTGCCTCAAGGCAAACTCAAGCACCCCTTCTTAGCTGTACTCTGGCAGATCACTCCACTCCCTTCATTTATTTCTATCTCCACATTAGGACTGTCAGAACTACCATGTTTCCCCAAAAATAAGACCAGGTCTTATATTAATTTTTGCTCCAAAAGATGCATTAGGGCTTATTTTCAGGTGATGTCTTGTTTTTTCATGTACAACCATCTATATTTATTCATTGATCCATGTATAAAAATCTACATTTATTCAAATACAGTCATGCCATCTTCTTCTGGAACATCGTCATAACTCTCCAAACCTTGAATTGTGCTGCAACGGACGTACTAAATGCATCCATCTGGCTGGCAATCTTAACTGGGGCTTATTTTTGGGGGTAGGGCTTATATTATGAGCATCCTGAACAATCATGCCAGGGCTTATTTTCCAGTTAGGTCTTATTTTTGGGGAAAGGGGGTAGTGTGCCAGTGCAAAGACTTGGTGTACTAACCCGCCATTCTCCTCTTCTTTAAAACAGCTACAATAAGAACCAGACTTGTGCTCCTTATTCTTGCTGGTGCACGCAAGCTAATTTTGCCCAGGGATCCCACTGTTCTTTACTTTTTAATCAGCCACAGGGTGAAATGAAGGATACGCTGCCATCAGGCTCTGGGGCTACCTCCATGAGAGGCTTGAGAGGGGGAAGCAAAGAGGCGGGCCTTCTCCGCGGTGTCCCACTCCCCATTACAGAAGCAGCTCCCCAGGTCAGGCCCATCTGAGCCATCTCTGCTCTCTTATTGGCACCAGGTTAAGACTCTCCTTTCAGTAAGTTTTAATATGAGACCGGGGCGTTATTTCAGCTGCTTAACCAGCCTTGTGATTTAAATTATGCACGCTGGTGTGGCTTTTTAACTTTGGTTTTAGATTTTGCACGGCAAGGTTGTGCTTTTATTTCCATCTGTTTCATACCGCACATTTCTCGCGTCTTACGTGCTACTGTAAACTGCCTGGAGATCTTCAGCTATTGGGAGGTATAGAAATTAAGAATAATGAGGAGGAGGAGGAGGAGGAGGACATAAAATTCTTACCTCAATGTCAGACAAATAGCTCGAGAATGGGTGGTCCATCTTCTGGGGTCTGTAGGTGAGAACGGTGGTGCCCTTCAGGATAATCGCACTGGTATCCAAGCAGGACATGTCTTCCACCACCACAAATTCTGTTTCTGGAGGAACACCCAACAACATTTCCACCACAGGCGCACAGGCCTGGCCTGGGACGATGCCTGCCCTCCCCAATTCACCACACCCAATCGCAGTCACAAGGAGATGGACACGAGCGAAGGCAATTCCACCCTCCACGGAAGAAGGCCTCTGCAGGACCAGGGGACGTCTCCCTTCTGCCAGGCCTGCGGCAGTCCAAGCGCCCGTGACAGAGCAACAGCTCCCTCCCATCCAGGGCCACTGTTCCAAGGGAAGGGGGCCAATTCTGCCGAGGAAGCAACGTCGGCCCCTCTACATCCCGCCTTCCAGACCAGTCCAGGATGAACTCGAGATGTACTGCCGCTGCCCCGGTGCAGATGGAGCGCCAACCCAAACCTTCCGGCTGCATGCCGCGTTTCATGCTTGTTCTGGTGCTCCATCTCGTAGAAACACCCCGTCTCATCCTGCACTGCAGGAGCGGGCAACCCCTGGCCCATCCAAGTTGCCCCTCTGGCCCAGGCAGGCGTGGGCTTCCTCTGTAGGCGATTTTATTTCCACCCCGAACATCCGCCCTGCACACACAGCAGGGGCCAAACACCCTCATCCCCCACCCCATCGATGCTATGAGGCCCATGGATGGCCGTGGGGAGGCCATCTGTCCCCCGGCCTGACAGAGCGAGGTCAGAAAAGCACGTTCCGAAAGTGCACGGCGGCCACAGCGAAACCTTCTTGGCTCCCCCCGCAGCGTCCCCCCCGCAACGCTCACTTTTACTGCACAGAGATACACCTCACCTGTCACGTTGATCTTGACTTCCAACTGCTTTTCCGCAGGGATCTGCAGAGCAGAACGCTTGGTCACGATCCCGGACTTGACCGCTTTGGGGACGACGGCCGCTTCACTGCTGTGATTGCGCTGGCGGGCGGGGGTGGGGTTGGAGGGCTTCTTCGTGTCGCTCGGCGTCTGGAGGAAGTGGTGGAGCAGCACCAGCCAGTCGAAGATGAGGAACACGCGGAGGCTGTTCAGAACCACGGTGAAGGAGGAGGAGTCCTTGGTGGACCTAATGCGGGGCGAGGGAACGATGGCGGTGTTTGATCGACCCAGGTTTGGAAATGAGATGTGCTGGAGACTTTTCGGGATAATCGGGCAAGCGGGAAGGCGGGTCCATCAAGTCCCTGCGATCCTTTTCCCCATCCCTTATCTTGAACCGCCGTGCAACCTTCGTTTCCCGCCTGGCAATTTGAAGTCAGTTCCTGCCCCAGTTCCTGGCCCCATAACAGGGTCATGCACCCCTGTTCTGTGCAAAGACATCTCAGAACAGATTTTGTGGAAGGCAACAGGGCTTCGCCACAGCTCCACAACCGCAGTGGTCGGTGGAACCATGAAATCTTACCTGGCCAGGCTGCCCGGGTCTGTGTATTTAAGCACTCCAGGGCCACTGGACTGGAGGCCTTCAAGACCAGTCCCAGGACAACCGGCGCCCACAATCCCTTGGGGAGAAAGTATGTCCTGCGGGAAGGTCCCCATGTTGCCAGTGCTGGGCGCGTCCCCAAGGCTGAAAGGAGCCAGGTGTCCATCAACTGTGATCGAGTCCCCCTACCTGTAATGCAGTTCAATCTGTATCGCCCCTTGGGAGCCAGTGTGCCTGGATGACTGGAAGATGCAGCTGAACACGTTTTGCTTCCCCGCAGAGGCTTTCTGGCTGGTGTATCGCGTGTCAAACGCCAGCATAGAATGCGAAACCAAGTTGATGGCTTTGGTCTGGTTTGAAAAGCTCTCGAAGAGCAACTTGGACTTCTTGAAGTCGAACCTAGAGACACAAAATAGTCCCTCACGCGCGCACAATTCTTCCAGGGGCTTTTCAAAGTACACACGTCCTTTGATGGACTCGATTTACTAAGGTTGGAAGCAACGCTGCGGCTGATCAAAGCCGGTGTGCACGGCACCGCTCACGGTCAGCAGGCGTCAAGGCACAGGATGGTCACGACTTTACCGTGTTTACTCTGGCCCAGAGGATGGTCCAATGGCACATAAGGTGCCCCCCATGTTGATGCTAAGCAGGTCTGGGGTGGGCCTGAGCCTGGAGGGGAGACCACCTCGGAAATGCATGTCACGACCTTGAGTTCCACCACGGGAGAAAGGTGGGATATAAATATACTAAATAAACGAACGTCTACCGCAATCTGGTAGCATTGTTTCAAGTCAATAATTGTTCGTGCCCCCTTGATTATTCTCTTGCTCTAACCAAAGCAGAAAAACAGAAGCCAAAACAGAGACGGACATACCTGGCCAACGAACCAGGCTTCCCCGGAGGGTCGGTGAGCTCCAGGCTGACATTGACCATGTCGATAAGGAACGACATGCAGGTGTACACTTCTCCACTCAACACAGTCTGAAAGCCAGAACGGACAGGAGCTACGGCAAAGCGCAGGGCTGATTTCCCGCCTGAGCTTTTCCACGTGCTCTATATCGAACGCACTATCGGCCGAACAACCTCGGCCTTGCCTCGGCCCTTCCAAGGAACTATCTCCTTCCCACTTCATCTGCCTTAGTCTGTGAGAATTCCCAACACACATTCAGTTCCGGTATTTCCTGGGACTGGCCCAGTTATCAACATTCACGACTTCTGTCCTTCTTTCACACAACATTTCAGCCTGAAAATGTAACTTCTTGAAATCTAACACCAGTAATTCTGCACAGATTTCCAACTGCCAAAGAAATAAAATTCCTCACGTGTATTCTTGGATCCTGTAAGTCATACGGCCGCAGGAACTCTTCTATTGGTTCCCCCAAATTATTCTCCAGGAGCCCCCGGATCAGTTTATATTTACTCAGATCCAGAGAGCAATGAACTGATGACACGATGCCGTGAATCGATATATCAGGGACTGCATGGCTTATCTCCCTGTAAGGAACACAGACAGACATCAGTCGCGAGAACTTGACTTTACCAATAGATTTGCTCATGCACAGTTATAGTCACAAGCTTTTGAACTGGAATGGTTTTGCAAAAGTCTTCTAACACCTTTGTAACTGCATCTTAGAATCTCACAAGTACAGCGTATTTGCAAGGATAACAAAGAGCACATGGAAGAAGCAGGGATGATCTCAGAGCCACAACTGGGCAGGAGTTGGGGGCAAGGCAGGACAAACATTAGAGCGACAAAGTGAAGCGAAATGCAGCCGCATCACCCACTTGTCCAAGTTTCTCTCCACTTGCAGCTTCAGCCTGAAGGGTTCCGTTAAGAGACTTGCTCCTGTCTGCCTGACGATAAAGGATGGGAAGCTCAGATCGGCGCCGCTGTCTTCCGTTGCCTTTGAATATTCTCTCGAATATCTTTCAGCGGCAAAAATATCCATGTCCTGCAGATCAACCACAATGCAATCCAACAGGCAGACCTGCTCCTCTGCAAGAGACGAACCCAGAATATTTAATCTCCCCAGACATGTTTTGTAGGAAATGCCTTTTAGTACAGCTCATCTTTCTAATGCCCAATGGGATTGGGTTTATTGCTTCTGGTGGGGAACTGTTTTCTCATCCAAGGGCCAAATTCTGGTGAGCAGGGGCCAATAAAAAGGGGCAGGGATGAAAACAGAGAAAAACAGCAGCATACTGTAACCAAAGTTTTTCCAACAAGAACCGGCTTTAGGAGAGGAATTTCATCATTTTAGAATGTGGAGAAACCCTGGACAAAGCTGTGAAACACCCAAACAATTGGCAGGTGGAGGCACAGAGGTGGGGCCATCTGGGGCAAGCCAGAAAGGCAGGATCAGGACCCCCGGAGGGCTGCATGTGGCCTCCGGCCTGCCACTTCCCCCCTCAGCCAGAGCCAGAGCATGTCACAGTGGTTAGAGCTGGGCTGGGACTGAGATCTGGGTTCAAGCTCCTACACAGCCATGAAGCTCACCAGGTGACCTGGGTCAGTCAGATGCTCAGTCTCCCCTCCCTCAAATGGCAGTTGTTGTGCGGATTAAAAAGGAGAAGAGGAGAACTTTGCTAGGAGCCCAGGGAAGATTACAGGAGAAAGGAAGGTGGGGCAGAAGTGTAATGCAAGGACGATCATAACTATTTCAGAACGTGCAGAGTTGTTTTCTTTCTAGTTCCTGCATGGAAGAGCACGGCCTCCTCTCTCCTTTCAGGCCGTGCCTCGAGTCTACCGCAACCCACAAAAGCCAAGTGGCCGGCATCTGCAAGAGTTGCTTCAGCGCTTCCCACAACCCCACAGAATCCAGGCTTGGAACAATCTAAGCCAAGAAATTGGTAGGGAGCCACTGGAAGGACACGGTCAGGAAAGGCTGTGGGGTAATGTTTGGGTTAGGGATGGGAAAAATAAAACAGATTCAAATGATGTTGAATTTCCATGAATTTGGCCCCTGGATTCCACTGCAGACACATTGTGCAGATTGGGTTTTTTGTTTTTGTTTTTTTACTTTCTAGAACTGTATACAAATCTAGTCATAGAAAAGCCTCAAGGTTATTGGGAAATGCACTAAGTATATAGCTGCAAAAATGTGGCTGTTGAAAAACAACCCGTTTTATATATTTCTGATCTCTCTTCCTCTGATCTCTACTGTGTAACACACTTTTGGGCACTCTGCCCATGGATCAAACACTGAGCTAAGAGAAATAAACCAAACGGTACGAGCCAGCAAAAGTCATGTAAATTGTGGCAAACTTTTCTGCATTCCTTCTTAGAGTGGAATAAATATCCTGCTTCATCAATGAACAATCCCAAAACACAAATGCTATGGATTAAACAAACCCAGCCACCCGCAGTTTATATATCACAGGAAAAGAATTCTTCCTGCTAGTTCTCTATCTCTTTTTCACAAGGTCTTTGAGCCACCTCTGCTCGCGTGAAGCAGGTCAGTGCCGTCTGAATTACCACAACCTTAGCAACAACAGTGCAGCACATTCATAGCAGCCCTCAGTAGCATCTAATCAGAACAACTATGACAAAATCATGAGAGGAAGAGAAATACAAGCTCGCTGATCCAGCTCTAGACAACATACCTGGACTCGGTGGAGCTGGCAAAACGGGTGATTTGGGTGTTTTAGCCCCAGAACTCACTGCGGGTTCGCTTTTCATTCTATTGAGACTCGGTCCGGAAGAGGACGATTTCACGCACGACCCATTGGAGGAATTCAGTGCCACCTTGGACTCATTAGCGCTCGACGTTTTCTTTAAGCCATGTTTTGGGGTTCCCGAAGGTGAAGAAAACGGAACAGAATTCTGCAGAAGGTAGAAAGCCTTGCTCATTGGAGTCCCTAAAGGGAAATCTTTTCATGTGTTCCTGCAGCAACTAAGGGGGCCTCAGCCACTGCGCAATGAGGACCACCTCCATGAAAGAACTGGCCAGACACGTGGCCCTGCCCTGCTCCCGCTGCTGCTCTGGATTCCATCCACGACCAAGTCCTCCTGGGGCGACTGTCTGAACTGGGAGCTGGAGGAACGGCATGGCAACTGCTTCACTTTTGCTTGAATGGCTGGCCTGAGGTGGCGGCGTTTGGGGGATACCGCTTGGACCCATGGATTCCCCAGCATGGGGCGGCTCAGTCCTCTGTGCCGTTTAACTACTGCATGAAACCACTGAGTGGGGCCTCTGGGACTCTTAAGAGGACCGTCCTCAGTACACCGTTTCTTCTCCTCACCCTCTCCAGCAAATTCGTCCGAAACTCCAGCCACTCTGGGAGGGCAGTTGCACTGACCAGAAGCAGGGTACTCGCCTCGTTTTGAAAGGGGTTGTTCTTCCCCTGAAAGAGCAGCTCCATAGCTCAGAACCTTCCTGCGAGTCCTCGCTGCAACCTGAGCCGCAGAGGGTCTCAGGGGGACAGAGCGCCATCTACCATCTTCAACCGGTGGCCCACACACCAGGGCAACAGGGGCTTGGTGGCGGCAGTCTATGCTCTGGAAACCCCCGAGTGAGACACCTGCCATGTGCTCTACCTGGAGGCCCCTTTAAAGACTGTTCAGAAGCTGCAGCTGGTGCAGAATGGGCTGGCCAGACGGCGGGACCACCTGATGCCAATTCTGGGCCACCTGCACTGCTGACCTGGGCATTTCTGAGCCCATGACCGAACTGCTGCTTTCGACCTATAAAACCTCCCGTGGCTCAGGGCTGCAGTTCTTGACAAAGTCCCTCTCCTCAGGCAAACCAGCCCTGGAGCGACACTCACAATTTGGGACTGTCCTCCAAGGGCCACTCCCACGGGAGGGTCAGAAGCCAGCCACAACCTTTCGCAGGCAGCCCCATGACAGAAGGTTCTCCCTGCTGAGGTCTGCCTGGGGCCCACAAAGCTGTCCTTCTGGCTCCAGGTGAAGACTTCCTTCTACTGCCAGGAATTTGATGACGTACCGTGGGGTTTTTAGTAACAGCCATGAACCATATATTACCATGACTGGCTTTTAGCTGTTTTAAAATGCTTTAACATTTGGTACGCTCAAGCTTTTATATCAGGATAAAGCTATGATAGATTGTACAGTTGCCTTTTTTTAAGCTGCCCACACAATTCTGACTGTCGGTACTGGAAAGAAACCAATCTCCTTTCCAGAGGAGCAGTTTTACTACCTTCAAAAGCAGCCACGAATTCCACCCCACCCGTCCAGCCCAGATCACATGCCCTTTCTTAATTAATTGTCTCTAACACCTATCTTCTCTTTGCACTGCCCTTGCACTAAGAAAAATAGAGGGGCACTGAGCTATTCTGACTCATGCCAGAGTAGGAGGAGCTACAAAGATGGAAAAATGCCCCCCCCCCCCCCCCGGTGGCAATGTAATTATACGACAAGCTGGAAAGCACCTCATCTTTATGATAGTGGACTGCAAGCAGGAAAGCAAGCGCTTCCAATTAAATCCGCAGACTTATTGTTTGTACAACGACTCATGTTTCCCCTCCACTCTCAAAGTCGTAATGACCCTGCATTCAAACACGGCAAACTCATTTCCAAGCCAGACCTTTTGGAATTCCGCAATGGATTGGAACAGCGGTAATACAAACAAAAGACCGTTTCCGAAATTCGGGCACGTGAATGCCATTTGGGCAGGGGCTGAATTCCAAAAGGTTCTTCGAGGCAAACACCACTGCACTGCTGCAAGGAAGGACGCATGGAAATACCTCACACAGCAGAGGAAGCTGGGATGTATTGCCTTGTAAAATTGAATCCTCAAAGGAAGGAGGGAGAGAGGAAGAGAAATATTTCACATCAAAAACAAGTACGGCATCATTTACCATTAGCTGACATGAATTGCAGTCTTGAGAACAATGGAAGACCTTGCAAGCAGGAGCCGAAGTCCTACCTTGTCTTTTAGGGAGAAGGTACCAGCGGTCCCTGCGAACAGGAACTTGTTCTTGACTTTCAGTTTCCCAAGATTGGCGACGATAAGATGGTTGGACCTGGAGCTTTCAGGAATGAGCAGGACGGGGGCACCAGCTTCTATGTCCAAGAGAACGCGGGCAGCTCGCTGGGCCTGATTTCTCACCTTAGCGAGGAGAAAGCAAGTCTCAGAAGATGCCCCCTCATGCCACAGGTCTCTAAATTCCATTCTCGCAAATAGTTCTCTAAAATGAAGCCGGCTTTTGAACTCACGCCAACACTGGAATCTACCACCAGTCTCAAGTTCCACCAAACTCTGAACCTGATTCTGCACTTCAGGGATCCCCAAACCTGCCCGCACCCCACTGAATGGTAATGGCTCTCTGAGGCTTTCAAACAGAAGCATCCTCCGGCCTCAACTGAGCCCGGCAGAGTCTACATGCAAAATATCTGTTCTAGAAGCGCTATATGATCCTACAGCCAGAAGATCACCAGGTCATCGAGACTCCAAGGTAACCAAGAGTTTGAAGGGTCTTTCCCATGGCAACCCTAGACAGACTGGGATCAAGTCCCACTGAAACGAATGGGATGCGGGTTCGCTGAGACTCGCTGACGTCTCGTTCATTCTTGCTGTGCCTACAGTACACAGCAGGCCAAAGGCAGGACGTCTGTGGTCCAGGGCTTCCCACTGCCACAAAACCACAGTGGCCTTTCACTGTTTTATATTGCAAGCCGTCCACAGACGAACCATAATGGACAGGACAGAAATACCTAAATGAATAAATTATTGCATGAGTCGTGTAGGGCGAACAATACTGACCAATCTTCCTGTGAAGTTATTAAGATTACTATGATTGCGTAAGTGAAGGCCGGAAATAAACTCAGCTCTTGCTCTGCAGTGCCGATTCTGGGCTTTTGATCCACTTCAGTATTCCGAGCCCATGGCGCGGGAAGCCATACTCTACAAATTGGTTACGTGCCAATAAGCACTCTTCCCAAAGTTTGCAAAAAAGTTTGCACACATTTTTTTAAAAAATGCATATAAAAATGTCTATAGCACAGCAAAGCATGCCCAATACATTTTGCCTGAGGAGACACCGCATGTGAATGATTTGAAAAATGCCCGATTTGAAAACAGCGTGAGTTAGAATGCCAGAAAAGGGGGGAGCGTTGCAGGGGGGAGCTTCCCCAACCAGAACGAGCCTCCAGTGCCATTCCCTAACGGTCGGGCCCCAAGGGCACGGCGAAGGACGCAAAGCATACCATCTGCCCCTCGATCGCGGCTCTCTGACGCCCCAGGACATCCTGCAGCTGAGTGAAATGCTGGATGAAGGACACCACCTCCGCCTGGAAGCGCTGCGTGTGCACGTACTGCACCGACGCCATCCGCAGGCTGACGCGCACGTCGCACTCCCTCTGCAGCAGCGGGTCGGGCCGGCCATGCCTTGCGGGAAACAGAAGGTGCGGCGTTTTCTGCTGTCGCTGTTCGTGCCCAGTGCGGTCCTCTGGCGACAGGCAGCCACTGCAGGCGCCCAAGGCTTTGCGCAGAGGGGTTTTCCCAGCATGCCCCTCCACCACTCCATCACCCCCACACACACACACCCACACGCCTTCCCCATCGCCTACTTGTACACTTGGAATATGAGCGCCTCTTCACCACGGGTCGTGAATCGTTCTCGGTACAGCTCTCCGTGGGAGGTGAGGTCGCTGAGGGACAAGCTGCCGATGCTCCCTTGAAGGGCCGTGTCTCCTTCTGCGGGGACACAAGACGGGGCCGGGACTCAGTTTGGCGGCACGGGCAACAGCGGCGCGAACGGCCCTGCAGAAGGGCAGGATGAAACCTCGGCGCCAAGACTCATGTCTCGAGGGCTTCGCCGGCCTACTCGGGCCGCTAACATCCATCAGGCCAGGGGCTCGGCCCCACGGCGGAGGCGGAGGGGTGGGGATCAGGATGCCAAGAAAACAAAGGCAACGGGGTGGATGCTTAATTGGTGGGGGAGAAAAGCTTGCTCTCTGGAAGGCAGCCAAGACAAGTATTTCTTAAAGGATGGCTGCACTTATGCCCGTGTGTTTGTGTTCAACTGGCATTAGCTTTAAATGGGGGGTTTGTAAGGAAGGACGTTAGGTGCAAAAGAACAGAACCATCGTTTGTTACTGCCCTATAAACATGAGGCTTAGAATGCCGCCATCTGGTCAGGGAAAGCCTGAACTCAGCAGTGCAGTCTGGCAATCTCTAAATTAAATACGGGACTGCCTTTGAAGACTGCTGCAGTGTGTGCAGAAGGCAGGAGCTGGATTAATAGTGGAAACCAGAAGGTTTGAACTCGTGGCAGCAACCTGGGCCCACTTGCACCGGCGGCCCAGAGGCTTCTGGGTGCTGCTCTGTGAAGCCCTACGCAGCTCGGGAGCCCAGGATCTGACCAAGCGTCCCTCCCACCCCAACCCGCCCAGGCGACGTGTGGCAACTCCAAGGAGGATGGCAATGAGGGGGGGCCTCCTCAGCGGTGGCCCCTCAGCTGCGTGATCATCTCCCCACAGAGGCCCCTCTGGAATCCACTTTGCCACCTTTTCAACACGGGGTTAAGTTAGTCCTCTGTGCTGAAGCATTAAAAATGGCTAAAGTTGTCTAATGACTTGGAGGTACCCATATCTGGTGATTTTAACAAGTCTATCCTGCACTAAATACTGTTTTATTTAATGGTTTCAACATTTTTCAACTGTCTTTTGATATTTGCATTAAAGAAAAAAATCATGGGTTTTTTTGGTATCATGGTCCTGATCAGAAGGTGTTGTAAACTGCCCAGAGAGCTCTGGCAATTGGACAGTACGGAAGTTAAAGAAATAAAATAAAATACCACAGTGGTGACTTTCAGATTGAAAACCAGGTTACAATTCTATCAGTGAAACACTGATTAATGTTATTATGTAAGGTGCAAGGTGTAGCCTGAACTTTTATAATGTGGCTCCCAGTATTTGCCATAAAAGCTGTCCAGAGAACTACTGGAAGCCCTCCAGAGACCCACTGGGTATTGGACGGGGTAAAAATACCCAAATAAAAAAAAAATAAAATAAAAGTAAAGCAATGACACACCAACGGGTGTTCCCTACAAAAGGGATATTCAGCCTCCACCAGTCCATTCGTTATACGCAGAAACTGTTCGCAAAGCGTGGAGCATCTCCACCTGCTTGGCACCCCATAGCCATAAATACTGACCACTGGCATTAAAGGGAAACAAATAAAAATATTTTTCCTCTAAGAAATCTTGCTGAGCTAAAATCTCTCCTTTCCCCCAACTTCTGAGAGACCTCAATCCTGTCCAACTCCAATTATATGGTTAAATCCCTATTCAGTTTCCAATTTTCTATTTAGCATGTTTGACATTCCAATACACCAGAAAAAGCAGTGTTTTCTTCCCCAGATAGACTTCTGTGGCAAATGGAATCAATTTTTACTGTACTTTTTATTTTTAGTTTTTATTGACTGTTGTAAACCACCCAGAGAGTTTCAGCTGTGGGGCTGTACAGAAATGAAATAATAATAATAATAATAATAATAATAATAATAATAATACAAGGGGTCTTAAAAAGCTCCCGCACTTTTTTATTTTATAAATATATTTTTTGCTGATGGCATTAAAAAGTTGGTACGACACTGGGAAAAATGCATCGCAAAGGAAGGTGAGTATGTAGAAAAGGGATGCAAGTTGTTTTTGAAATTCTTAATAAATAGAGTTTAAAAAGTAACTACTTTTTAAACACTATTTAAACTTTTTGAAGAACCCTCACCATTATTATTATTATTAGGGTTCTTCAAAAAGTTTATTATTATTATTAATAAAAAATAATAATTTTAATTTTAAAGAGTCATTCCCCAGTGTGAAAGCCATCCCAAAGGACAATTCGCTTACTGCAGACCCATCTTCCTAAAAAACACAAGCAACTCATACTTACCGATCATTTCCACATGAGTGACAAGTTTGGAAACGTTTGCTTTGGCCAGTTCATTGGTTGATTTATTTAGAACTAGGGACAGGGAATGGACCTAGTTAAGCAAAAAGAATAAGATTGGCAACAGACACAGCAAGATTCTTTTCATTAAAGACAAACCTACTTTTCTCATCCTTCAAATACCGCTGAGCCTTTTTAAAACGTGTCATCCACGCGAGAATGAGTAACTGGGAAATGTAGCATGCAACAGAATCGCAGCGGAGTTGGCTTTACTCTGTAGCTAGCTACAAACTGGCCCTCAAAGTGTATTCTCCAGAAGGCCAGATCCAGAGGCTGTGTCAACTGTGGTTTCTATTAGGCACAGCTCAGAATCTGCTCTAAGCTTCGAACCAAGTCAGGTAAACTCTGGATTAGAGCTGCTTGGCAGTTTTCCACGCAGCACCTGCTCAGCAATGTGGGCACACGATGGCCTCTGCAGAACGAGCACGAGGTGGAACACTGGCGGGTCAGCTCAGATACTCGGCCAAACCATCAACAAACCGTGGTTTGCAAAACCACTGCAAGCCATGTTTTCCAGTTATCAGTGGCTAGCTAACCACAGACTAGTTTGCCAAATGAAACACCAATAAAAAGCAGCCTTCGCCAGCCAGGTGCTACACGGAAATGGGACTTCTATGCCTCTGCAGGGACCAGGCTGGGATAGGCTGCCATAACTGTTGGTTAACCATAGTTCTATGGGATGTCTGAATCAAGTATCAACTATCCCCCAGGACTGTTGTTATCTGATACATCAAAATGCTCCCACCAAAAATATAAAACTTTAAGTAAATGAAGAGGTAAAGACAGTGGATTCTCAGAACCAAATCCCCCAACCAAGCTTACATTCGCCCTCAGAACCCGCCTGTGAAATTCTCCTAAGCTTTCTGACCAGTGTGGCAGACACGGGGAAAGGACGGCATCTCCTCTCATAGGTGTGAAGGTTTAGAGAAGGGAAGAAACAGCAGTAGTTTCTCTCCTCCTCCATATTTTTGCGTCGGAATGAGTAGAAGTTCTGCCTACAGCCTTCTGGCAAACTTGGCAGACGGTTTCTCTCACTTTGGAGGGACTGCTGGAAGTCCTCTGAGCCCAAAGGGCGAGGTGGCAAGTGCACCTGAGAAGCTGTGGGAGTGATGGCTGAGGACACATGCGCACACACTCCATCTCTCTTTCTCATACCTTCAGGTCCACCTTTGTGTTTACAGAATCCTGAGCTTCGGAGGTTGGCAAGAGGCACGGTTCTGACTTCAACGTGTGCTGTGCTCCTTCAGCAGAAGGCCTCAAACTGTGATTCTCGGCTGTGGAGCCGATCCCAAAGAAGTCCAGTATCACCACCCAGGTTTGCAGCGTGACTAACACATCCAAGCAGTTGAAGTCCACATCGACGCTGCGGTTGATCTTGTCATAGCAAGAAGAAAACCCCGGGTGCTTCTTGTCCACCAGCAACATGTTGATGTGCACCAAGGAATCATCGAAGTTGCTCTTCCCAGAAAGCATGTTTGGTTTGTTTGAGGTGGGAGAAGGAGGTGGCGTGAGAGGGTACTCCGAGTCTGTGTCGTCTTTGTGCTTTTTGTGGGAGCTGCAAGTGGGCCGTTGATACAACTGAAAGACATTTGGCGCTTCCTCCATGTGAGAAGGGAGGGATCGGGGCATGTCTGGATATTCCACATTGGACACTGACGGGCAAGACTGGGAAAGGTACTCTTTGTGTGCTAAGCTGGATGGTTTGGGTGCTCCACGTGAGACCATGAGGTTCTTATACAAGGAGTCTGGATTCTTCTCCAAAAGGTCCTCCATCAACAGAGAGCCTAGGGCGATCTGGACAGATAAGGTGCAAGGGTGGTCTTTAGCAAACTCAACTTCAAAATCCTGAAATTTTAAGCTCACCAGACCCTGAGCGCCAAGCGTGAGATCCCCACTCAGCTGAACCTGGAGCTCAGAAATATGAAAAGTGGCTCGTATCTGAGTAAACGACTGCACGGCTTCCTTGACGGGCACAAATTTGCTGCTAGAAGGACTAAAGCTGGAATGGCCGAAAAGGCCGTTGTCCTTCCTGTCAATGGAGAAGTCTGAGCCTGTGCTATGGAGAGATGCTGAAGGGGAACTGCAGCTGGGATATGGGGAGGATGCGACGCCGGATGGGGGATTAGTCAAATCTTCATTGCAAACCAAGTGGTCGAGGGTCTGCAAAACTTGCTCATACACGTGTTTTGCCAACACCACCTGCATTGGGGAGGGGGCGGGGAGAGAGGAGAAATCCAGCATTAATGACTTTCAAATGCAGCTTTTAAGAAGGAAGGTCTTACTTTGACCCAATTGTGTATCGTTGGATGGAGCTGTTTAATGCTAGAGCCACTTCAGGGCTGACTAAGCTACAAATAAACTAGACATCTTAAAACATGTTAAATAAATATGAGGGGTCTTTAAAAAGTTTCTGCACTTTTATATTTTATAAATATATTTTATATAATTTTTTGCTAATGGCACTAAAAAGCTGGTACAGCGCTGGGAAAAATGCCTCACAAAGGAAGATGACTACATAGAAAAGTGATGTAATTTGTTTTTGAAATTCTGAATAAATAGTTTTTAAAATTATTCATTTGTTCACTCTGAAGCAATGGATTCATGGAACATCTACCTCTAGAAATGTGTACGAAACCTCCTGAGAAGGAATATAAGATGATTTTTTAATGTGCATAATACCTGGAGAGGGTTGACAAACATCCCCTCGATTCGCATAAGGCTTGAAATTTCAATATCTTCGTTCACAGAGAAGGCCAGCTCTGCATCACTCTCTACTGGAATCTTCTCCAGTTTGAACTGGATAGTAGCATTATTTAAAATGTGGAAGGCTGCAATTATGGAGAGACGTGTGAAAGGTTATTAGCGCTGCGATGAATTGTCACAGTATGAGTCATGACAAAATGTAGGGACAGAAATAGGACATCCTTCGTGCCAGAATAAGTACACTTTCACACCTTCATTTTGATTCCATTTTTCCAAACCACGAAGTCTAAGATACAAACTGCGGCAGCCCATGGCAAGCCTGCCTCATGCAAATACTTGGGAGTCCACAACTTTACTCGATGGCCCAAAGGCAATCTCCTTGCCAGGTGGATTACCCTGTTAGGACCCTCACCTGTGCTGAGGTTTGCAGAAAGGAAGAAAAAGCAGACCCCCGCCACCTGCCAAGCATCGCACAGCTTCCCCTGTGCAAATGGGTATTCTATTCCCCTGAAATGAAGATTCGGGAAAGATGGGAGATAATCGCATGCAGTAGCTGGCTAGAGAGCCAAGACAAGGCGTGTGTGCCCGTTATGAATTGGTGCCGAACAAGTTCTAGAAAACAAAGGAGCAATTCAGTGCAAGGAGGGCAGACTTGAACATGCTGGGCATGGGACGCCATAGAAGCACAGAAGAGTCGGAAGGGGCCGTGAAGGCCATCTAGTCCAACCCCCCTGCTGTGGCAGGGCACCAAGTCACACCATCCCACTCAGGTGGCTGTCCGGGTTCCTTACGAATGCCTCCAGTGTGGGAGAGCCCCCCACCTCTCCAGGCAGCTGGTCCCACTGGTGTATTGCTCGGACTGTGAGGAGGCTTTTCCTGATGTACAGCCTGAATCTGGGTTGCCGCAACTTGACCTGATTATTCCCTGTCCTGCACTCTGGGATCAGCAAGAAGAGACCATGACCTTCCTCTTTGTGACAGCCTTGGAGATACTTCTAGAGGGATACCCTGGCCCCCCTCAGTCTTCTCTTCTCAAGGCTGAACATGCCCAGTTCCCTCAGTCTCTCCTGACACAGCAGTGTTTCCAAACCCTGCATCATTTTTGTGATCCTTCTGCCTTCCTTCTGTCTAAACCTGCCTAGGATGGTGCTTTAAGGCTATGCAGTTTTCTTCTTTGCTGAGAGATATGAAACCCATTTCTCATCATTCTCTCTATCTAAAGTAGGGATCTCAAGTTAAAGAACATTTCATTTATAAAACGACGAGAACAACTTCAAATGGCAGAAGGATATTAAATGAAAAGTTAGTACAACGTATTTAAGTGGCTCTAATAAAAAAGCAACTTTGTTAGCTATCCACACATGTGCAGAGTTGAAATGTAGCTGCAAAGAACTGGAAATTATTCAACATACCATGGCCTTTATTCACGGATTCAAAGAAGTCGTGACGAGTGAACTGGGACTCTTCCTGGCTGCCCGACGGAGGGTGTGATGGACGCGGTGCTTCGGCAGAAGTGTCTTTCTTTCCCGCAAAATGACTGCTGTTTAGAGAATACATCTTAATGTCCCTGATCTCCACTTGAAGCTTGTCACTCCTCAAATTGTCTTCTCCTGCCACAAAGCTTTGGATCGATATTTGTCCCAGGTGTCCGACCAGCAGCTCAGCACTGCCTGGTTTGCGGGGTATAGACACAACCGGAGATTCGATGTTCACGTTTAAAATTAGCTTAATTGTCTCTGTTTTTGAGTAGACTGGAAGGAGCTCCTCTCCTTCGCCGCTTTCCAAGTTCAGCGGATCCCTCGACCGAGGCGTTGTGTCAAACAGAGAGACCATTTCGGTATACTCGGCAGTCTTGGTGGCCAAGACAAAGGTCACTTTGGTGGCTGCGCTCTTCAGCATGCCGCGGAAGTTCTCCTCCAGTTCGTCCAGGGACAAGGCGATCTCTTTCAGGAACTTCGCCGAGTGGTTGTAGTGCAAGGACGCCATCCTGAGGTGGAGGGAGCACTCCTTCTCTGACTGCTTCGTAAAGGAGAAGCTTAGAGCATCCGGGAGGCTACCCGCGCTGTCAGGCTGGAGAAAGGCTGGCTTGGAGTCGCTCGCGTCGCAAAGCAGGTGCTCGTACCTTACTGGGTTTCCAATGCTGACGACGTATGGGTTCTTAATGCTGTCCTGCGTTAGGTCCATGAGGTGCAGGCAGCCAAGAGAGCCGTTCATCTCCAGCCTGCTGCCCATGGAGACGTTCATCTTGGTGCCCCCGATGCTTGCGGTTGCGATTTTTCGGCCCACTTTGTCTCCGTTGATTGTTGTAACTGTCCTGAGGAGCAGTATGTTCAGCCAGCGAATATCCACCGCTACTTCTGTACTTTGGGCATAGGTGGACTGGAAGCTTTCCTGCTCGTAGAAACTCCTTTCAGACTCGGCCATGAGGGGCTGAGGGCTGGAACTGTCTTTCCCCTTCGGAAAGGACTTCTGGAGGAAGCCAATCAGCTCAACCATTGTTTCTGGGTTGAGAATGATGTCCAGGTTGTTCATCTGAACCGAGATTACCTGGAGAGTGCTATCCAAGCTCATCGACGGGCATTCGGCACTCACAAACTGGTATTCCAATTTAATTAAGGTTTCGTCGTTTGGAGGCGAGATGCCTTTTGATGCTGCAGTGCACTCCCTGGACAAAGGCATCCCATCGAAAGCACGGGCTGCACTCGGCTCGGCGACAGGCGGCTGAAACCGACTGTCCCGCAGGCTTCCTGTAGGAACATCAAAGCTGAGATTCTTGTGTGAGGCCATCAAGAGGTCGAAGTCGGAGCCGTAGGTCTGCATGGTGTCGACCAGCAGCAAGCCGTGAACGGTGAGGGAGACTTCGGCGTCGTACGGCCTTTTCACAAAATGGGCGTTGGTGCCGAACACCTTGAGAACGGCGATGTACCGGCCGTTGCTTTCAACGCCGAGCTGCATGCAGTTAACTTGGAACTCGGCGAGAAGCAGCTGCGATTCCACGAGGACTTCCTTGGTGTGCTGCTCCACCGTCATAACACTCTGTGTCAAATTCATCACAGAACTATGCAAACTCCCGTGCTGATCAAGATCTGCAGAACTGGCCTCTTTCCCCATCTGCGAAGTGCCTGGAATTTCAGTCTCAGATGTGCTTAGTCTTCCAAAGCAATTTTTCAGTGCTATTACTTTATCCTCATTGATATGTATTTTCAAGTCAGGCAAATTCCCAGACAAGGCAGCACCGGGGTACTTGGGATCAGAGGTGTAGATCAACCTGCGCTCCAGCTGTAAATGAACATTGAATTTCTCCACCACGTGGGTCGGGCCCACGTCAATGTCTTGGGCGTATTTCCAGTTGTCTTTCACTCGCCCAACCATGATCTGGAGGTCCATGAATGACAAACTGTACGTGTCGTACATCTTTCTGCTCATCAGGTGTGCCTGCAACTGCTCTTCACTAATTTCCACCTCTGTAAATGCAAGTGTTTTGTCCCCGTCGGTCGCACTGGCTTCGGGTGGGGGGCTGCTAGGGGGCGTCGCAAGAGGGGTTTTGTATTCATCATCACTCAGGTCACTCAGCTCCGATGATGGACCCCCAGAACCCTTCACTTTATCCTCTGCTGGAAAGGAAGAAGACATCAGTCAAATCCACACTGCATTTATTAATGCCTTCTGAGATCAATCTTCCCAAGAGAGCTCACAATAGGAATAAAAACAACCATAAATGAACAATTAACATGAGACCATCAGTAGAGGGGCTTTGTGTGCATTTAAGTCTTTGAGCCAGCAAGACTTTCACAACAAAAAAGGTTTTTGCAGTGTGTAAAGGCAGCGACAAAGAGAAGAGATTGCACAGGGGTGGCTCAGTGTCAAAGGGACCTTGTTCCCATCACCTGCCCACCTGCTCGCGGAGGGAGTGGTGAAGGAAGGTGTGTGTTCTGCACGGATTCTGATGTTTCTGGATCTGAAAACATTACCCTGCCCCTGGTATAAAGGATAACTTCCTTGATGAAGCGTAAGAATCTATCTGGTGTCTTAGGGGCGCTCAGCTCAGCATCTTAACCAAGAATCCAGCCAGTCTCCTCAGGAGTTTTCACTCCCTGCCATTCATCTCTCGTATCCATGTACTCAAAGACAAGGTGCCTCTGAATAGATTTAAGCTCCGATTTCTCTTTCATACAACCAAAATCATTTGCAAGGAAAACACGATTCAGGAAGTTTTAAAAGAAGCTTGTTCCCATTACAAAATGATATCCCCATTAAAGCATACACATGCTTTTTCAACAAAAAGGGAAAAAGTCTGTACCTTGAGAATTGGTAAGTAACATTCTTCCCAAATCAATCACTACCAAAATTGGGTCGGCAGATTTGAAGTCATCGGGAAAGATCACCTGAGGGGCAAATATATCAAGGCACACTGTCCAACGCTTACTGTCTTCCTGAAAGGGAAAATGGGCATTGTCAGTATAACAGAAAAACATTAATCATTTTATTAGTAAATAAAAATCGAACTGCTAATAACCAAAAAAGCAAATCTAAAAATACCTTTACCAGGTCATAATTTTCACATTTCTCACGTACCTGTACAAATGCTTTAGCAAAACCCGGTTTTTTTTCTTTTTCTTTTATTTCAAAGGATTGCTCTTCATCGCTAGCTTCTGCACACGTCAGCTATATTTATATATTTTAAACTCTTGTGATGCTTATTTGCAACAAAAACATCCCAACAACCTGCTGAAGGGAGCTCTTATTTCTCCAGCCAGCGAGGCTGCTCCTTCCAGGGACCGTCAGCAAGTTGCGTGCAAGACCCCGGACATGCAGCAAGACAAGAACAAGCACTCCTTCTGTCAGGAGCTGGATTCCTGCCTTCTTCCCGTCAAACAACAGATGGTTTGTTTGTATAAAGGCATCTTATTTCCAGTGCAAAGCCAGCAAATTAATAGCCAATGAGGAAGAGTCACTGAGCATGCACAGAGTGATTTTCAGTAACTCTGGATGAACCCCGCTGCAGAAGCATGAGCCTTCCAGCTCTACGCAGGCCCTCTAACCGGGTAGCCCTTCTCTCCCAACACTCTGTCAGGGATCCGGGACCAAACCGAGCCCTTCTTTCTCCTCCCCCACTTCCCTTCCCTGCGCTTCCAGACCCTGTTGCTCCCCAGAGTCTGCCTGAAACCTGGAGACAACGACCTTGAGCTAAGCACTGCTTGAGCTAGAAACAGTTCCCTTAAGAGGAGCTTGATGCTAGCCTGAATTAAGTATGACTTACAGGATATCGCTTGGGACTGAGCTCCACTGTCCCAGTTCACACGATCAGAATCACCCACTGCGGTTTATTATTATTCAAGCCATGGGGCGCTGCGGCTCATGCCAGATGAGATTTGAACATTCGCTGTCTGGCTATCACTTGCCTCTCGCAAACCCCATCGCAGGACACAACAAGCTGCAACCAGGCTCCACGCGGGGCCGCCCTTGCAGACGGTCCGGATACTTCAGATGGTGCAGAACAGAGCGGCCAGGCTGCGGACGGGGACGGGGCGTTGTGCTCACATGACCCCAGTCCTCCGTCAGCTCCACTGGCTCCCCACCGAAGTGCGGGCCCAGTTCAAGGTGTTGCTTATCACCTATAAAGCCCTCAGCGGCTTGGGACCTGGTTACCTAAAGGAGCACTTGCGTCCCTATCTGCCCTCCTACCCCCCCCCGAGATCGGCAGAGGAGGCCCTTCTCTGGGAACCCTCCGTGAAACCTATTAGGAGGGAGAGTACCCGGAGGAGGACCTTCTCTGCGGTGGCGCCCAACCTGTGGAATGCACTCCCCAGAGAGGTCCGCCTGGCGCCGTCGTTATTTGCTTTTCGGCACCAGGCCAAGACCTTTTTATTTAAACCTCATTTTAACTGTTGATTTTATTTATTGGTTTTTAACAATTTTGGCCAGGATATCTCCGACTTTATATAATCGCATTAATGATATTTATTTATTTATGTTTGTAAGCCGCCCTGAGGATTCGGTGAACGAGGTGGTATATAAGTTTGCTAAATAAATAAATAATAAATTTTCAAAATGGGCACATGTACCCGCCAGCAAGTGCTGCAGCACGGCGTGGCATAAATAAACCCGCTCCCAGCAAATGCTCCCTGCCCTGCAAGACAAGAACAAGCAAGCTCTCCAAAAATGGCTACCAATCCCTGAAAACCACCAATCTGAGTCTAACCAACAATGAGCCAGATAGCTTAGTTTATAGAACCCTTGATGTCTTTGCCATGAAATACTTTAACATTTATTAGTTTTATACCCCACTTCTCTTTTTCTTAATTTTAAGAACTCAAAGCTGCTCTCCATCATATCCCCACAACAGCCTTCTCTCCACCTTATCCCCGCAAAAACAACCCTGTGAGGTAGGCTGGGCTGAGTGCCTCTGACTGACCCCAAGTCACAGGATGTGTGTAATTTTAAAGAGCATCCATCCCTTTCCTGCCGCCTATAGCAGCCTCCCACAACCTGTTGGCCTTCAGAGGCACTTAGACCACAATGCCCACAATTCCCATCCCGCAGGGCCACTGGCTGGGAATTCGGGTGCTGCAGTCCAAAAGCCTCTGAAGGCCCAAGGCTGCTTGCCTCTTGGGCCTTCCTCTTCAGGGCTGGTATTACATTGAGCTAACATCATGTGGTCTTGCGCAAAGCCAAAAATAAAAAGTCACCCTTCTTTCCAGTAGACTTACAATGAACTCCCCTACGAGCAAGCGATCAATGGTTTGCCTGATCTCAGCTTTGGTCTGCATTTTGAGCTTGTTGTACTGTCTTCTAGCAGCTTCGGCCACTCTCAGCTCCAGCGCCGACTGACACCCGAAACCTGCGCCAAGAGAGACAAACGTTGAAGCGATATTCCGCTTGCAAATATTGGATCAGACAGAAAAATAACACTGGAATCAGTTTGATATCCAGAAGCAACACAGAAAATTAACTTTGCTTCTATTCCGAACTTAAAGTCAAATTCAGAAGAAGTACCTCTCTCTAATCAGGGGAATACTTCAAACTGACAAATTGGGCTGACTGTTCCTTAACAGTTAATACTCTGTTTTAGGGAAAACATTTTCCCAGCCACTGTTACAAAAGAGTCACAATTCCCATTCTGAAGTGCTGAAGAGAAACGCAGTTCACTGAGGGCTCCAAATGACTTCAGACATTAGAGAACTTTTAATGGGACCTCTCCACTCGGAAAATCCCTTCCATCTTCTGTGTGGCTCCTACCAGGATGTTGGCAATACTACGCTTGCCAATTTCAGGCACACATCTTAGAACTAAACACTACGCTTCCTTTTCACCAGACCACTTTATTTTCATTCAGTGTTTCAACAGTTAAAACCAAGTGGGCAAGGATGGCTGAATAGCAAGCTTCCAACCCGGCAGCACTGAAGTTACAGCAATTTCTGGACTTCGCTGCAAGAAATGTCATGATACTGGAAGGAATTATTAGGGGAGAGTCGCCATCTCTGCAGGCTTCAAGGCGGACGTCTGTTTGGCATGCCTCAGCACATGCACTCGTCGACCAGGTGGTGACCTGGTCCACGCGACCACTGCAACTCTCAGGTGCAGGACAAACCTGGGCAGCAGCTGCAACGACTGTGCAAAGTGGCCCTAATGCTTGGAGTCCTGCTCAGCCATGGAGCCCCCTGGGTGACTTTGGGCCAGTCACAGACTCTCAGCCCAACCCGCCTCACAGGGCTGTCGTTGTGGGGAGAAGATGAGGAGGAGGAGGAGGAGAATTTTGTAAGCTGCCCTGAGTTCTTTGTAAGCAACAAGGTGGGAGCTAAATCTAACAAATACATACGTCTATGAATGGTGCAAATAAAAATTTTAAAATGTACCTTCAAATGACTCTAGATTCTTAATGGGTACTACCATGTTTCCTGAATAAAACTTAACTCACTTGCCCTGCTGCAGCCGGAAACAAGCACCGCCCGGGGCACTGCAGAGCAATCGCTTCACAGGTTAAGCGGTGTCATTTTAAGATGGTCACAAGCACGAACTCTGCAGGGCCAGATCAAAGGCTTCTCTGGTCCAGCAGACGGCTTCTGATGCTTCCAGATGCCTCCTGGGAGGCCCACACTCAAGGCAGGAGGAAGAAGGGCTCTTCCAGCGCTCTTTGTGGAGGCAGTCCACGAGCCGCCTGCAGCTTTTCATCCCACAGATGGGAATGCTGCATTTCCTGGGATGCACTGATTTTCTGCATATCAACAGCCTCAGATATGCAGATGATACCACTCTCACGGCAGAAAGTGAAGAGGAACTAAAGAGCCTCTTGATGCGGGGGAAGGAGGAGAGGGCAAAAGTTGACTTGAAACTCAACATTAAGAAAACTAAGATCACGGCATCCGGTTCTCTCACTTCCTGGCAAATAGATGGGGAAGAAATGGAGGTAGTGACAGATTTTATTTTCCTGGGCTCCAAGATCACTGCAGATGGGGACTGCAGCCAAGAAATTAAAAGACGCTTGCTCCTGGGGAGGAAAGCTATGGCAAATCTAGACAGCAGGCTATAAAGCAGAGACATCACCCTGCCAACAAAAGTGCGTATAGTCAAGGCTATGGTTTTCCCAGTTGCAATGTATGGCTGTGAAAGCTGGACCATAAGGAAGGCTGAGCGCCAAAGGACTGAGGCCTTTGAATTGTGATGCTGGAGGAGACTCCTGCAAGTCCCTTGGACAGCAAGGAAATCAAACCGGTCTGTCCTACAGGAGATCGACCCTGACTGCTCCTTGGAAGGCCAGATGCTGAAGATGAAGCTCAAATACTTTGGCCACCTTTTGAGAAGGAAGGACTCCCTGGAGAAGAGCCTGATGCTGGGAACAATTGAGGGCAAAAGAAGAAGGGGACGGCAGAGGATGAGGTGGCTGGATGGGGTCACTGGGGTGGTGGGAGTGGGCTTGGGTGGACTCCGGGGGATGGTGGAGGACAGGGAGGCCTGGAGGAATGTTGTCCAAGGGGTCACGATGGGTTGGACACGACTTTGCGACTAACAACAACTAACTTTCTGCAGCGGATGGAGGCTATCCTGATCAAGTGGCCCTCAGCACATGGTTGTGAATTGCACCACCTGCTTATGAAAAATACCAACTGAGTGCTTTCTGGACCCTGTGCACAGCACAAGAGCAATCGTCTATCGCTGCTTTAGCATGCTAAGTGTGAAGAAACGTATTAAAAGCGCTAACCTGAAGTATGAACCCTTCCTTTGTAGAAAAAATCGGCGACTTTCTTAATGGCTTGTGGGTTGTAAATAATATTCAGGGGTTGAGTGCGGACTTCCAGGCGTCGTTCAAAACTGCTGCGAACTGGGTTTTGCTCGTACAGCATCTCAAACACTGGGACAGCCGGACCTGTGACACCAAAGCCAAGCACAGCAAATGTCAGCGAACGATGCCACTGGCATGAGTGGACGGCCAATAGGGGAAAACGATGCAACCAGCTTAAGCAATAGAAGGATTCATTATTAAAAAATGACATCAATATACTTTAACCAAAGGGGTGTCGTTTTTAAAGTCAAGGGACTGGTATCGATGAAGGGGTGGATTTAAATTGTAGCTAAAAATGAAAATATTACCGGAACTTTGGTTACTCGTGTCAGAAGATGTCTGGAGACCAATGGATGATGCGCAGCCCACTTCTTTTTGCTAAACGGAACAAAAATAAATTGTTACGTATCTCACTAATTTAATACTACATATACACATACAAAACCACCCTCCTCCATTTTGTTGTAATTTCAGTCTTCTTTATATACAAGGGTTCTTCAAAAAGCTTCCACACTTTTTAAAACTCTATTTATTAAGAATATCAAAAACAACTTACATCACTTTTCTACATATTCATCTTCCTTTGTGATGCATTTTTCCCAGCATCATACCAACTTTTTAATGCCATCGGCAAAAAAAAAATCAAAATACATTTATACAATATAAAATATAAACGTGTGGAAACTTTTTGAAGACCCCTCGTAGGGCTGCCCGACGATACAACCAGTGACAAAGTAAAATTCCAGTAATGACAGCTGGAATTCTAAAACAAACAGACGACAGCAAGTCCCCTTGAAATCAATGGGACTTAATTCCAACAAAAACTCATCTCACAAGCCAAGGGCAAAGGGAAAACCCTTTTATATAAATAATGCCTATTGCCACTTTGCAATCTCTTGGGCTTAAGAGAAATCGCTGAGATTCTCAACCCCCCTGTAAGGAACAGAATTAAATTCCTTGGCAGAAGATGAACTGGCTTTCGGAGAATTATGGGAAAGAAATCAGTCTCCAAGCAGTTTGCCAGAGCCAAACCAACACATCTTCTATACGCAGCCAAGCTATTTAGCGTTTGAATATTGCTGAGGCTGAAACCCATCCATCTGGCTAATAGCATTGGGTTTCTTAAATAAGAAACGGCTAATGGACTTAGAGAAGAGCTTTTTCGGGGATGCTGTTTTCAAAGGCACAATTGCACTGATCCTGCCGTTAGAGAACCAACAAGACATTTGTCCAGGCTGGGAGCCATGTGACGAGGCCCCAGCAAACGCATCTCTCAAATAAATCTTGCCTAATCTAATTTCTTTCAGCTTCCCCTGCAGAGGGCAGAGGAAAACTGATTTTTCAGTAGAAGGGAGACTGGTGGCCTTAGAATGGTATAATGCATCAGATGGTGGACTCCATGTTAGAATACGTCCATTTGTATTTAAGATGTCCCAATTGTTGCTGCAGCTGCAACAGACTAGCCAAGCTTCCTCTCTAGGCGTCATCAGCTTGGGAAGAGTTTCTTTTTCAACATCCCTGCCCACACAGACGGAAACGTGACAAGGGGAGGGGTTCCCAGAGTTGTGAGGGACACAGATAGTCAACGCACTAATTTGTGTTGCTGCCACTGCACCACACAGTTACGAGCAGACACAAGATCTCTTCAACAAGCAACGGCTTTAATTACTGAAATCCAAAAAGGTATACACTGTGACGTGATTCAACGTACTGGGTTGGGGAAGACAAGGACAGGAAAGATGGTTCCTTCGGTTGCTAAATCGCGTAGGAACAGGCTGCCAAGCTGAACCTTGAACAGGGAGGAATTCCTGCGAGGAAGCGTTTCGGCCAAGATGGTCACTCCTGCAAAAGAAAACAGAAAGCCCAACCATGTGCTGATTTTGAAATGGAAATTTTAGCTGTCTGGAGCCAAAGGACTCTTACCTCTGATTCTCAAGTGGCACATTTTTCTCCTTCAGAGTTATCCTAGCTGTCCCTGCACGGCCACCGAGATCTACGAGAGAAGCCCGGCTTCAAGTTCTACCTACCTGGAGGCCAGACTGGCGTCCGTAAGATCTACAGTGCCTGGGATTGCTCTCTTTCAAAAAGGTTGCACGCTCCCACTTCCGATTCTCTTCCCAAAGGCAGATAAGGGACTTGTCTTCCACTGAGGCTTTGGGATGGGCGACTATTGTTGCTGAATTCTCTTTATTTTAATTGATGCTGTGTTTTAAGGCACTCTGGGGTTGGATTTTTGTTTTTTGTTTTTTTACAAAAAGCAGATCCTATTTTTATTAGCAGCACCACCATCACATCCAGGCAGTAATTAAGCTGCCCCTAATGGGCCGGGGTCTTATAGCTTCTATACCTTACATGCAAATCATGTCACCCCAGATGAACTTACAGGGGGAAACTCCTGCGCAATTGAGTGGCGGGGGGCAGTCTGGGCTGAGCTATTTTGCTGGCCAGTCGATACAAGTCCAGCTATGAAAGGTCAGCCACAAGGACCTCAATCCATCTTCGACGCGCTGAGGATCCTAGCCACTTCTCCTGCATCTGGCACTGCAGGAGGGGCACCCAGCGCAACTGCCAAGGCTGCTGAGCCAGCCTCGCAAACGAGCCTGCAGGATTTGCCAGCCTTCAGAAGATAAATATTGCCCTGCTGAGGGATGACAGAGAAGGGAGAGAAAGACACATTCCAATGCTGGATGCAAAGCAGGAAGTATATTTTTTTCCTGGCAGCCCTTTTGCTTTCTCATCGATGTAGTATTCCTTGCCCCCACATCCCCCCAAAGGACCAAGTTAAAACAGAGATACAAGAATGGCTTCTACGGGTCGTTTCCTCTCCAAGAGTGACTACGCCCACGTGGCAAGGGAAGGGTGGAACAGGCAGCTCGAGTTGTTACTTCACTGCCCTTTTTATCATGGTTTACAGAGATTCTGCTACTCCTGTTCTTCCCAAAAGTAAAAACAGGAAGGTCTGAGGCACTTCATTTACGATCAGACTGGGATTCCCAAATTACGTATAAGGTAGCTCATTTTTGTGCCTCTGCTATCTGTGGTAGAAAGATGACGATAAATCTATGGAACGCGCTCCCCAGAGAGGTCCGCCTGGCGCCGTCGTTATATGTTTTTCGGCACCAGGCCAAGATCTTTTTATTTAAACAGCATTTTAATTGTTAGCTTATTTATTGATTTTATATCTTTGGCCAGGGAGTTTCCAATTATATTGTTTTTATATGATTATATGTATTTATTTATTGTTGTAAGCCGCCCCGAGGCTTCGGCGAATGGGGCGGCATAGAAGTTTACTAAATAAACAAATAAATTAAGGACAGCAGATTATAGCTATGGTTATCTTATTGCTATGTTTTATCATGTTTGTGGCATGATGTGTTTTATGTATGTGACACACACATATATATAAAATGAGAGAGAGCGAGAGACAGAGAGGTTTGTATTTGTTACTTGTCACCTTGTTTTTAATGCATTTTAATTCTCATTTTAATTGTAGTGGAAGAAAAATTACTTGTTTTAATTTATGTTGACTCACATGGGCTTATGTGGGTCTATGATGTAATAAAATTGAATGAAGGATTGATTGATCGATTGATTGTTATGTCATTTCCTTTAGCAGCAGATGACAAGTAAACCTGCTGGATATAGGCTCCTTCTAAACAAAGGAATTTGGTGGATGGGGGAAATGGCACCGCTTCCATCTGCTGGTTTGCATATGTTCAGCTGAACCAATTACGCCTTGGCAAAAAGTGTCATGACAACAAGGAAGGAGCAGATCAGCAAGACTTGGCAGGGCCAACGTGAAGCAGCACAAGCGCCACAATTTAACAAATCAAACAAAGGGTTTTCAAATATCTTAAGCTGGGTGGAGCAATTCGGGACGGATGTGGTGATGAAAAGGAGCCCATGGATATCTCACCCAACAGGAAGCGTCATTTATTTATTTAGGAAATTTATAGGCCGTCTATCACTGTCATCTCTGAACAGCTTACAGAATTATTCTAAATCCTAAACAAAATAAATTAGCTATTCCACAAACTGAGCAGCAAACTGAACTGACATATTTAAAATAAATTAGATACAGCATATACAATTAAAATTGGTTGATGTCAAAATATTGATCAAATTAAAAGGTCTTGACCTGGCGCCAAGAAGCATACAATGACAGCGCCAGGCAGACCTCTCTGGGGAGGGAGAGTCCACAGTCGGGGCATCACCACAGAGAAGGCCCTCCTCCGAGTACTCTGTCTCCCGACCTCTTTCAAAGAGGGTTCCTGGAGGAGGGCCTCGGCCGCTGATCTTAGGGGGCGGGAGGGCATGCGGGGGAAAAGGCGTTCCTTGCGGCCACAGTGAGATGGCGAAAGAAGCAAAGCTCTAGGAGAGACAAGAAGGCTTTCCCGTCCATACCTGAAAATTCCAGCTGCATGAAAGCCCTCCCAGGGGCCCACAGGGCCCGCTTTTCTGCATGCAGCAAGGTGACGGAGCCACCCTGCAACCGGAGATTTAACTTGGCAAAGACGTGATCCCTCTTGGTGAAGGTATTTATGTCGGAGACATCGGCTGCCGGGTCAAACAGTTCGTCGGCACCTAGTGCAATGAGAGGAAACTGTGTAAGTTGAAAAACACGAATGGACATTTGAAAACAAGGCTGCCAAAGTTCAGCAGAGAGTAGGAGAGTGCAGGATTGTAGCCTTAAGCTGAGCTGGAGCACCGCAGCGGAACCCACTTTTAACGGCCAGGATTAATTGCGCAGTATTCCTGTTTCCTCACAAGGAAGCGAGTCCCTCTCTGGCGAGGAGGACAGGCTTCCGCTGCACAGAAATAAGTGCCACCGTTCATACTGACAGGAGGCTTAGGATCCCCACTGGACTTCTTCCAGGCAGACCACCGGATCCCACCTCTCGTGGAGGCTGATGCAGGGAGGGGGCCTTTGCTTGCCTACCACGTTCCCGATTTTCCCGTAGCTGCGGAGGGCACAATCATCTTCCCAGTCAGGAGGGGGCAGGGGAGCAGCAAACGGGGCAGAGGGGGGAAGGACGAGTTGGTGCCCTTCAGAGAGAGTCACTTTCAGCAACCATCCCTCACTGTGCACGGAGGAATAATGGCCTTCCAGTAAAGGACCACGCATGCACACAGGCTGGAATGCGCGTCTCTGATTCTCTGTTTCCCATTAAAAGTAAGTGACTTGCAGCACGCAAAACGCACACGAGGTGCAGGCTCGACCTCTAAAGAAAACGGAGGGGCCCGTTTCTGTCTCTGCCTCGCTTCCTTCTATCGAGAGGTGGCAGCGTGCCTTCGGGTGCAACTGAAGTTTACGGGCTGCTCGGTGCCGCCCCGGAGAAGCGGATCAAAATGCCGGTCCTTGTTCACATCAAAACTGTGACGCGAACAACCTGCGGCTCTCAGGGGAAACTGAAAGGCCCCTGCAAATCAAGGCCTCTGGAAAGAGCAACCTGCCCATTCTCTGATCACCTGCTGGGTAGGGAGCAAGGAGGAAAGAGAGAAAGGGAGTGTGTGTGTGTGTGTGTGTGTGAGGGAGGGAGATCCCAGCACAACTGTGGCGAGTGACACCGCCTTCAGTCACACCCATCACAGGTACGCAGCCCCACAAGGAAATGCAGCGCTGAACTGGACAAGGGTTCCCTTACCCTTTCATATGAGAAGGAAGGACTCCCTGGAGAAGAGCCTGATGCTGGGAACGATTGACGGCAGAAGGAGGAGGGGGCGGCAGAGGATGAGGTGGCTGGATGGGGTCACTGGGGCAGTCGGCATGAGCTTAGCTGGACTCCGGGGGATGGTGGAGGACAGGAAGGCCTGGGGGAGTGTTGTCCATGGGGTCGCAATGGGTTGGACACGACTTCGCGACTAAGAATAACAACACCCTTCCATAAGGAACCTTACACTGGGGTCGCCCGGGCTGCTGTGCACACTGCCTCTGACCTTCGCAGGGATGTTTGAAGGCACCTGAGCATCTTGCTGCTCCTATGAGGAACGTCCCACCTGCCGGACCGGCAGAAGCGCCTTTGCCCTTCAACAAGGCCTCTGTAACGCTCAGCCAGCGCGTGAGGTGTGGCTCCTGATCACCATCCCAAATCCAGGATGACCTCAGCCAGGTAAGCCTTCTCCCTTTAATTGGCACGTCTGAGATGGAGAGAGGCTAGCGGGGTTTGGTCTTCGCTTAAGGAGCTTAACCAAGACACAGAGCAGACCTTTTTGGGGTAAGGAAAGAGAACCCCTTCCATAGGCTACGCCTGTCCTAGATGGGACTTCAGCACCACGTCCTGCAGGGACAACCTACCACCACCCTGCTCTTCGAGAGAGTCCAAGCTGAGTGTTCCATACCAGTGACGTCTTCTGGCCTCCACTGCTCGGGTGCTTCCGAAAGCAGCCCTTCAAACGTGTCCTTCTCCAGGGCTTCCTTAGACTCGCCGTACCAGCCGCCCCACCCCGGGAACCAGGACTGGAGGTACTGCAGCATCCCGGTGCTGCTGTGGGACTCCGGTTCAGCTTCCGACATTCCCGCCAAAGCATCCGATAAGGGCTCCTTAATGCTCTGTTTGAAATAGGGACATTGATGAAGAAAGACGGAAGGTGAAAAAGCTTGCTACTTTTTTACCCTCTTGATGCGAAATGCAAGGCAACATCTGCAGGAAATGTTTGTCAATGTTGATCAATCCAGCTTCATGAACAAAGGCTATCACTCCAACAATGAACAAAGGTGGGAAGTACTATCACTCCCTTTTGATTTACCCATCCTTTTAAGAATTAGAAATTTTAATTGGGTTTAACATCCACAGTCACTTTTTTTTTGCTTTTGTTTCTGATTTGGTATTATGTTTTTGTTGTTTACGGCGGTCATTTGCTGTAGTTACTAACTGTTACAACTTTTGTTATTATTTGTTGTAGTTACTAATTGTTATAATTTTGTAAGCCGCCCTGGGACGTTTTTCTCATGTAGGACGGGATATAAATGTTTTAAATAAATAAAATAAAATAAAATATAATATAATAAATAAGTACTTCTAGAAAAAGAATCCTAAAACAGGACTGCCAAAAAAAATGGATGCATTCGCATACTCAGTGGAGCCTCAAAGTTTGTGGAAGGGCTAAAAAAAGCTCAAGGAAAAGAAAGCAACACAGACTGCCCAGTGAGGTCTGAGAATGCTGAGCAGCCATGGAATGTGGTAATGCAAAAAAATATAAAAGTTGCCAGCAAAGTGTCTTGTGAGGGACTGGACTGGCCCACTGTAGAAAGACAAGGCTGATTGGCTGGGATCTGAACAGGAAACATCCTGAGTTTTTGATTACGGGTTAAATATATTATTTGCACAGGGCAGCCATTACCCTGTATTAGGATGCCAAAGAAATCCATGATGGCATCCAATGAGCTCGGTTTTATAGGCATCCAAGATGTGGATTCCTTGCCAGACCAGCTTTTTCCAAGTCACATAAACTCGCCAACCTTTTGCTTGTAATGTTGGGAGTGGATTTGCTCGAGTGCACATTTGCAAACCGGAACAAACCTATTTTTGTTCCCAAAACATTACGACACACATTCCATCAGTGAGTGGATGATGGAACAGCAAGTCCCCGGGGAATCTGTGAAACACAGCTGGAATGGATTTAGCAAAATCCATACATCCTTAGACTGAGAATGTGGATACGTTTGACTCTCGCCGCCTACTAGTGTTACGCTGTTGTCTTTGTCACACTGTACACTTTACTGCAGAGATGAGATTAAAACTTTATATTTACGAAATTATCAATTCTGGATTTTTTCATGTTCATGGGTCACATTTCCTAATTCTATCCAGGTAGGCTGCCCACTTCTTTTACATTATGTGTTTCTTTTAGTCATTAAGAAATAGCACCAAACCAGTAGGAGATACTAAACCTTGAATTTCCTCAGTTTTCTCACCTCAGCCAGTTCCCAAAATCTGTTGAAAACAACCTCGCGCAAGATTTTCAGCTCCTCGACTGTTTGTTCATCCTCAATGCGCTCCATCTCTCTCTACACGGAGAAAGAGAAACTTTGGTAAATGGTTAAGACTGGGAAATGCTGGCAACTGTGGGACTTTAATCTGTTTAACCATGCATAAGACTTCTCCTCAACCCTTATCCTAAATGTAGACACGGCAAGAATCGTCCCTGGAAAGCACAGCATCGATCCCACGTGGAGAAAGCAGCAGCCTGGCTTGGATGCAGTGAACTCAGCCCTGCGTGAGTCGACCCTGGAGCTTTGCAATACCCTGTCCCTCGTAGGCTGTGTTTACCAGGACCTGAAACAAGCTTCAGAGCCATACTTTCAGGTCCTGAGAACTCCCAAGTTTAATATAATTGGAACGTATGGTTAATCCTGTCCTTCACTGCAGCATGCAAAGAAGGGAGCAGAGAGAGAAAAGCACAGCAGAACAAAAGGTTCGTGCAGATGTCAACCTAACAAACCTGAGGAAAGTTATATCAAAACTAGGCCAATGCTAATAATACACAAGGAATGCAAGCAGTCAGCGTGAGCAAACCGGGCCACTGTGCACCCATAAAGGCAGACACCCTGTGCAAATGTTTCCAAGCCACAAGGAACTATAATTGGGGGCAAATGAAAGTGAGGAGAGGGGAAAAGATTTTCCTTTTGCAAGCTCTGTAAAGTCCCACTGCCTTTTCAGTCTATCCATCCTGCCCATTCATTAAGTCCATTCGGAATGCTGTCCTGTCCCCACCTGAATTCATTTTACAGCTTCTCTGTGCTCCCGTCCCTGGGGAACACAGAGTGCCAATTGCCCTGCGGGAAAAGAACATGGGATGCTGGTGCTTCTTTAGACAAAGCTGGCTGCTTTCCTTTTAGGTTTGCAGTCCTTGTGATTTGTAAATGCTTCAGGCACTCAAAGGACTAGAGTCAAAATACTACTAAGCAAGAACAATTAAAGTAGCCAAGATCTAATTGACTAATAATCCTAGCCAAACAGAAAAAAATTCATTATTTTTTATAAATAATGAACTCATTGTATAGGAATCCAAGGCAGGTTGCTTACTCTTCTTCTCCAATTTATCCTCACAACAATCCGAAGAACTAGGTTTAAAAGTGACATTGAACCAGCAGCCAATCCAACTGCAAGCAAAGTTAGTGTGTGTGTGCACAGGGAGAATTTTGATTCCTCTGAGAACATAATTTTGGCACTGGACGTGTTAATTTGCAACAGTTCGGGTCTGCATTACTTATAACAAACTGAATATTTCATTCACGCAAGCAAACATCTTGCAAGCAAAAATATCTCAAACAAAGGTGAGTTCAAAAGCTGATTTCGAACGGAAAGAACACTTCGCCCACAAATGCTACAATTTGAAGCTATTTATCGTCACCTAACACAGTAGGTATCGCCCCTGCGACTTACCTGCTCCTCCTCAGACAGTGGCACTTCTCTCAGCTTCTTGTAATAAATGTCTGTGTACGATACAGCATCTCGGGCCCGATGCAACACAAACTCCCAGGATGAACGCCCCCTCTTCTCTCTGATCTCTGAAATGTGGGCATTCAGAGCAAAACGCCACCATTCTCGGCAGCTGCAAAATGAAAAGCAGATGCATTTCCACTTTGTAATTATAGCCAGGCTAAGGTACAATCCAGAAAGGTGAGAAATACAGCAGCCTTAAGTGCTGTGATAGCAGCAGCCGGCAGCAGTGGGTTGTGCCAACTTCCCAGGCATTGTGGACTTCAATCCAAATTCTTCTTCTGCGCTTGTGATAAAGAAAAAAAGATGCGCTGTGTCGCCAATTCGTACTTGGTCCCTTTGAGATGTTTGGGACGACAACCCCCAGTAATGGTGAATGGAGGCCAGCCTGGCTGGGTCTGAGCAATCCCCCAGTCCAACTTCAGGAGAGGACCAGGCGGGAGGAAGTCTGGGCCAGGACTGGAGCCGGCGGGATTCCAATCCTCACTCAGCCATGTAGCTAAGACTGTCCCAGAGTCATCCCCTAAGCTTCTTGGAGAAAGATAAATATGGGACCACAGGTATTGTGGATCCTTAGCCAAACAGAAAGCCCAAAGCATCTCCAGAGGGAAGAAACAAATCCTGCTCATTCTGATGCTTCATCTGGGCGCCCTCTTCACAATCCACAAGAACAGCTGCTGTTATTGGAGAACACCAAGCTGGGCAGAAGGATTATAAATGTTTTTGTTTGTTTGTTTTTGTTTTTTGTGAGCCGCCCCGAGGCTTTGTTGCGATGGGGGCGGCATAGAAATGTTTTAAATAAATAAATATAGTGCTGTGCTTCCTGCAAAAAGCTGTTTGGGGTGAAAAAAAGGTGCACATGGCCTGGAGTGACAGTGACCAAAGCCGTGGTCATTCCGTGTCTCAAAAAGGAAGCAGGACCGGCTGCTCCAGAACTATCTGGGAGCCAGCGAGCAATGGGAAAGAAAGGACTGGAGGAAGAGGAGGCTGCGATGGAAAATAACCATTTCTTTTGATGTCAGAGAGTGTGACAACAACAAGGAGAACGATTCGGGGACATCCAACAGACAAAGCGTTGAAAGACATTTTTAAAAGAGTTCTGAAAAAAGTACCAGTAAAAACACAAGTAAAAACAGGGGAATTCTCCCACGAAATGTAAGGCAGTGGATTCCCCTGCTCTCCCCACCGACCTGCACAAAAGAGCACGGGAGCCTCAAACACTGGCCCCCGGGCTCCAAGGACCCAGCAAGGCCTGTGCGTCTAAATGCTGGGGTGGGCATTCCCTCCATCCCCCCATATTCGGAAAAGTGGAGGAAGTGGACTTTTCCCCTTCCCACATGCCAGGACCACCCAACCCTTGTTATTTCCCCCTGATTTTAATGATCAATTTGGTTTTATTCTGGGTTTTTATTATTGAGGTTGGATGCAGTGCCTTGTTTTATTATATATTTTGGGGTTTTTTTCTTTTTCTTGTAAGCTGTCCTGAGACACTTGTAGTGGACAGCCTATGAAAGCTCATAATAAATAAACAAACCAGCCCCATTGTGTAGCCCTGCCTCGACCCATGTGGCCCAACGAGGGGAGGTTTCAGGAGGAAGAAAGGGCAAATATCTCGCCTTCCACTCTGCCCCTGCACCCCAAAGCAGCTCTCTCTGTAGCCCTGATGGATGGCAAACAGAACCCTCAACAGAACCGTTCCTCCTGGCCACTGGAGATTTAATCCAATTTAGCAGCCGCACGTCCGCAGTGCCATGGCCCGATGGTTTGAGTTCACGGGTGTGGCAAAACCAGAGAGAAGCAGCATCCTGCCTATACGGTCAGGATAAGAATATGAAAACAGCAGACCTCCCCCAAATTTTAGTTCTGAATTACAAGCAATGGCCAGAATAATCTACAGTGAAGTACAAATTTAATCTGCAGCTCAAAGACACGTTCTCGCATCAACAGCACCTCCTTGGGATTCAGAACTGAACATCTGGCCAGGAAAAAAGAGGCCGTACTTAGCAGTGACCGTGACCTTCGGCTTCCACCTTCTGAACTTGACCTGCCGCTCCTTCCGTTCCAGCTCCTTCAAGAAGTCCATGATCTGCCGGTACTGAGTCTGTGTGAATAAGACCACGTGCCACCATTAGAAACTCGTCTGGCATGAATTGTCCATTCATTTCAGCAATGTGCATGACGCATTAGTACGTGCATCTGAAGGAAGGCAAGCCAGGAGAAGGCAAGCCAGCTTTGGATAACTGTTCAGGGTGTCTAGTAGGGCTGGTTTCAGTCCTCTCCTAATTATGGAGTCTGCCTGTGCCACGGCACCCATACACTGAGCTGGCAGCGTCATCCAGCTTTCCGCCACAACCAAGTCTCTTGTTGTGCCACCACCAGCTCAGACCAGCTCGTAGTGAAGCTGAAATGTGTTCCCCCCTTTCTTCTCCAGCGTGCATCACTCGATACTTGTCCACAAGCCTCACTGTCCCTTTTTCTTTCGGCCAGCCTAAAGAAGGGGGTGTTGTCACCCAGCCTGGCCACCTCACTGCCCATTCCGAACTCCAGATCCTTTCTTGCCCAGAGCGCAGCAACAGTGTGATCCACCACATTGATTCCACGTGCAAACACTCTGTGAGGAGAACATCTGCCTTGAGCAGCTCTTACCTGGGAAAGTTTCAGTGGAATGGTCTCGAGTTGGATATCAAACTCAAGCCGGGGAGAGTTGCGCGATCTTAAGGGCTCCTTGGAGCAGTTCCTCTTGAGAAGGGCCGAGGTGCGCACGGGCTCCATGATGTAGTCGTGCTCACGGCTCTCCATGCTCCTGTCCATGGCTTCCTGGAATTCATAACCGTGTCAGTTCCAGGCAGACGAACACGACGTCCTGCACAGGCAATGGCTGCTCCTACCTGCAGCTCCCCAGGTGGCAAGTCTCCCAGTAAAGCACAGTCGGTGTCCCAGTAGATGCTGAAGTCAGAGATATCCAGCTGCTTTTTCTTCATCAGCTCCTCCACCTTTGAACGAGAAGAACGGCGCTGAACCGCAATCCAGGCCTGCCACACTGCACTGAATGACCCATGTCCTTAGCCTGAGTGCAGCACTAGCGGGGAGGGAAGGCGTATTCACAACACTTATTTAATTCCTGCATTTCCCAACAGCCAAAGCTCTCTGGGCTGTTCTCAACAGTACATAAAAAAAAAAAAAAGCAACACAAAATACATCACTAAAACACATTAAAACAGCATCAAGGCTGACAATTTAACCTTTAATCTCGGTCAAACTCTGTCTCTTACTGCCCTGCTCCCTTTCACAAACACACAGAGTAACTTGCCAAGCACCAAAGAAGTCCATGATGCGGCTTCTAGGATGCCAACAGTGTTGGAAGGAGCCAGCGCCTCGTCAGCTGAACGCCGTAACTTTTAAGGGAGACCAGCCTGCAGGCCAGTCCTCCCACCACCTCCCTGGACAAGGAACCTGCTTCTTGTACTCTCATAAAGAGCAAGGACAAAACACATGGTGGTTACAGAGCAACCACCATGCAGTACAGGAGGGCCGTACATCTAGCACATCTAACCTCGGGACATTCTCTTGCCACACTTCCCTCCTCCTGCTCAATAGCCAAGCACCCTGCAACCCCACCCGTTCCCAGAATGCACTGCTCCTCCCCTCAAATACATTCCAGCCATGTGCATGGCAGATCCAGGAAACTCTTCGCCTTCACACGGCCTTTAGCGGGACACAAACCTTGGCTGGTGCGATTCTCTTGCGCCCTCTGAGCTTATACTCACCGGCTCATTGACCGCATTTTGCACAGATACATTTTTTATGCAGACTCCGAAGGCAAACGGCTGCGAAGGGTTCGTGATGCCATCTTCGAACCTCAGGTGGACATCCTGAATATTTAACTGAAGAGGAGAAAGAAGTGAGACGCGGGGGAGATCTTTTTAATCTGTCTGTCTGAAATAAATTCACAGGTGCCAGTGAATCACCAAGCACTTTTTAAAAAGTATTAACCACATAGACAGATTATGATCTTATTCCGGGACTGCTGGTTGATCCCCAAACATGACCAGTTTACATTCCCGCATACAATTATGCCTTGTGTTCCCAGCAGCAGCATTCTTTGCCGTCCCTCAGAATGCATGAACGGTGAACTCACCCTTGTGGACAGTGGCCCACACATTCTCCAAGCCCATCAAGCCCCAATTCTCCTCCCTCACTCAGAACTGGGAAAGGGGTTTCACCAGTAAACCTTATTATAACTGCGGGCCTGTGTAGGCTCCCATTCCAGCGCCCAAAGAAACCTGGGGAAGTAACAAACCCGCCACAGTGAGCAAAATTATAAACTCTTCCTCCCATAGCTTCCTTCTCTGCCTCTTCGAATTCTCCTATCCGGCCTTCCCACCCTTCCCCTCTGCTTTTGGCACACCGGTTCATGCGTCTTGCACCAACGCCACACCCAACACAACCGGGATGTGACTGTGCCTACAGACAGAGAAGGCTGGAATGTGACATGTGGGTTGCAGGAACTTTAGGAAGTTGTAGTCCACAAATGCGATGGATCTGTTGCTTAGGTACCCCACAGTCATCCACGCCTGCTCAGAAAGATTCCTCCTCTACACACCGCACTGGTTACGACAACTCGAGACCAGATTCGTAGGGGTGGAAGTTTTTTTCCTGAGCTCACCAAGAGCTGCAGACAGGGGGAAGGAGGCTATAAATATCTTAGAAAACAAGGGAGAAGACCGCCCATCCAGCCAGCTTACTTCGATGTTCTCGACAATCCTTGCCACAACGGAAGCGGTCACTGAATACCAGTAGGACTCTGCGACCTGTTCCCGTTCTTTCTGAAAAGAGAGAGAGGAAAAGCTTCTATCTTGAGTGGGAAGAAGAGGAAGGAGACGCCACTGGGGAACGGTTTAATGAGCTGAGCTTCAGAAAAAGCGAGAATGCCAGATCATTTGCAGGCCCTTAAAGAATAGCCAACTACTCATCATCTTGGAAAGATTCCACAGTTCTATAGTAAGCACAGTGAGCAGGAATCGTAGAGAGAGACACCATCAGAAAATAGCAGCCCATTAAGATCTACAGAAGGCCTTTGCTCTTGGCAACGTCCATATTGGGAAGCACCCACCATCTACAAGCTCAGCACACAGCGGAGGAGATGAAGAAAAAGCCAAGCTGCCCGCCAAGCCTTAAAGCCGGATGCTTCACAGGTGCCGGTGCTCCAGTTTGGATACAACCTCTGCACAGAAAAGTGTACGCACTGCATATACCCCAGACGAATGCGCTTGTTCCACCACATGCGTGAGCAACGGGAACTGCAAGTGCCCGATGTGTACAAGCAACCCACAGACACCTGTTCCTCAAAGAATGCGAGACGCATTTGAGAAATAAGGCAAAATAAAGCTATACAGGCATCTTCCTTTCCTTCCTGGATTTTAACTGCGGTACTTAATCACCCTGAAGGCCCCTGCTCAGTTGAAGTGCTTGACTTCTTCTTAAAACTGTAAAACTAACGCTCTGTTTGCAGCCTACAAATAAAAGCCAACCTACTTCCTCTGTTTTCGAAGAAAGAATTGGATGATCTCAAGACGTTCAGAACAAGAAATCAGATCTGAGGTTGCAATGCAATCCGTTTCCCACATCATAAAAGCTCCTAAATGACTCACTTTCCATTTTTGTTCCAATGCTAACAAAATTGCTTTCTTGCTTTCTCTTTCCAAGAGGCTCTCCCTTTCTTCATCAAAATCCTCTTGCTTTCCCGGTGAGCCAATAAGGTGCAATTTTGACACAGAGATCACCCAGGGATCAATGTGGGGACGATAGAACGGTATCTGCAGTGTTATCTTGCCAATGAAGCCTACAATTGTCAAGGAGAACAACATCAGCACACACGGAGACATTTCCCCAATACACTGCTCCTCGCTCAAGCAGAAGCTCCCAAATGCGAACGCTCGTTCAGGCACTTCAGTGGTGTGGGATCCCCGGGGAGCATTTCGCGGATCCCTGTCAAGCGCCTGCAGAGCCCAAGATCGAGGCTGTGACATGCATATGCCGCACATGCAGGCACGGACATTCAGGGCAAACAGCACAGTTGCAAAATGAGCACTCATGCTGTTGCTGTCGCAAAAGTCAATTTACTTTTAAGGCCCACCCAAAACCAGTCTCTCGCTAAAAGAATCTTTCTGGTAAGATGCTCCGCTAGCCCGTGGACTACTGTGGAAGCACAAACAAACCCTCCTCTTTAGGCGCCCTTCCCAATACATACCAGCTCTGACTTCAAACGGCAACAATTCCTTCAAGGCATCTTTCTTTAATGGTAAGTTTTCCAACTCGACTGCCCCTGCAGGAAGAAGAAACAATAAAACAAAATGTCTTTGCGGAGATGTCTTTTATATTTTTATATTTTTTATATCTTTTATCTTTTTATTTATTTTATTTTATATTGTTAATTTTAATGTTATATTGTTATTTTTGTATTTTATTGTGTTTGTAAGCCGCCCCGAAGCTTTGGCAAGGGGCGGCATAGAAATGTTATGATGATGATGATGATGATGATGATGATGATGATGATGATGATGTCTTTGTGGGCAAGTCATTTCGTCATGGTGCAAGGAAGGGAAGTGATGGAAAACATCATCACTTGATCCCCTTTCTAGCCAAGATCCTACAAAAACGCCAGTAGGTCTCAGGGATACCGACACCCCCAGCGTGTCAAAGGTATCTTTTACACTTGTATTCTGCCCTCTTTCCAAGCAGTTCAGAGCGACGTTACTGACTATCGATGTCACAAAATCCTAGCCCAGCACTGATTAGAATCCTGGCTTATTGGTACCGAGGAAATGAGTTGGGATGGACTATGAAATCACGCCTTCTCGGCTTGCCTGACAGCAGGACTGGCTAAAGGAGAAGAGTGTGGCATTACTCAAGAGTCAGGAACGCTTGCCAGCTTTCTAATCATGGTTTAAAGGTGGTTTGTGAATCCTGGTACATTAGAGGTACAAGCCAAGATCTGGGTTCTGCTATCTACCCTGGTAAGTTCCAGATCCGTTTTGCTACTCTTGTTTGAAGGGACTCAAGCGGGATTGCCTAGCTGCAAGTTCTGGAACGTTTGCTCATTACCAATAAACCAACGTTGCGAAGAACAGCTTCACATTTGCTCCAAACACGCCCTTAGAGCAACTCTCACGGGTAAGTTAGGCCAAAAGGTCATAAATTGCCCAAATCGGAAACCTGGGCCTATTTTTTCTACATCCTAACTATAGTTCTATACTTAATTGTTATGTACCATCAAATCATCTCCAACTTATGTGCCATCAAGTCATCTCCAACAGGGAATCTCCAGCTCTTCAGTGAGCCAACACGGCTGAGTGAACGGTATACAAAGATGTTCACAAATAAATTATAAATAGATTGTGGCATGTCCTGTCCATTACAGCCCTGCTCAGCATTGGCAAATTCAAGTCTGTGGCTTCCCTATTGGGGTTTGTCCATCTCATACAAACAGAGCAAGTCAGAAGGGACCTCCCAGGCCATCTAGTCCGACCCCCGGCTCCAGCCGGCATATTAAGTCTTCCCTCTCTTCTTCTGCCTGCGACTTTCCCGGGCTGGTAGCCTTGCTGTCCCACGATCTGGCCAAAGTATGACAGCCTCAGCTTTGTCCTACTTGCTTCTGAGTAAACTGAAATTTTCCACAATTTCAGCTTCTTGATTGCTAACAGTTCAGTTCTGCAATTCTTCTAGAGTCATGAGTTCCGATGTCTTAATATCCAGCTGCACTCGCTCCTTTCAGGTTCATCATTTGCAGTTGCTCTCTGCTAGGAATACGCTCTCTATATTACTGTGTATCTATAAATCTACACTAGCGGAACGTTGTTTTTCCTAAATCATCCAGAGTTTTCATATCCTGTTTTACCAGTCAGTTGTCATTCAACACTTGCTTGATTAAAACAAGGAGGGGGAAACTGAACATGAAGGGCTAAGCACAGTGGGGTGGGGAGGAACCCAACACAGGCATAAATTATGTCAGGCCTGCAAATGACTCCCTGGAAGAATGAGCTTGTTGGCAGCATCTGTGCATCTTACCTTTGAGCAGTGCTACAGAGAGCTGGTCTGTGTTCAGGTTACTGACATATTTGCCAAGGTAGTTGTTGAGGACCCAGGCTACCAACCCTTCCAACATGGCTGCTCCTCAAGAAGTGGGAGGTAAAGACCTGTCATGCCTGGTTGCTCTCTTCCATAGTTTAAGGATGGTCTAGACAAAAGACAGAAGGGAAGAACTTAGAGAAACACGTCCCGTGGTCAGCAAGCAGCCTTCGGGACTAAAAAACTACACCCACCCACCCCGCAGGGTCCCTTCCAACACACCTTCCCCAGCTGGCTTTATTTAATATGCTTGCCTTTAGTCAATTTTAGTCAGGGTCGATTTTAATCTCTTGTAAACCACCCAGAATCTATGGGATGGAGCGATGCATTAAAAAAAAAAAGGAAGCAAGTTGAGCAGCAGCTGCAGTAGTTTGCCCCTTAACAATTCACCCATCAGGTTCTTCCCTTACGAAGCCAATAAACTGGGTAGCTAGACGAAGCCGGTTTGTTCAGTTACTGCTGCAGTACCCTGTATTTTGCGTTGCCCTTGAAGACGACTCTGAAGCTTCAGTTAACGCAAAATGAGGTGGCTGGAACCAGCACCAGCACCAGCACGGATGGCTGGAGTCACGTCATTCCAATCTAAAAAGAGTGGGAGCGACTGCCTATCTGATTCCAAAGCTGATTGAAGCCCCTGGCACGTACCCCTGAAGCCCTAAATGGCCAAGAATGCAAATACTGGAAGGAGAGACACAGCCATCTGCTGCATCAGTCCGCCATGTTTTCGGACAGTCAGGGGAGATGCCCTCTCCATGGTACAGCTCATGCCAAAGAGAGAGAGAGAGAACCCCTTCCATGGTGCCTTCGCAACTGTGGAATACTATCCCCACAGGGATGCAACCGGCACCAAAGTTGTCTTCTTTTCAGTGCCAAATGAAATCTCACTTTTTTACCTAGACATTTTAAGACAGTTCAGACTGGTCGATGTAACTTATTAGGTATTCCCTGCCTGTTATTGCTCGATCGTTTCATTGAATTATTGATTATATGTACACTGTACTTTTTTCCTGCAACGAGCCCAAGGCAGCTTACTTAATCTGATCTCCTCAGTCCCAGCTCAAGACTCTCAGCTTTCCTGACAGATTAAAACGCCGTCCACCCCTAGCCAGCCAATGGACACCTGGAGGCAGCTGGGCTGGGGAAAACATGCATACTGCATGAGGAGCTTGGGTTACATTCTGCGAGCTGCCTTGGTATCATCTGAAGAGCAGCAGTAAACGATGTTAAACAAACAGACCCGGCATGTCTGTCTGAAAGCATGGGAGCTCATTGCATCAGTGCTGAAGCTAAGCCTCCATGCGCTTCTGTGCTGCTCTCCAGGTCTCTTCCCCTCTGTCCTCGCCTTCTCCTTTTCCCATCTGCCACTCTTTGCAGACCTGCTCTCTACAAACTGCTAATCCTTCAACTAGCGATGGAAACAAGCCTCTTTTCATTTTAGGGTGCAGTGGGGAAAGGCTTTGGTCAAATTTGGAGCTATGCTCTTTAGATCTGATAGGTTTATAAAACAAAGCATTGCTTACCGATACTCTATCCTGACCTTGTCCAGGTCTCAGCTGCTCTCTGGCACGGATTCAGCCTTGTGCAGTGGTGAGTGCAAAACACAGGAGCCTAAATTTAGAAAGATGTGAGGGAAAAGATGTGAGGCCTTCGCGACAGGACGGCCTATAAATATTCTAAATAAATATATAAATAAAAATAAAATAAAATCTATTTTGAAGAACTGCTGGAGAGGCAGTATAAATAATCAAGACTGGCTCTTTTAGTGAGAACGAGCGTGCTCCCAATGGTACACACTTCAACTGCAAGGGGGTTGTCTTCCACATTTATGCAGGGGAGCTGGGGCGGGGATTTAATGGCCGTAGCACACGTAATACGGGGCGGGGAAGAAAGGCGCTTTGCCAGCTGCCCTGTAGTCCTTCTCTGGCATTCTGAGCTATGTTGTGTGCCTGCACTTGCCCAGTGTAAGGAACACTGCCTGGCTTGCTTTTAGTGCAATCTGCCTGGCTCACCCAGCCAGCCACATTCTCCAGGCCCACGGACATACAACATCCTCTCCCAACCAGCCAGGAACCAGATCATGGCCAATGCCATGAGCTTTCTGAAAAGTTGTCCAATTTCCCAATGTCCTAAATAGATTTGGGTCCAATTTCGCTTGTGTTACTTAGGGTACAATCTTTTGGCTGGCTGGGGAATGCTGGGAGCTGCACTTTTTCCCTGAGAGCATGCACACATAGTTTATGCTATGTTAGAAGCTATGTGCTGTGCATATCTCAAACAGCCAAGTTAGTGCAATACTCCGAACGAGGGCTTATGTTTGCAGAACCACCTCTGTCCACAACACACGAATGATGTCACTGCCATGTCACAAGATCCAAGGTCACTAGTCAGGCCCAGTGCAAAGTCAGATTAGTTCCACAAACGTCTAAGAAATTAATTAAGGAGGCTTTGGCTACACCACCGACTGACTGACTGCTGGAGAGCACCCCGATTGCACCTTTACGGGAGAAGTTTTGACCTGCCTCAGCTCTGGCACTGCTTACACAATCTTCCAATTACTAATTATGGGATACAGTGGCAAGTCCCTTGTGTTTTGCAATGGGAGTTTCATTACTTTTTAAGATAGAGATCGGTCAAGTCCAATTAAACAGCTGTTATATACATTTCAAAAGAGGTGTGCCAGGCAACATACAGGTTTGCTCAAAAGCCTCCCTTGGGCACATACTAAGAATGTAAATGCAGCCTAACGCATCGAGCGAAGGTCTATGCAGCCGAGGACCTTGCCTTCCCATAGCACCTGTTTGCACAGGCAAAACTCTTATGCCCAGCAACCGGTATTCCAACACGCGCTGAAGGCAGGATATGGCCCCCGAGACTAGCCATCAACTAGCTGCAAAGCTTTTTGGATTCAGCTCAGTATTTGCTTCCTTCCTTGTGCAAGCATCCAAAACACTTGGCATATGCATGCCATCGCCACAGCAATCCTTATAAAAGCATCATTTCCACCCAAATGCAGACTTGGAAGCAGGTGGCGAGGCAAGAAAAAGAACTAGCAGAAGTTCACAACAACAGAGTGTGTGTCCCATGTAGACAGAGAACTTTGGACTGGAAAAGGAAGAGCAGGAGGCCGAAGGGGGGCCAGAAGACACTCTATTTCTCATAAAGTATATACACAATCTAGTCAAAAGGGTAAAAAGATCCTAATGGAAAGGGTGTGGCCCATTTTCAACTGATAAGCTGCAAAAGGCATGAAGATTATGTTTTTCCACAATAAAAAGTACCATGTGAATTGCAGCTATCCTTCCAGCTGCAATGAGACAGCATCAGGTGACTTTGAGCAATTCGGTCACGGCCAGCCTAAGCTACCTGGCAAGGTGAGGATAAAACAGAGGAGTACCACCTAAGCGGCACAGTTTTCTTGCAAGAGAAAAAAAGTGGGATATAAATGTATTAAAATAGTATTGGCAAGGGGACAGAAGAGATTGGGAGAGCGTGTCAATACTGGGTCACCACACGGGGCTGTGGCAACATAAGCAACATCCAGCAGGAGCAAGCGCTGTGCCCATTCTACAACTTCTGCCCTGGCTGGGGTGGGTGGAAGAAGGTAACAGCCCCAGCCTCGCAGGGCTGCTGCAAGCGGACCGAAGAAGAGCCCCATTAGATCAAATCAAGGTTCACCTGGTCCATACCTGGCTGCAACTCCAAGGTAATGTACGCGGATGCCACTGCACAGCCACTCCCGAGTCAAGGGGCAAACCACCCAAGGCCAGTGAAAGCACCCTGCCGGGGGGGAGCTAGGCAGGCGGGCTGACCCAAGCACCGGGCCGGGCCCTGGGAGGCCTGGCTTCTGATCTGCTCTTCGCCATGAAGCTCCCGGGGGCCTCGGGGGAGTCACGCCCCTTCAGCCCGTCCCACCTTATAGGGTGGCTGGGCGGGTCAAATGGAGAGGAGGTGGATTCTGAAAGCTACTTTCGCAGGGCAGGAAAGCTACACGAGAAGGACCCCGATGGAGAGGGGGAGAAGTAGGAAAGGGGATTCCTATCAGCCAACCTCGCAGGGAGGCTCTGCAAGCCGCCCGAGGTTCCTCGCAGGAGGAAACGCCGGAAGAAAGGACCTGTGCGTGCATATATATAAAATAAACAAAGTCGCCCAGAGAAGGGGCAGGCAACCTGATGCCCCCGGGACCTTGGCCGTGCTCGCCGGGGATGATGGGAGCTGTCACCCCAAGCAGCTGGCGCGACTCCCCCGCGGGACCCCAGGAAAGCAGCGCGGGGAGGGGCGGGGCGGCCTACCTCGCAGGGCCGTCGTGGCCGCGGCGGAGAGCCCCCGCCGTCCTCCCAGGGGCGCTGCGCGGGGGCGCCGAGGAGGGTCGCTGCTCTGGGCGCGGGCGGCGCTTCCGGGAGGGGCCCCCGCTCGCCTCGCCTCGCCTCGCCTGCCGGTGCCGCGCGCGTCCGCCGCCCGTCGCGAGCCAGCCGGCCTGCGCAGCCGCCGTGCGTCAGGGCGAGCGCCGAGCGCAGGCGCAGGCCAAGGCCAGGCCGGCGAGCCGAGCGCCGAGCCACCCACCGGGGGCGGGGCGTCAGTGGAGTCGGGCCCCGCCCCCCGCCCCGCCCCGCCCCGCCCGCCGGGGCTCGGAGTCCCGCCAGCGCCGCGCGTAGACGGCGAGGGGGCCGTGGGGGCCGACTCGGGGGAGCATGGGCCTCGGGGGCCAGCTGGGCGGGGAGCATGGGCCTCGGGGGGGAGCATGGGCCTTGGGGGCCAGCGAGGTGGGAAACCTGACCTCAGAGATGGGGAACGGGGGCCGTCCAGTGGAGGAGAATGGAGAGGCCAGGATTTTATTTCTCCCAGCCTGCCTCCCCTCCTGTTCTCAAGCACCCTCCTCAGATGGACTATTTGGCTCATCTAGTGAAATACCAAAGAGCAGAGTGTGGGAAAACACGCTCGGCTCCACTACTTCTCCTGCCTTATCAGTTTCATGCAGGCAGACCGTACAGATCTCAGACTTCTGCAGAGCAGCAGCGCTGCAATCCTCGCCCTTGGACAGGTGAGGTTCCCAAGACCCTTCAGGTCCCCTTGCCTTAGGCTGAGAAGGGCTTTAGAGGTCAAAACCAGCACTTCAGATTCCATGTGTATGTGAAATAGGATCCTAGTGCCCATGCCCAGTCGCAGCTGCATTATCTGCTGTTTCCAGTCTTCAGTGGCATGTGACGCTGTTGTGTGGGACAGACAACTTAGGTCAAGCTTTTTCTGTCCCAATACCGATGGAGTACCATCTTAAGCTAAGCCAGCACTAACCTGATTGGCTTTTGAGCCAACTAGGTATATATAAATGATAATATTAAATGGCACCTTCTTTCTGATGCTCCACAGCAACCGAGCCTCTGACAGGAAGGTAGCATATAACCATCAGGACTAGGAGCCACTGATAGCCTTCCCCCTTTAAAGCCACCAAAGTGGCGGGCCATCACATCCTGTGGCAGTGAGTTCCAGAGTTTCACAACACCTGTGTAAACAAGTAACCTTCCAGCTTCGTTGGAGGACCCAGGGTTCTAATGTGAGGGGAGGAAAACATTTCCCTATCTGCTTTCTCCACGAGACAATCATTTCTATGGCTCTACCAGATCCCCTCTCACTTGCCTTTTCTGAATGGAAAACCCACAAAGGTCATCGTTGCCCCATTCCCTTAAACCTGTTGTTGCAGGTTTTGATATTTTTCCCAGCAATGCAATATGGGGTGGGCAGGGTAATGAAGGGGGAAGGATCCAAGTGTGATGGACTGTGATTGATACACATCTTCTAGAAATACAGAAACATGATTTATTTACAGAAAACACAAGCCTGTAGATTTGCTGCGTGCTCTGGCCATTGCTTGTCTCGGGTAGTTTGGCAAGTTTATAGACACAGAATGAAACTGACAAGGATTTTAAAAAAGCAGTAACCTCCCCATAGTTATGTTATGAGAAGTTTGTTTCTCCTTGATCACAACTGTCAACACTTCACTTAAGGATATAGTTATTTAGCCACTTCTCAAGTCACTGCCAAGCAAGGCAAAGTTGAAAAGGGCTTGCATATTTTCAGAGATAAATTAGGCTACACATCAAATGACAAAGCGAAAATCGCTACCGCTTTCTTCCAGGCATCTCTGAGCAGATGCAAGAGAACGCAAAAGGACAACTGTCTTTCAAGGAGTTTAATAGACCAGAGAAAAATGGAAAATGAAGCTTCTCTCCACCAACAGGACAAGCTTGCAGTATTTGCAGAGGGAAGACTTCTAGCACTAACAACCAGAAAACATGGCGCGTTCTGTTTTTCTCTTCTTTGTGGCTTTTCTTTGGTAAGGGAAAAAGGACCAAGAGAAACAGCAGAAGCACAAGGGAGGATCACAAATTGCCAACGATGTTGTCAAGACCCCCTCCCAGGACTAATCCTTGTGCAGAAACACCAAGCATCTTCCTAACAACATTTCTTCATACTACTTGGAAGCAGGGTGTTTATCACTTCTTTTAAATATACATCATCCCTTTGGCATGTGCATAATTTTTTGACGGAGGATTCTAGCATTCCATGTCATAATCTTGAGCTTCTGAGGAGTGGGTAAAAATCCACACTCCTCTTTTTGAGCAGCTAAGTAGAAACATTGGAAGATGCCTTATATCCTGCATCAGAGCATTCATCCAGTTTAATACTGTCTACTAACTGGCAGCAGCCGTCTGCCTAGAGATGCTAGGGACTGAGTAAGAAAACTGCAGAAGGCCAAGTGTGAGCCCTACTACTTAACTACAGCTGAATCTACAAATACAAGTAGCATTTGCTCCCCAGGCAGCTTGTCTGGGATTAGCATCGAAGCTCACAGAATCGTAGAAGAGTGGAGTTGGAAGGGGCCAAGAAGGCCATTGCGTCCTTGCAGGTCACTAATTTCCACCACACCACTCTCCCTGAGTGTGAAAGATGCTCCTCTAAGCTCAGCAAGTAGGACACCGAGGAGCGAGAAAGACAGGAGATGATTTAAGGGAAACAAGCGGGGAACGGAAGCTACGGGGCTTCTGTTTTCGAGGTAGCTTTACAGTGAGTTGGACGGGCATCCAGATCACCACAGGATTGCCACCGCAGTCACGGCCCCGTTTCATTTCGACCCTGACAGATACAGGAATCAACAGACATTTTCACAACCCGAATTCCAGTCCAAGTCTCGCATATTGCTGTAAGCACCTGAGTTTTTCTAGCCACGCCAAGTGGCTCAACGCTTCAAGGAGCAAACTTTTACAAGTGTTCTAGAGCAAAAGCAGCTTTGCAGAAACGCTCTCCAGCCGCTTCGTGACTGTTTGGGACTCTGGCACAGCCCATGTTCTCACGTCGTCTTCATGCCCACATCTTGTATACTTAGAGGAAGTGCCTTTCCCTCGTTGTAATCAAATATGCCCATACTGTCCTCCACTTCAACTGCGATTTGTCTTCCAGGCTCCCTCTTCAAGACACTTTCTTCCTTTGACAAGGGAAGATCTGCTGCCGAACTGCAGCCTCCAGAATCCGCCGCCGGGGCGCTCAGGGACTGGAACGGCAAGCTGTGGTCTGCATTACAGACGCTGACGATGCAGCTCACGTTCACATGCGTCCCTCGGTTGCCGGACGGCTCTGCCCAAAAACAAAACCAGAGAGAAAACCAGATTAAAGTAGAAGAATGGGAAACCGAGTCCGACCAGAATGCTTAGAGAAGCTTGCCCTTTAAAAACGGACAGATTTTAAAGGGCAGGATTTAGGATTTAGGATTTTCTAAAAGCACACTGGTTTCCATCAACAAAAACGGACGGATTTTAAAGGGCAGGATTTAGGATTTAGGATTTTCTAAAAGCACATTGGTTTCCATCAACATGATGCTTCTCTTCTGCACTCATCCCTTCTGCAAGTCCGCTTTGCTTGTTCCTTGCTCTGCTTACGAGTAATGCGAGGGGTTTAGAACAGACAGCTGGGCCACAAGGGTGATGGGATGCAATGGCATTCCAGCGAAGAAGCAGAATGGCTCCTTCACCAAAACCCTGCTGCTGGGGGTGCCTGGGAACGGATAGGCTGGGCATGCACATGGTGGGCGTGTCGTGAGCGGAGCTGGCTGGAGCCAGGGGTCAGACTAGATGGCCCGGGAGGCCCCTCCTGACTCGCTCTGTTTCTAAGGTGTGGCCTTGCTCTTTCCTCAGATGCTACGGCGTCAGTTCTGCATGCGAAGAAGGGCGCTTCAGGAGGGTCGCGTGAAGAAGCAGGAGGGAGAGGCGGAGGCTGACCAGACCAGCCGCCGTGCTCTCTCTGCCCCTCTGCTCAACACACACGGTTCCTCTCACTTTGCAAGGTGTAACCTGAGTCTGGTGGACAGGCCTGTGCAAGCCAGTTTCGCCTTATCGCTTTTCACCCAGTCTGTTCACGCTATTTTGGCAGATACTTGAAATCCTTCAGGACAAAGGTGTGTCCAGTTTTATTCCATAAATTGCAAGAACTGAGACGGCTCTTCTTTTAAAAATCTGCAGCAAAGCACCACACAGTGGCAGTTTCTACACACATCCGTTACAATAATCACGGGAAAAGGGGTTGTCAGAATCTTGCGCACCATGTGTAATGCAGTGCTTTGTAAGACGATTAGTGTGTAGGAAGTTCCACAAATGGCCTCAGATGGGGCCTCAAGCGCATGCCTGCAGTTGTCTTAGCATGTGTACATGCATGTTGCATCTCCTCTGTGTCTTGTACACGCAGAGAGGCAAGGTTAGGCCTGGACTGGAGAGGATCCAGGAAGCGAAACCAACGGAGAATCAAGGATCCCGCAGGACCCTCTTGCTGAAGCAAGGTTGCAACAGGGAATCCTTTGTGTCCCTTCCCGTCCAGAGGATCCACTGATCAGCCGGACCCTGTCCATCCATGGCCTGAAGCAATTTCAGTATTGCTTCCATCCCCAGGCGCTGTGCAAAATCCTTTGTATTTTCATAGATAATATTATTTGTAGTTATTTCGTTTCTTTACCATCCCACAGCTAAACCTCTCTGGGCAATTTATGCAATCCATAAAAACAAAGAATAAAAATGCAATTAAAATGTCAGAAAAAGAACGACAAAAAGTGTTAAACAAATAAAAACAGATAAAAGCAAGCAGTACAAAGAAAAATTAAAAAGAGTGAACACCTGGGGATCCCCACCAAGCCCCTGAGTAGCTGAGTAAGCCCTTAAAAGCTGCAGAAAAGGGGGTTTTCTTGACCCGGTGCCCAAACGTTGACAGACTCAGTGCCAGCCAAGCCACAGGCCATTCCATAGATGGGGCCACCCCAGAGAAAGCCCTCCCCCTAGTGGCCACCCTCCAAACTTCCTTGGAATATGTTAAAGCCGGAATGTTTAAGCGTGGCTTATTTTTTCCCCTTTGGCTTTTTATATTTAAGATCTCATCTTTACGGAATGGGGGGCTTCTTGTGATCACGGTCACCCCGGCTGCTTCGCTGAGCCTGGCTTTACGTAACTAGAATCATGTGTAACCGGTTTCATTTTGCCCATTCCCCGGAGAGCCATCATCGTTCACCCCGAAAATGAAAGCCTCGCCGCGCCCTTACTCAGCTCGGTTCTGCCGTGGTGCCCGGGGCTATCGGGCAGAGGTCTTTCCTGGGAACTCTCTTCCTCGCTGGGCAAGGCGCTGGCAACGCTGCAGCCGCTGCTCTTGTCCGAGCCGGGAGGGCTATCCAAGGAGCTGCTGGAGGCGGAGGTCTGCAGGAGGGTTTGCTCCTCCTGGCTGAGCGGGCCCGAGGCCTGCGGCCAGCTGCCAGACATCTTCGCGTTTGCAGAGCATGCCTGGAAGAGAATCGGGGGCCAGGCCGTCAGGGGCATGCATCCTCGAGAAAGCTAGGCAGTGCCGCGGGTGCGGGGGATCGGCCAGAGGCTTATGAGACACCGGGGGCCGTCCAAGCCAGAGGCAGCAAAGGGGGCGTCTCCTGCCCCAATTATGTCAGGGCGGGGATCCCAGCGGAGGGCCCCAGCCTGTCCCCTGGAAGGCTGAACCCCACCTTGGGGCTCGTCCACCCTCCAGCTCTGCCCCCCTGGCCTGGAGCCTGGGGGAGGAGATGGGGGAGAGAACGCCCCGCCTTGTGTCCAGCAGGAACCCTCTGTCATCCTCCTACCCGTGCCGGCCGAGTCCCTTCCACTGTGCATTGGGAGGCGTGATGAAAAAGTGGTGGGTGCAGTTCTGCTCACATCTGGCCAGCTGTCTGGCCCCGGGGGGCGGGGGGGGGGACAGCTGGCCTTTCCTGGCTTGCATTAGGGCCAGTTGATGCCCCAGTGCGAAGATGGATGCAGATTTGTCTTTTTAAAGATACCTCTCCTTTCCTCCCTTTGTGCCAGACATAAAAAACTAGAAAACATGGAACAATAGGACCAAACATTCTTTGCCATCTTTTGGTGGCAGCTGGGGGGCAGTTTCCCCAGAATGCCCAGGGATGCAAACCCCAAGGCAGTAAAGAAAAGGTGTGGGGAGAAAGAAACCATGCTCTTATTCCCCAATTTTATCACCAGCAAAAAGGGGGAGCATTTTGGAAGGCCTGCCTGAGCGGCAAGCAAGAACAGGTTCCAAACTCTGCAGCGCTGCAAATTCCACTGGCTACATTCTGCTCATCATCTCTGGGGTAAAGCAACCTTACAGGGTCGTTGTGAAGTTATAACATGTGTGGAGGGGAGGAGAACAGTGTGCCTTGTCCCGGCTTTCTTGGAAGAAAGCCGAGATTTAAATGTCGCCATCTGTCACTCATCTTCCGCCCTGTCGCTCCAGACTTTGGGGCAATAAGCCAAGCGCTTTCACAAGGAGGAGTGGATCTAAGTCTAATCACACCCCCCGGGATGCAAACTTGCAAGTCATTCCAGTAAACCACATGCACTTCATTGCCTGGAAGATTATCACGGCTGGCAAAAACACGGCCTTTATTTCTTCTTGGTGCCACTTTCAAAACATTTGCTTCTACTTCACATTTAACACGTATGTTTACTAAAAATAAATTACGTCAAAAAGAGGGCCCAGCAGCCAACATGGGCAGTGGGACTGTATTTGTTTTAATAAGTTTGTGCATACACGCACAAAGCAAAACGGCATGTCATTTTCTGGAATGTGGGGAAAATGTGTCCTCAAAGGCTTATAAAGGAAATAAATTCTATGCTGGGATGATGTGGCGGTTGAAGAATGTGGTGCTTCCAAGGAGCTCGTGCTACTAAGAATGATGCAGCTCTTCCCCCAGTGTCCCTTCCTCAACAGAGTTTGTTGTGATGGTAAGAATATCGATGGGAAGAATCTTTACAGGGAGTAGAGACGGGCATCTGGGCAGCTTGGGAAAATGTGAATGAAGCCGGATGCGGATGGCACAAGAAGGACCTTGTCTAGAAATATCTAGGACTGGGGAGGGCTAGGTCCAAATCCCCGGAGTCGTGATGCTCCCTGGGTGTCCTTGGGCCAGCCAGTAGCCTACCTTGCAGGGGGGTTGGAAAAATAAAATGGGGCAACGGGGACCACCACTTTCACCACCGTCCAAGCCTTGGAGATCAGATAAATTAGAAAATAGGTCGTAATAAATGAAACCAGGTTTCCTCCAACCTCCATTTCTACTAGATACGCTCATGCCCCAAACGCCAGCCTTTGGTGCCCTTTGCTAGTTGGATCTCAGAATTAGCTCATGCTGGCCAAGCGTTGGAGGTGGTGCTACAGGTATCCCAGCGCCTGCCTTTTATAGTGACTGGTCCGGAGGAGACAGAGCAGCAAAACACCCACCGGGGGGGACATCCGACCCAAACACAGATGGTGGGGGAGAAGCGGGGGCCGGATGGTCCTCGCTAGAATAGCCAGAAGTAGAGCTGGAAGGTGCCCACCTCATCAGGGCATTCCCCCAGGTGGCAGCCAGACTAGAATCCGCACAGCGCGGTTCCAAGCCATCCGCCATTTTAATTACCCACGATGACACCCTGTAGCACTGCTCTGGGGAACTGTGGGAAAATGCCGTATCACCTTGTGAACCCAGCTCAGGAAATGGGAGAACTATTAACCGATGTATTATTTTTATACCTTGTCGTTTTTCCTTCCAAGCAACTCAAGCTGTCTTACATATTTATCTTCCTCCTAACAATCTTCCCCCCACAGCAACAACCCTGTGAGGTAGGCTGGGCTGAGAGTCTATGAGTCACCCAAAGTCACCCAGCTGGCTCCATGGCTGAGTGCAGACTTGAACCTCGAGTGCCCGAGTCCCTGTCCCTCACCCTAACCATTGTCAAGAACAAACAAGGAGAAAAAGAAGGTATTTTTTTGTTTCAGGCATCTAAACGAAATCAAAGAGCAGTGGAGGGCAGGACACTTTCCAATGGAGCAAAGCTCAGGGGGCTAAGATTTAGGGTGGGTGCCAGGAAGTACCTCCTGATGTCTGGACCCCTAGGGGATGGAATGGGCTTCCACGGGAGGTGGTCGAAGCCCCATCGGTGAGAGTGTTCAAGGATAGGCTCGACATGCACATGGCGGGCATGTCCTGTTTGGAGCCGGCCAGAGCCAGGGGTCAGACTAGATGGCCCAGGAAGACCCTTCTGACTATGTTCCTATGAAGTCGTAATAGTAATCAATTATTTTGGAAGTGGTAATATTGTTGTTGGAGAACCCCCTTAATGGAGGATTCTCCTTCTCCAGAGAAACTACATCAGCTATCGAATCTAGGGGATCCCTGCTTTTTTCCCTCTCTTGCTTTGTTTCGCTGCTGCTGCAGAAACAAGGTGCGGGGGGGGGGAGGGGGCAGTGCTGGCCGGAAAAAGCAAGCAAGATTCTTTTAGTTCCTGGAGGTGTTTGGAAGATTCTCTTTTATACAAGAAGGGAGGCTAGTAACTGACCTGTTTTTCTTTGCCACACGGTGGAGCACATTTGTGAACTGCCAAGGAAAAAAGTAGAAACAGACGTTAAGCACCTGCTGTACGGAAGTGTGCGTGTTTTGAAAAGCAATAACATTCAAAACCTTGCAAGATCTTGTCACTATTACTCATGGATGGATTCCAGTTACATCCCAGCAAAATTATCCAAACACGAAAATATAACTGCAGCTCCTGCTCGTAAGTAAAAGTTGTATGGGAACCGATTTATCATTTAGTGGTATTTGTGGGAAGGGAAACCTGTTGCTTGCATTCTGTTTTCACTTGCAATTTTCTTTCTCTATGGGTTGATTCGTTAAAAATAACCCTGTGGTTTTAGGGGAAACATCCTTGTTGTCCAATGCTAAACTGCAAACTAGGAGGAGCTCAGCTGATACTCGTTGGCCCATCTGGGCAAACTTTGCAGATCTCTGTCTTTAATCTGAAGCAGGTGTATTTACTGCCTTGGGCAGAGTAGCTTTCTCTGATTTCCCATCATACAATCTTGCAGATTAAAAGAAATAAAATAAATCCCCATGCCTCCACAAGGTCAGCACTGATTTACCCTGCTCCTGCTGGGTGTGCCTTACCTCTTTTCCTAAATGCAAAAACCAAGAAAACCCCTCCTAAGAGAATAACGATGACGAACATCATTCCAGCCACCCAACCTGAAAGCAAATGGAGAAAAATGTCAACAAGGAGCGATCGCAGCTTCTGCCCCCCACCCAAAAAAAACTTTGACAATAAGATAACCAGATTTCTGGGAACTCTGAAGTCATGGGAAAGATACTGGTAGCAGTTGAAAGATTTCTTTAAAAAAGATAAAATGAACGGAACTATACATAATCCTTATCATTTCCCATTCAAAGAAATGCCCCCGACTATGGATACGGAAAGTACCGGCCACAATTTTGAGGACTGTTTGTTATCTAATTAAAACTGGTGTATAATTCTTTCGCAGCTGTTTGCCAAGATGAGGATGACAATGATCCAAACACACCACAGCAAAGCAGCTGCCCCAGGACCCCTCCCGCAGGACGGGTGCAAGGCCTCCTCCTGCCCAGCTCCTCGGCAGCCGGTGTGTGCAGGCGGGTGGGCCGCTGCTGGGGAAGGAGGAAGCCCACGGCCAGCAAGGCTGGTAGCCACGGGTGGCCTCCTCCCTCACAAATCTGTCCAGTCCCCTCCTAACACCATCCGGACTGGCAGCCATCACATGGCAACAAATTTCGCAGTTTAATTACATGCTGAGCGAAGGAATATTTCCTTTTATCAGTCCTAAGCCTCCCAGCACGAGCTTCTTGGGATGCCCCTGGACTTGAGTGTTACGGGAGAGAAAGTATTTGAGTGTTATGGTAGACAGAGCAGAGAGTCCCTCCCTACTTCCTCTACACCACGCGTAATTCTGAACGCCCCATCCTGTCTTCCCCGGCTTGCCCCTTTTCTAAGCTGTGAACCGTCTCAGGTGTGGCAGCTGCCCCTCCCTGCTCCAGCCTCCTGCCCTTCTCTGCCCCTTCCTCAGCTCAGTAATGTCCTTTTTCAGGGAAGGCACCCAGAACTGAGCACAATATTCTAAGTGTGGCTGATGTACCCAGAGGCCACCCAGCCAGTTCACGGCAGAGACAAGTTTCAAGCCAGCGACTCCGGATTCGTAGCTTGGCGGCTATGAAACACAGAAGGGCAGATACCCATTCCAAGGAAACTGGCCATGGGCAAGAGAACGTCAGTGCTTTGGCTGTGCCTTATGCCCAAGTCGGACCCTTGGTCCAACAGGATCAGTGCTGTCCGCCACTCGGTCATACGGGGCAGACATCCTGGGACCCAAGGCGAACCCTTGGACAAGACCAACGGGCCCTCAAAGGTACACACGTCTCCCCATTCGAAGCCCACCAGCATCACCTGGAGGACAAGCACCTTCCCGCCCCTGTTCCCCAGCAGCTGGTGTGCGCAGGGGGACTATGGGGGGAGACCCTCCGCAAGACAGCCCCTCAGCAAGGCAGGGGGAATCCTTCAGCAACAGCAGCTCCACAATGCAGGTGGGGAATCCCTCAACACTGTAAGCCTTCCTACTGGGGCAGTCCAGGACTCATTGGTCCTCTGAGCACTTGAGCGACCCCCCCCCCCCCCGCTCACCAACAGTGGAGGAAAGGTCCGTCGAAGTGGCTTGCTTGATGTCCAGGGTTGGCGCTTTAGTGGCCTTATCCCAGGTCGGCTTCGCGACCGTCGTGCTGCGTGGAGGAGTCACGAAGATGCCAGGAGAGCCGTTGGGATCAGCACAAACGGCATCGCTGGTGCTGCTTCCTGGAAAGCGTCTGGACTTACAACTGCAGGGAACGACGGAAGGGCCGATTTAGGAAGCTGGCAACGCAGCAGGGACTCTAAAACCAGCTCGAAAGGTCAATGAAAGGGCACTGCACAGTCCCCAGTGGGAGTCCCTAATGCTCTGTGGGTAGCAAGAGATCCACTGGGGTAGCTCTGAATTGCTGCCGAAAACAGACATCTCTAAAGCTCGGAGAGCGCTGCAGATATTTTCCCTTCTATTGCAATGTGAGCAAGTTTGAAAGGCCCATTTCGGACATCAGACGCCGGGACTCTGGGGGTGAGCAGAGTGCCGGCAGACAAGCCCTTCGCCCAGGATTTGCTGATCCCGTCCTCCAACCTTGACCTCCCGTTTGTCCCCCCCTCAAGCAACCCAGAGCCACAAATCACACTTTACTATTGGCTCACAGGCCATCCTGCACTCCCAATCTTTAAGGAAAGTGTAATTAACATTTGGGGCTGTCCCCACTGCAAGGCCAGGATGGGGAACCTTTCTTCCCTCTCAAGGTCCACAGAACTCTCTGGCAGGGAGCATGAGCAGAGGAACAAAGCAGGTGGGCCAGAGGGGGGGAAATAGCAGCAGCAGCAGCACCAATCTGGTTCCTAACGCTGTTCTTTAAGAGATGGGAAACAGGCCAAGTTTGTGTCCAGGCACTCCCTTCCCCACCCATGCAAGGTCCCTCCATCAGCTTCGTGGTCGTATAGAAGAGCAGGATGGAGGGACAGTTGTGGTCCTTTGGCGTGGGGACGGTGAGGGGGCCTGAGAGATCTAGAAGGCCGGAATGAGAGCCTTGGAAGGTCTCCTTCAGCCTGTGGGGCAGAGGGGTTCCCCACCCCACAGGCTTGCGAAAGGTGTTTGCATGAAAGGACATCCAGGCCCTGCTCTGGACGCCCGGGTCTGAGCCGAGGCAAAACAGAGCAACACAGGTGCAGCCCAGGATGTTCAGTGGGAGCTCCTTCCTTTTGGAAGCGTTTAGGATTGAAACAGGATTGCTCCGCTCAGATTCTCGAGGTGCTGGGGGTTGTTGTTTGCTATCACAGCAAAGCCTAGGGGCTGCTTGGCTTCTATTTTCGTAGGATGCAGGTTGATGGAGGGAAATCACACCCTCCGTCACCTTGCGTCTCCCATCCACCCTGCAACGGCGGATCGGGCCAACGTGCGCAAATCCGCCAGGAGGGCAGCTAAATGGACCAAGAGGAGCCCGTGCAACTTACAGCCGATGGGGCCTGCAGGTGGCGCTGTCAGATTCCACATCGGAAAAGGTCCCCTCTGGGCAGGGAGCGCACTGCACGTCGCTGGTCGGGGAGCCTACGGAGAAAACAACACTTGCAGCGTTCCAGCTGGTGGAGTCTAGCGCAGCGGTTCCCAAACTGTGTTCGACTGCAAAAGCCTTTGCGAAAAATCTCAAGGATCAACTCAAACAGATTTGAAAATGAAACCACCCAAGGCCAACTATTTGATGGTCAGAACTGATTAGATCCAATGTTTCTTTGTACCAAAGTAAAAGTTTGTGGTTGTATCATTTTTTTGGGTGCCAAAATACATGCTTGTGGTTATATCCAATATTTTCTTGTGCCAAAATAAAGGTTTGTTGTTATAGTTAGATCATTTTCTCTTTATCTCCAAACCTAACACGTTATGCAAAGCACTCAGACAAAAGGAGGAGGAGAAAGAAGGAAGAATATCATGGGTTCACAAAGGTTTAGTAAAAATCAGGGATAGAATTAAGGTTCCATGGGGAAAAGATGTCTTCAGAAAGCTTCCATGACCTCCGGTTTTGGGAAGAACAGAGTGAGGGTAACAGGGTCAGTGTGTCACAGGCCAGGGAAGCAGGCCAGGCACATGCTCTCCAGCAACTAGGGGTCAGGCTTGTGGGGTCAAGCCGTGCTTGCCAAGATCCTCACTGCCCCGCACGCCCTGAAGGCAGATCAAGGAGCTTAAACTCAGCACACCAGCTGAGTTTAGACACAAGGAAGCCCTTCCTCGCTGCCAGGGCGATGCGACAGTGAAACCAGCTGCCCAGAGAGGAGGGGGGCTCTCCCACACTGGAGACATTCAAGAAGGAACCGCGCAGCCACCTGAGTGGGATGGAGTAACTGGTGTCCTGCACCAGCAGCGGGTTGGCCCCTTCTTGGCCCCCTCCAACCTTACGCTTCTCGGGATCCAGGAGTCCGCAGGGGCCCCCGTGGGAGAAACGCCTGCACTGGTGGGCAGCCAGACCTTGCACCTGCTCCCTGCGTGATGGCTTTCCGTGGCAAGTCCGCCAGCCTTGGTTCCCTGGCTCAAGGACCCCCTCTAGGCCTGCTCGGCTGCTCCCACGGGCATCCTGGCAAGGACCAAACTCTGCCCTCTGAGGAAAGCACTCCCTCTGCAATCCGAGCCACCCCCCACCCCCCACAGCAATAAAGCCTGGATGCTGCTCTGCGCTCGGCCTCTCCTGCCCCAGCCTTTCCCGCTGGCTTGGAGATCAAGGCCTGGCTGTCCGGTCCTGCCACCCGCCTTGGGGCACTCGGGCTGGCAGGCAGCTGCTCTGGAACCTTGCTGCCCCCTCCGGATGCTTGGCGAGTCACTGACCCGGTCGGCCCCCCAAGGAGCTGGGCTCCAGCCCCTCTCTTTGTGCTGCCGCCTCCTTGCGGGAAGCCTCGGGCTCCTGGCTCGAGCGGAGCAGCCTCCCTGGCTCTCCGCCGTTCTCCAAACGCCCCCGTCTTGCCGGTCATTGCCCTTTCCTGTCCTGCGTAAACTTCCTCTTCCTTTCCATTAGCTTTGCACAACAAGTGCCCATCAGAGATTCCACGCCACGCACCTCTGCAGTGCCGTGGCGTTCTTCCCCCTCGGCCCTGCAAACCTGCCCCCCGACCCGCTTCTCCGTGCACCTGCCCACTTAGCCCTCCTGGAGCTGACCCCGCCTCACCGTGAGAAGCCAGGCTTGGCTCAGATTCGGCTGCACCCGGGATGGGCCTTTATCTAACTTCCCCTTTAAAAGTTCACCCTCGCAGCCTAGCCCCCTAATCCAGCAGATGATGATGCAGTTTAGGGTGTCATGCCAGTGAGCCCAGAAGTACTGAGAAAATGAGAAAAGGAAGTCTATTGCTGAGGACGAAGTGTGTGTGTGTGTGTGTGTGTGTGTGTGTGTGTGTGTGGTGGGGAAATTAACGAAGTAGCAACATGGCTGTTGTTTCTGCTAATTATCCTTTCAGTCTGCCTGTTTGGTGGCTACTGAAAGAGTTTCTGGTTCGCTGCAGAGCCAGGAATAGGCTATCTGCCCCTTTCAGGGCTCCAGAGTTGCGGCATCAAGCTTGCTTTTTTCCAGTACTCCCGGAGTCTATTCACAAGAGTCCAGTGCAAGCTCAGGCAGACAGTGCAATCGAGTTTTAAAGGAGGAGGTGTCTCTGAGCATGTGCCAAGTTCAAGACTTCGTGGTCAGCACCCAAACCAAGCTCACAACCCCTTTCACCCAAAATCCACTCCAAGGATGCTTCCAGACAAATCTTTTAGGGTACAATAGTTTTTCTCCTTCACAGAATTGAGAGGGGGTACAAATGTCAGGGTGTTCCACCTGCAAAGGTCACTGTTGCTCCCCTTTTCTTTTTGTGGCAGGGGAAAACATCTGTGGCAGGGGAAAAGAAGACACAGGTTCTTTCTGAATGCTAATGCAGGAGGCCTCCATCTGGAAGTACCCTGACTTCCCCTTGTGAGAAATGAAATGTTACTGTTACTAAGTGTTAAGGGTGAAAAACAGGAATAGGGCAGGACCATTGAAGTCTCTTAAGGCAAAAAAGCCTGAGAATCAAAACATGTAAATGGTTGTTCCAATAATGTTTCCTATGTAAAAAGTTCTGAAAAATACCAGAAGGGGTAAAATTGGGGGACAGTGGTAAAACTGTCCCCTTCAGTGGAGAAGAGCAGACAATGGATTACTTTATAATGGGTGGTAAAGAGTCTGAAGAGAGGCCTGTTCTCATTATCCCCACAAGATTTAAGAAACATTTTGGCGTCAAGTAAGAATTTTCAAGGCCACTTCGGCCTGTTGACCTCTTGGAAGGTACTGCGCAAGCTTAATAGGCTCATAAATAGTAAATGACACACCTCTAATAGGTAATGGGCTCATTAGCATGAACTTGGGATGTATGAGCGGGAGGGGGAACATATGAAGGAGTAGCATGATATAGGCGGATGGGGAAGATTGTGACTTCTTAGTAACCAGCCAATGGCGAAGCGGGGATAGTGCTGAGCGTCGGGGAGAGGAATGTATATAATCTCACTGATGTTTGAAATAATTACTCTTTGTTTCTCAGACTACTGCGGCATTGAGCCAGCCTTTGCAAACGCTTTTTGTATGGAATAAACTGCTTGTACCCACTCGAATCCTGTCTCAAAGAGTTTTAAATCTCACACCCTGAAGTCGCGTTCTTCCACTATCTAATTTAGGAGAAAAAGAACTTTTTGCCATGACTGGGAGGCAGGACCCCTCCCTGTTCCACCCCCGAAATCTCTCAGTAGATCCGACCCTGCTGTGGGCCCATGTCTGTTTCAAGGCACCTGAAAGCACCTGTTTTCATGTCTGCAGCAACTCCTTGCTCACCCTTACCTGGCTGGACCACTCCGTGGCCTTTGTCGCACCTGGTGTAGGCTTGGCAATAGATGCACTCGTCGGAGTGCTTCAAGCCGCAGAACTGATGAGCTGGGCACCAGCAGAACAGATCCTGTGTCCGGTTGCAGGCCCTCACCTGCACCAGCCCTGGTTTGGAGGAGACATATAGGGTGTCAGATGGTGTGAGCACAGCCCAAGCCCAAGCCCAAGCCCAAGCCCAAGCCCAAGCCCAGCCCAAGCCCAAGCCCAAGCCCAAGCCCTTGCTGATCGGGTGCAGCCCCAGTTCCCTTCCTTTCTGCAACATCCCTGGGAGACTGCAGTTGTTAGAAGCCTACCGGGGGTGTGGACATGATATGGTGGGCGTAAGTGGCTGAGGCAGATCCTATCAAGGACCTCCTCCTTTTCCAGAACTGTAAGCCAAGGAGCTTTGGCCATTGGGCAGTAAACATCAGTTTCAATATCAATAATAAAAAAAGAATAAGCCCAAAAAAGAAAGGAGCCAACATGCAAAGGAAAACAGAAGGTAGATGGGTCAGCCTGCCTCAGCATCATTGTTACTGTAGTCATTCACAGCTGATGCTCTTCCAAGGATCTCCTGGCAGAGGGGATGTCTCTGCTCTTTTATTCTCAGGACAGCCCAGCAGGGCGGTCTCAGCTGAGAGAACAACCTGCCCAAATTTAGCCCGCTGAGTGAGGACTTGAAGCTGGGTCTCCACACTCCTGGGCCGACACTCTAACCACTACACCAGCCTTCCCCACCCTGGTGCCCTCTGGCTGGGCTGGACTACAGCTCCCCTAATTCCCAGTCTGTGTAGCCATTGGTCATATTCGTATACAGTGCCCGTGTTTTGGATGCGGGGCTACCTTTAAGGTGGAACCACAAGAAACTGCTCCTGTTACGGATGCAGATGCAAAGGGGAACTGCACACAGACTGATCCACTGCCATGTTTTGCAGCCAATCAAAGGCCCTTTCCAAAAGGTTGATTGTCCAGACTGTGCAGTGCACCTGGGCCGGTGCGGAGGACCAGTATAACTGGGCGGGTGCTGGGACCCCGCCTGCCTGCTAGAGCTGGTCTTCCTCTGCTTCTCCCCCGAGCTGTCGCTGCCGATTCCCTGCCTCACCTGAGCAGCGACCCTCACTTTCCGTGTCCCCTGTCCCCTGGAGTGGTACGTGGATCGGGGCCCAAGGGCCAGGACCAGTCCCGGCGCCATAAGGACCACGGCAAAGAAGACAGGACTCCCCATTGTGCTCCGGGGTCCTCCCAAACCCAGAGCCTGCGCAACGGCACGGGCCTCTTTGTCTTTCGCGATGGGGTTGCAAGCAGAAGGATCCGGCCGCCATCACCCCCTTCCGTCTCCGAGAGCTCCCAGCCCCGATTTCGCCCGAGACACTCTGGCGTACCTCCGTTGCACTGCGGCCTGCAGCTGAAGCAGCGTTCGGCTCTGCTCCAGGTCTTGGTAAACATCCCCTCCTCGCAGGGGATGCACTTGGTGTCGGCATCCTCGCTGCAGCTCTTGAGCACACGAGAACCTGTGGGACGAGCAAGGAAAACATCTCGTCCAAATGGAGGCTGGAAGTGGAATGAGCTCTGCAAAAGTTTGCTTTCTCTCCCCCCCCCCCCCCGCGCCCCCGGCTCTTCCTTGCCCCCAGGCCATGCTTCTGCTTTCGCACAGAATGGAAATGGAAGTGCCACTCCGCGGAGTGAGGCATTATCTGGCTGTGACGCTGACCAAAGATCGCTCAGAAGGGAGTCCCAGTCAGCAAAGGCAGCCCTTGGTTCCATCTCGAGCGTCCTCTGTGCACCTTCTGCTTTTTTAATCCAGTTCTGCTTCTGTTCAGTGTCAGATATTTATGAGATTTTTCTTACACAGAACTGAAAGCAGCTTACAAATTTTTCTTCCTCCTCTCACTGTTATTCTCGCAACAACCACCCTGTGAAGTTGTGGCTGTGGTGTATTGGTCAAGAGCATGGGACTGGGACTCAGGTGATCCAGGTTCTAATCCCCACTAGGCCGTGGAGCCAGCTGGGGGACTTTGGGCCAGTCACAGACACTGGAGCCAGCCTACCTCACAGGGCTGTTGTGGGGATAGATCAAGAGCAGGTGGAGGATGAGAATGAGGGAAGCTGCTTTGAGTTGGTAGTAAGAAAAAAGCAGGGTATAAACCTAATAAATGAGTTAAATCCAGACTGTCTGAGTCCCAGTCCTGTGCTCCTAAGTACTACACTAGCTCTCATAGATAATTGACCCTTACTCTCCCATAATGGGGGAAGAGTTTAAATGTCACATTCCTCTTTGCCACTTATTATTTATTATTCTGAGCTTGATTTTGCAACAATGCAATTGCATTTTAAATGAAAACACAGCCATTGCTCTTGAAATTAGCAATTAACATTCCTCTACCTCTGCAGCAGAAAACAGCTTCTGCATACCAAGCTTCCAGCTAAGGGTAAAATCGGGAATTCCATGTCCTCGCTAAATTTAAGAAACAAAGGCAAACACAGCAAGGAAGACATTTCTAATGACAGGAGCATTCCATGAAAAGCTCCAGTCGGCAAGGCAGTTTTGCTCCAAGTGGAAATTCTCCACCAACAGGGATTTTAGAAAGAGGAAGGGAAAGCACAGGAAGCATTCGAATGCCCTGGTAGGTCCAGTTACAGGACCAGGTAGCAAGGATGGGAACCTGTTCTGAGATGCTCCAGAGGAGCAACTGAAAGGTCCTACAGAACCTGCCCGAGCACCTCTCCTGTGCGGCACCTGAGTCACTGGGGCAGCCCCCAGGAAGAACCCGCCATGGGTCTGTCTTCAGTGCTCCACAGCACCCCAAAGGGCAAATCCAGAGCGGGTGCCGTAGTGAATGGAAGAGGGCAGATTTCTATAACTGTTGCTTTACACCTTCCTCCTTGGCCCAAACAATTCATCTGGCATAGCCACTGTTCTACTGCAGCCTTCCAGGTGTGTCGGCCTCCCAGCCAGCCTGGGTACAGCCCAACACATCTGGAGGTTAAGAAAGGCACCCGGCTTTGGCATGGAGGGCAGTATCAAAATAAAATCTGGAACAGGGATAGGAAACTGCAGTAGAGTTGCATCAATCGGGGTGAGGGGTTTGTACATCACATTCCCTTGACAGCTGTCCAAAGGCACTCTGTCAAAGGAAAGCAAAGCTGCCTCTGATCTTTGTGGCGAAGTTGTGATACGTCAAAAAACGACTGTCGCTGTCAAAACTGCTTTCTCCCAGCAAAAGGGATGGGCTGCACCTTCGCACTTTTCTCAAGCAGATAGGAAGAGGAAAGGAAATGCAGTGGAGAGGGGAATTAAGATCTAGCCGTGAAGGGGGGATATATTGCCACATACTTTCAGCAGGTCCAGTTACAGGACCAAGTAAGATCCTCCACATTCATGACTGATTTTCACGAATGTGAATCGGTCACGGCTTGCCCTTCCCTTGACAGCTCGCCTTTTGACAGCTATCTAGACAAAAGGACCCAAAAGGACCCAAAACCTTGTCTGGAGCCTCTCTGGGTCAATGCCCAGGCTGCTTCCTGCCACTTCTTCACAACAGGTCCCTCCTCAGGACATTACCCAACTGAGCCTCCCAATTTGCAGACCCCCGAATGTGTACCAGTGGTCCAAAAATAAACAAACACAATTATAACATTATGAAAATACTTGCGCACAGTTTGGGTGCTTTTTGCGTTATCACAGAACCATCATACAGTCGAAGAGGCCGAGCAGACCATCGGGTCCAACTGCCTCCTCAATGCAGGACTCAAGTCATCCATCCAGTTCTCCACCCAACCCTGCTTAGCTTCTGTCATCAGCATCAGCATCATCGGTTTCCAACCACAGAAAACCCTTCCAACGTGCCACTTGGACACTTTGCAGTGTTATCGCTGGCTGTCAAAACAAGGATTGGAGAACCGGCTGTCCAGCCAGGGCTGAAGTTCGAGAAAAGCCACTGTGAGTGGACCGGGCTAGCGATCAGCGTGGGGGACACCCAGCCAGGGCCAGTCACCCCAAAGTGCCACGTGGGTATCGGCAAGGCAGCCGCAAATCGTGGGGACCCAGGTGAGCTCTGCAAAGGGGGGCTGCCATGCCCGCCAAGTCACTCACGAGCTGCTTCCTGGTACGTGGGATGGAGTCAGCCCGCCTGGTTCCGACGACTCCAACGAGGGACGCATGGGCTGCCAGAGGGTCTTGTAGCCCACGGACAACCCATCCCGGGAGAAACAGTCTGGATTCACGTGAGGCCTCAGCCCACCACGGCTTGTTACCACAGTGGACTGTTGGGTGGTACACACCAAGTCACAAGCCAGGCTGGAAGCCGGTGTTGAACTGGAGAAGTCATTCCCACCGAGAGGAGGAGGCAGTTAAATGTGAATTCTTCCTACTCAACAGCAACTGCAAATTCTCAAATGCAGATAAAACAGCATTTAAACCCACAGCTCTCCATATTGCTGTCCGCAATCCAGACGGCTGCTGAAGCCGAACTAATTCTTTGCTCTTAAAGAATATTTGGGGCAGAGGGGGTGGGAAGTCTGACCAGATATTTCTCCGGGGACATTTTTTGGAGAATTTCAGAATTTAAAAAGAGGGCCTTCTGCAGAATTTTCCCCAGGGTGACCTGTTGACCAGCAGAGTTGCTGCCACAACATGCAGCAACAGGAAAAAGAAAAAAGAAGGAAAACAAAATTGCTTAAAAAAACAAACTGCCCTATTGCAACTGTTATGGGAGATCCACCCTCCAAGACACTGTAGGAAATTTTTTCCTTGTCCAGAAGAAAGTTGGCTATATTTCTTCCTCCACAGAGTGCAGAAAATAACAGCAGGCCATGTGTTCACAGCAGCGAGAGCATACGCCAAGACACCAAGTCAACATTTTAATTTTTTCACGCATTGGATGCTCAGTGCATTTTCCGCTCCCCAACCCCTGAACACATAGCTGCCTTCTTTCTCTTTTATTTTTAAAGGGGTAGAGTGTAAAATGTTTATAGCTACTTGGTTTTTTTTAATATTTCTAGGCCTCCTTTGACAATTTTTAGAAACAAAATAAATAAATCCCTACTTTTCAGTCAGCGCATTTGCTCTGGCTGCAGTGAAAAGCATGAATCAGGCAAGAGGAATGATGAATCTGGAAAATTTACTCTTCCCCGAAATCTGCCATGGGATGGATTGCGTCAGTGAAAAAAAGCATCGCTGTTTTGAAAGGACATATTCACATGCAGCTTGATGAGCAACATCGTATTTCCACTATTTTGCATTTGTTTTCTGGGTTTGTTTTGAAATTATCGGAGAGGGAAGCAACTGTAATTTAGTGCAGAAATACCTTTTTTTTTTTAAACCAAAAGTCTTTACTCTGCAGGGAGTAGAGAATGGGTGCAAATGCTCCCATTTGGGGTGTGGTTGACGAGGCATTATAGCAGAGGAAACTGACTGGTGATCAGGGCCTTGATTCTGCATGCAGCTCCTAGCATCTTCATGCACAATTTTAATAAAGTCGGGTATGCATTCTCTCAGTGCCACTCATCCTTTCCATGCAGCATTTACAGAATCACATTGGTCAGAGGTCAATGGGAAATGTAACCAAAAGACTTTCCCCTCCAACTTCCAAGGAAAAGAGCATTCTCTCAAGACCTTTCTGGAAGACACGTTCCTGTGCAATTAGAAGACAGGAAACCAAACAATCTTGCTTGCCATTTGGCACTTTGCAGAAGTGGGTCTCTTTCCGTTGTTCCCTTCAGTTTCCTGCTGCTTCAAGTCAGGACTTGGTAACCGGAGCAAGAGGCTCAGAAGCTCACAACAGAAAGAAACAAGAAGTGACCCAGAAACCCTTCGATCTCAAGGAGCCTGCGGCCTGCGTTGGGAAAACCTGAGGGCAGCTTTGCCAGGCGCTGAGGCTCCTTCTTTGCGCATTCAAAGCCACAGACCCTTTCCTTGTGAAGTGTTCTTTATGGACCAACCAGCTCAAAACACCCAGAATGACTCTCTGAGCATGTGCAGAGAGGCTTGTTGAACCCAGTCTAGCATCCACCTCCAGGAACTCTCCTTAGCAGCATGCCTGGGCCCCATCCCTTTCTGCAGCTTTCTGAAAATGAGCACCACTCCTCTTTCCTGCTGATCCTGCTCCGCTTCTCCCATCTCAGTGTCCCAGCTTGGCCCACCTTCCCAAGCTCCCCACAGTTCTGCTTCACATCCCGATTCCGGTTCCTCTGAAGTCTGGCAGCAGCCCTTGGGGACACGTGCCGGCATCAGCCGTCTTTCCCACTTGATGGAACTTTCCCCTCATTGCATGTGAGGATGCAGGTCTGCAAGGACTCCCGGGAATGGCAGGAAACATCAGAAGGGCCCCAGGATGCTTCTACCTGAGCTGTGACTGAGAGCAGAACTGATTCTAAGCCAGGGGGGAGGATCCCAGGATCCCGAGCTGTGAGAAAGGGGCATTAAGACGGGCTGCAGATATATCCATGGAAAAGAACTGGCAATGGACTCGGTTGCTTCTCTTTTCCTCTCATCCACACACAGCCCTTGGAGGGATATCCGTCCAGAATGCAGGCTGCTGATTAGGAAAGGGTCTGTCCAGCTTGATTTTGCTCGAATTCTCCTTTTTGGACTTTTAAATTTGTTCTGGCTCATTTCCACACTGGAGCTTGCTTGCTTGCTTGCTTGCTTGATTTGTTTATTTGGAAACCATTATATAGACCTGCATGCATTTTATATTAATTAACAGGCTAGTGTAATGTCAAATTTCACTCAAGTTACGCAGTTAAGAGCGTACCTGTCAAGGCTAAAAAAATCAGGAATTCTTTCTTGAAAAAAGGAACCTCCCGCGAGTTGAGGAGGTGCTGGGTGGACTTTCACCGCTCAAGCTACATCCATTCTAACTCATCCGGCATTTATAACGGAAAGGCTACACTGCAGGGGGCAAAATCTGCAGACAACAAAATCCAGGACGGTTTCACTGCCTGTAGGCAAGTGGCCGCAACACCAAGAAGCTGCTTGCTGGCAGCTGCTGAAGCTCGAGAATGGCAAGGGGGGGTGAATTCAACCCTCCACTGAACGAATGCATGGCAGGGGTCCTAGGGCTGGCTAGACTAGCCCCCACCCCACCCCACCCCACCCCAGCACACACACACACTTCCTGCCAAGCACCAGCCTCTCTTTGCTCTCCAGCAAACCATCCACCTCATTTTCTTGGCACTGTGCGCAGAGTTCTCTGCAGCGAAGTCCAACAGATGCGCCTCGCGGCAACTTCGCAATGGCCAAGGGTGGGGCAGGCGCTGCCGCATCTCCATTCAAGGTGTGGAGGAAGAGGCCAGGGCGCTCACGTCTCTGGACGTTTCCAGCCCATTCCAGCTCCTGCCCCGGCTCTCCTCCCCTTCGCTTCTGACCTCTCCTTCCCTTGGTATTTGTCTTCTGCTACTTTTTCAATCAATGGTTTAGAGCGACCGTTGATGGGTTTTCCAGGCTGATTAAAACAGGGCCACCGATCAAGTGGGCCACACGAACACAGCTTTGGGAACACCCTGACCTGACCAAAAATCGAACAACAACAAGGGGCTTCTGGATCCAGTCAAGCCAGAGCTTTCCCTAGAAACAAAACGGACAAAACTGAGGCACATTCCGAGAAGGCCAGAAGACTCCCTGGAGAAGACCTTCGTGCTGGGAAAGTGGAAGGCAGAAGAAGGAAAGGAAGGCCAAATACGGACGGCTGGACTGCATCGAGGAAGCCGCAGCCTTGAACTTGGAAAAGCTGAGTGGGGCTTTTGGGGGGCTTTCTTCCACTCGTAGGGACACCCTGAGTTGGAGATGTCTTGGCGGCACGTCGAAACGACACATTACCTGGAGGACACAAGCTGCAACATTTATTGATGGCCTCCACGAAGTGTTCCTTGTGTGGATTCTTGCATTCTTCCCGGTTCTGGGGAGTATATGGGAGAAGGTACGCCTGCAGACATAAAAGAGACAAGGTTGCCTTTGCAGTAAAAGCTTGTCATTCAGAGCAACACGGCAGTGGGAGCAGCTGCCTGGAGAGGTGGGGGGCTCTCCCACACTGGAGGGATTCAAGAAGAACCTGGGCAGCCACCTGAGTGGGATGGTGTGACCTGCTGTCCTGCACCAGCAGGGGGTGGACTTGATGGCCTCCATGGCCCCTTCCAACTCTACTATTCTATGATTCTATGACAGTGGGACCAGCTGCCTGGAGAGGTGGGGGGCTCTCCCACACTGGAGGGATTCAAGAAGAACCTGGGCAGCCCTCTGAGTGGGATGGTGTGACTTGGTGTCCTGCAACAGCAGCGGGTGGACTTGATGGCCTTCGTGGTCCCTTCCAACTCTACTATTCTATGATTCTGTGATTGCCAAACCAATACTGAACTGAGCTGAGGTGGGTGCTATTTGTTTTTTTTATACTTCCATTTATATGCAGCCTACTACTGAAGTCTCAAGGGGGCCTACAAAAAAAAATACATGTAACAATAGAGAATAAAACTTCATTATCGCAGTTTAAAACTTAACTAAATCACAACAAAGCAAGCCATGAGAAGGGAGGCAGGATCAATGACTAAACAAAGATATTCAACAGAAATGTTTTTGCCTTGCGCCAAAACAGTAACAGAGTAACAGAAAACAGTAATATTTCTCTTCATTCATGTCAGAAGTTCTACAGGTACAGTTAGTCAAAGAAAAGAAGAAAGGATGATCTATATCTAAACCACTTACGTTAAAACAACATAAGAGCGCCTCCTTCCGTATGTGCCCGCCCGTCCCTTAAGATTTGGGGCAGAGACTCTTCTTAGTTCTAGTCCCCACTCAGCCATGAAGCTCACCAGGTGACTTGGGGCAAGGCACAAATGCTCAGCTTAGCCTCCCTCACAGGGTTGTTGTTGTGAGGATGAAACAGAGAGGAGAAGAACCTCTTAAGCTGCCTTGGGTTCCTTCCAAGAGGAAAAGTGGCAGGAGAAGGATTTTTTCTCCCGATGTTCCCAAGCGTCGGGATTCTAGTGAGTATTGCAATGTACATGCTAGGACAAACTGCCCAGAGAGTTTTGGCTGTTGCGTGGTCTCAGAGTAAAGTAAAATTAACCAATTAATGGCAATAGTAACACCACCACCCTGGAGTTTCACTAGCAGTAACCAGAGTCAGTCTCTGCTACAACTTCCATGTGCATCTGTTCACAAACACCGGGTCAGATTTCCAGGGCGAGATAGTCTGAATCTTCAGACTATCTGGCCCATGTGCAGGTGCTGGCAAGACTTGAAACCTCTGTGAATTTTACCCCTTGGGGTTAAAATCTTATTAATAAGCCCTGGCTTACCTCCGTCACTTTGTACTTTATTGAACAAGGAATTAAACACAGAGCCAGGCCATTAGCAAAGCAAAAAACAGGAAGGCATGACTCTTGTCTGGGTACGGCTCCTGGGAGAAAGCCAGTCTGCGGCGGTGACTCCCTTGTTGTGCTCGCAGCTGCAAATAGCCCTCAGAGAGCGGAGGGGAGGACTCGCCACGCGGGACCTGCAGCACAGCTCCTGTCTGGGCTCCCTGGCCCGTGCCAGGCTGGCCTGCCCCAGAAGCAGCACGGATCCCCACCTCGGAGGGCAGAAATGGGCGAGCGGCAGATGGCGCGCTCCCCTCCCATCCACCGAGATGCTCCTCCACGGCCAGTGCTCCAGAGGACCCTGCTGGCCGCTTTCAACACTTGGCGCCCCTCTTGTGGCTTTTGCTACAGCACCAACGGGCCGGGAGGGCCTTCAGAGGGTCTGACTGGCCCTGTTCGCCCACCTGGGCCAGTGGGGCTCTTTGCAGCAGCTATTCCTCTCCGCCTCCTTCTAAGAAGCCCACAGCAAGCCAGAGGAGGAGGGTGTCCTGCCTACCTAAGGAAAGACGGTTTGGATGAGGACAGCACGGGCCACAGACGCCCATCAGAGCCAGTGCTGAGGCTACAGCCAACGCCCTCCCATTAGAGGGCCAGCCAAGGCCCTCCTGGGCCGTCCCTGGAATTCAAGGGCAGCAGCTGAATTCACGCCGTAGGAGAGAGGAGGACTTGAGGGATCCAGCCAAGTTCACGCGGCATGGAGCCTCCCCCGGGACACCACGCTGGCCTGAATAATCTCCAGCTGGCCGTAAATGAACTTGGCCAGAGCTGACCCTTCCCAGAAAATGACAGGAATTGTTACTGGCATCTTCAGCTTTATTTAAGATTAATCGGATGCCTAGATTTTTGGCTTGCTTCCTGGACATTCTTCTGGACACTTCTGGACAATTCCACCTGATTGAAGCTTTGGATGCACAAAGCGCTTTGGACTGACCGGACTGACCTTTCGGGAGGGAAACAAGGGACTTGGCATTTGTGGGCACGGAGGAGGACAGAGCCTCGCTGCGCTGCCTTGGCTTGAGGCTCTGAAGGTTCACCAAGCGAATGGCGGATGAGGTCTCCAACTGGTCTTCAAAGCAACCCTGTGAGGTAGGTTAGCCTGAGAGCCCACGACTGGCCCAGGATCACTAGTGAACTCCACGGCTGGGTGGGGATTAGAACCAGGGCCACCTGCAAGGTGGATGTGGTATGTCCTGATGGCACACGCCCTTCAGCTGCTGCTGCTGCTCTCACCGGTTACTGAACTTGCAGGGGGTCCCAAGGAGACCGCAGCTTCTGCAGGGACGGACCAGGTAAGGCCTCTTCCAGCTCCGTTTCTGATGCACACCAAGTGCTGGCTGAAACCTCTCCATGAAGCCTCTAGGGGCTTTCAGAAGACTGAACGCACAACACTGCGCCACACGAATAAACAGGCCGGCCCGTTACAATCATTCAGCTTCCTAGCGATGACACAGAAAAACCATCCGACTGATGATGGATTTCTACCACAGCATCAAGAAGCGAGAAGAGCTCCTTGAAGGTCTGAGTTCATGGGTCACCAGCTTCTACAACTGTCGTACCGGAAAAGGCAGCAAGCAATAGGAAAAGCACAATACTTGCTGACCTGGGAGAAACCATTTCCAGATGCAGGAAACCATCACCAAGCAGAATGGGGAGAGGGGGCTTGTTCAGAGATGCAGTGGTGCCAACCAAAGCGCATTTAGGACTGCCTTCTGTGGTTTGGGCAGAGGAGAGGGATGCACAGACCTCTGCCCCACATCCCCATCAATCGGCTTGGCAGAAACCGTGCCGGAAGACTCATCTAGAGATCTTCAGCTCAGGCAGGAGAGAACAATAGCAGACCACATTAAAAAGTGTCACGTGGGTGAGGTTATTCATTAACCACTTATCTGCTACATACTCTACTAGATAAATACAGCTGAAGAGTGTGCTTCTCTTCTGGTATTATGCATAGCAGAAGTGGAAAGGAGGAAGCCTATAGTCACTGGCCGGTTTCTGGTACACCAGCGCAAGCCTGCTGCCTCCTGGAGTTCTTCCCAAGAATCCTTTGCTCTGCTCCAACAAGTCCTTTATTCCTGTTCTTAAGACAAATCGCCAGAAGTATCACTTAAATACACCGCTTTCTCTGCGGTGGCGCCCCACCTATGGAATGCCCTCTGGCGCCATCGCTATTTGTTTTTTGGCACCAGACCAAGACCTTTTTATTTAAAACTTATTTTAATTGTTCATTTATTATGGTATTTATAGGATTTTAAAATTTTAAGCCGAGATGCTACCGGGCTTTTTAATCTCTAATGGTATTATTTATATGTTTTAATTATGCTGTGAGCTGCCCCAAGGCTTCGTTGCGATGGGGGCGGCATAGAAATGTTTTAAATAAATAAATAAAAATAAATAAATCATCTTACTAGTTCCATAGCTCCTCAGCCATGATTTCTTCTTTCATTTTGCTGGGCAAGTCCTTGAATATTTGTGGACCTGGTTTGACCTTATGTCGAAATAAGTCCCGGAAGTGAAATTTCAATCTCTGCATTTTGCAGTGCTGATAAAGTAACTCCAAAATGAGCGAAGCTCTCTCTTGGAGCACTGTCCACAACACCAAGCTCTTACTGGTGTTACACTGCATTGACTTTCTTTGCTAGCACATACCCTGTGCTTTTAGTTTTGGGAAGGTGCTAAGAAACCAACCAGAACGCCTTCATTCCCCTCCAGAACTGCAGTTCTGTCATCGCCAAGAAGAGGAACGAACTGCTGAAATCGTTACTGAGTCGGCTGTGTGCGAGAATGTGGCAAGTTGGCACGTTCCTTCGGTGCAACATCAGCTGCTTGGAGGAAATGGCCGCTTTCAACAACATGCTTTCCACATTGCAAAGTGGCCGTGGCAGACGCTGTGGCCTGCAGCCATCTCGCACCACCAAACCTCCTTCCTCAAAGGCGGGTTGCTGTGGACGGAACTTCAGCCGCTCTGGGTGGATGCACAGCGGCACAGGGAGGGGCAGACGGAGGGGATACAAGGGGGATGCTGGGAATGATGGAGGCAGTTATTCTTGGCGTGATTCCCGGGGACAAGGGGGCACCAGCTCTTTGGATGAGGAGAGCCAGGGCTGGGAATCGCGGTCTGTGCACACAGAGATGCCGGAGGAGGGACACTAAGGCTGCTGTCCTCAGGCAGCCTTGGGTACCGATGGGGTTTGGAAGGGCCGTGGGGAGGAGCAAGCTGAGCCTGCTCCAGACCCCACGACGCGGCATCAGGAGAGAAGGGCTAAGGGCCTGCACAGATCTAGGAAGCGTGCCCTTCTCTGAAGGGACACACACAGAAAAGGAGGCTTCCTAGAAATACCTTCTCATTTGGGTTCGACAAATGGTGGGCATGTCATGAGCAGAGCCGGCTGGAGCTGGGGGTCAGACTAGATGACCTTCTGACTCGCTCTGTTTCAATGTTTCTAAATCACTCTGTGCATGCTCAGAGACTCTTCCTCGGTTGGCTAGAGTTTGCTGGCTGTACGTTAGAAAGAAAGTGTTTTCCTGCGAAAGCCCTGCCTGTTGTTTGGAGGGACGGAGGAGGGAGCCCAGTTCCTGACCTGTATGAAGAGGGAGATGCATGCAGGCGTGGATACTGGGGGAAGTCTCTGGGTTGAGCCGTAGCTCCCGTGCTCCACAGACAGACCTTCCGCCAGGGCTGCCACCGCATCTGATCTCACCTCTGGGCCCGGTCTGCAGGCCCAGCACAGGGCATGGACGGCCGTGACGGCAAGAAGAAGAGCGGATCCTGAAGTGTTGTTGCGTCAGCACTGGGCCCCCCACAAAGGTGAGGACCTTGGCAAGCGCCCAGCAACGCCAACCCTGGACACCAGGCCTGTCAATGGCTCTTCCCACTGACGGTGAGACACTGCCTGCAGGATCAGCCCCAGAACAATCAACTGCTGAAAAATGTGAATGTTGCTCTCAGTTTGCTCTCTTCCGGGGTCACCTGTAAAGATCGGGTTGGTCACTGCAGGAAGCAGGATGCTAACCCAGAGAAGGCCTTGGTGTGGCCCAGCAGAGCTCTTACGCGAAGTGGCCCACACGCATTTGGCAGATGGGGGCCCTTTTGGACAGAGTTGCGAGGCTCCATTCAGCAGGATGTGCCGAAAAGCCCCTTGGTGTCTCAGGGCTGGTTCTGCCAGCCTGAACTCAGAGAAGCAATGCCCATCACCACTTCGAGAGGTGGAGGGGGGGTTATAAATCCATTACGTCCACCCCCTGAAACAAATTTGGCACACCACTGCCTGGACCCCGGGCAGCAAAGGACACCCCTGCACAAGCCCTGCAAAAGGAAGTTCCACCAGCACGTGTGTCCACCTTGCCCGATCTCCTGCGGCAGACCTCAAGGCCCCAGGAAAAGGTTGCGAGGAAGCCAGAGCGTTTAGATGGGGATGGAAAAAGGCGATCACACCTGCTCACTGAGAAAGCCACAGTGACGGGGCCTCCCACGTTCTGACATCAGAAGCTGCAGCTGTGGAAAAGTCGAGTGTTTCCGAGAGGGCTGCACTCGCCAGCAGAATCTTGCAAAAGCAGGGCGACGACGCGGCACTTTCGAGCGGCAGGCGTGCTTTCGGGTGAAGAGAAAGAAATGGCCAGCCAGCATTCTGAAGAGGAAGCGGCAGCCGAAGCCAGCCGCTCGGACGGACGGACGGACGGGGAAACAGCTCGCAGACCAGCCCGTGACAAGCTCAAAGGCAGCCCACCCATCACTCATTCTGAAACCTGTTCTTCTGCGAGAGCATTCTTCCTCTTTAAGGGGTTTTCTGGAGCCGTCCCACTCATGCCCCAAATTCCACGCATGTGGGGAAAGCCCACTCACAGGTCTTGGCGCCTCCTTCAGACCCCCTTTCTTAAGGTCAAAAGACACAGGCCTCCATTTCATGTTGCATGGGGACTGGGGACCCGTCAGGACGGGGGCTGGTACCCCCTGTTGCGGGGCAGCGTGCGTGTGTATAAGACGATCCGGACCAATCCTTTGCTGCACTCCTGTAAGAAGAGGAGTGACTTTGGAATACCTTCCAGAAGAAATACTCCTGGGACCAACGGTGCACATTTCTCAGCAGCAAACAGATAATTTCTATTTGCACTGGATCCTGTGTGTTTCTTTAAGCGGCTGGTTGAAAGAGGGTTTTCCCCCCTTTAGATTGTGCTGATGTGAGATTAAAGTTTATCGTAATAATTGGGGACTATTTAAGTACCCGCTCTCCCCACCCAACAAAAAAATCCTCTTTGAGATTAAGGTGTGCCCTTGATTTGAATTTCTTTTAAAAATGTGTCATTTCCTATCTTTCCCCTCCTCTCCTCCCTAAAATTACAATAAACAATGGGAGGAAGCTTCTTAGAGATGAGTACTTTTTTGGAGCCAACAGCATGATGGAGGGGAACTAAAGAGGCCCATTGGACTTTAAAAAAAACCCAAAAGCACAACATGTGTTTTCATATGCTGATTTACATAATGTCAGTCCAATAAATATGTCCATAATTAAAAAATCTCTATCCTGTAGCTTTTATTGAAGGAAAACTAATGCATTTCTGGTGTAGTTTCAGGACAGAGTTGTGCAATGACCCAGATTGTGGTGACTTCAAACATGTGCTTGGCACACCCACGCTTTTCCTTGGCTATTCCGGCCCCGATCCAGATGGGGAGGATCCAGGCGCTGGGTGCCACACTGAGCATGTGCCACATCACTGCAAACAGAATGTGGCACATGGGGCAGGAAGGTTTTTGGCACAGTATTGTGGACTAAATCACGCATGCTTCAAGGCTGCAAAATGACACGCAAGATGACATTTTGCACACCCCCCTCAAACACAGTGGGATTTACCGCGTGAGTAATCGTCACTCATTCCGCCCCACCCCAACCACCGGCAAGCCCCATAACTGGAACTGACCAGCGTCCCCTGATCTGTAGGGGCAGAGAGAGGGGACCATTGCTAATCGAACCCCTTTCTTTCTTTCTTTCTAATACTTAAACTTTGCTAGCTTCAGGATTCAATCACTTAAACATTTCTTAGTTTCTAACTTCTTGTAATCCCGAAATCTACACCTAATGTTCAATATTACGCTTCACCAACATGGAAGTACCCAGGACAAAGCGCCTGATAATTTGTTCACCCCCCTAACGGACTTCGTAATAACAGGACTGCCTCACTGTGGATTTTGGGTATAATTTCTCATGGGCAAGCACGGCTGCCCTAGTTTTTGGCTGTCTGGTTTTTAAATGACTGAAGCCTGTGCTCCCCCAGTTCCTCTGTAGATTCGAACAGTGGCGTTATCTTCCGGGTGGAGAAACAGGCCGAACCTCCATCTTCCAAAGAGGAAGACAGAACTTCTACAAACACTTAAGTGGAACTAAATCTCTCTGTAGTCACTATGACTTTTAATTTTTATGTTATTACATGCTGCTGCCAATATGTTTTTTTAAATGCTAGATATTGGTATAAACTAAATTGTAATGGTTCTTGTCTTAATTTTGGAGTTTTAGATATCCATTCTATTTATTAATTTATTATTTCTATTTTGCTTATCTTGGTTTAATTTTGATAGCTTATGATTTACTGCTATTGGTCTTTTGTAACTGTGGATTGTCATGTTCTGTATTGTTTTGTTCTTGTGCTGTTTATGGATTTTAAATAGGATGTATGCCACCCAGAGAGCCTATGGTTAGTGGGACAGCATATAATTTGAATAAATAAATAAAAGCAATATATATTTAGGATTACACAGTCCATATGATGCCATCCTAAACATGTTTTCCCACCCACTAATCCCATTTCCCTCTGCAACAAAACTGCAGCTTGTTTTTCTGAGCTTTATAGCAGCTTTCTATAGTCCTCCAGGATTTTGAACTGTTTGGAGGATGGGATTCAGCACCACAGACAGACCCCTGACAGCTCAGAATGAAAGCTGATAGGGATACAAAAGGGCAACATAAGCATTACCACCCCCTGCCCCCCCCCCCCCACTTAAGGTGCACAGTAGTACTTAAAGCCAGCCACATTGGTTTGGTCTCTGCAATGGTTGATCCTACAAGTTCCTCTCCCCTTTTCTGGCAGTTAAAATTCAATTATACTTAATAAACCAAGAGATGGCTCCTTTGACGCATTTTCATGGATTCAGCTTCCCCGGGGCGAGGTGTGTCTCTCAGGGACCCCATCTCCTAAGGGCACCTCCATGGATACAAATGTATATGGATCAGGGGAAGGAAAGCACCAAAGAGCTTTAGGGCTTTTCCACCTTTCTTTCCACAAGTGCCATTTTTCTCCAGTTACATGAAAAGCACCGTCTTTCAATGTGTTCTGAGCAGTGGATTCCCACCTGTGAAAGCTTATTATGTCACAGTAAATTTGTGGGTTTTTAAGACATGCGAGACACTAGACAGCCAGAAACCCCACAGTTTCCTCCCACATCTCTTTACCTTCCACTAGCCCAGCACAAGCCCTGAGGCTAAGGAGGACCATGCACCCACCAGAATTGGGCCACAGGGATCGCACAAAAGGCAGGTGCATGCCAGAACGACCACTGCAGAGCTCCAGACACACAATCCTGCTAACCTGCCCCACATTCAGCTCTCACTGCTTACTCCGCCCCACTCCTGTTTCCCCCAGAGTAAGAGGCCTGGCCCAGCTTGGAAGGAGTTCAGCCGAACCCCCGATATCTGTTCAGCCGAAACGCTGGCTCATCTCGTTGTCGTGGCCTTTCTTCCTGTAATGGCCCAGACACAGTGCAACCTGGAGAGGCTTCTGCCAGAACAGGTAGGCTGCGAGATGACAGGTGTGCATCAGGTGACTGTGATTCTGTTAAGCAATTTTGGACTCTGGACTAAGGAACACAGTGCATGGACTGCGGAAGGAGATATGGCGAGCTCTCTTCTGGTTGAAAAGGCTGATGCCTTCATTCAACACTTGAGCCCACTAAAGGAGAACTCTTCAGGACTCTCAGGAGCTGCAAGTCTGGAGGTGAGATGCAGGCTTGTATCAAGGCAGGTGACAGAAATCGGGGCCGCTCTGAAGATCCAGAGCACAGCTTTAAAGGTTCAGATGCCATGCCCAGGTGGGCCCTTTGCTAAGACACCCAGGGGAAGAAAGCACCTTTCTTACGATCTCAGTCCAGGAAGAAAGAATGGTGCAGCTAGCTCCTGATTTTCTTTGCCAGGGGAGTCGGTGACGCTTTCAGGCATTATATATCATGAGGATTGATATTCGCAGAGTGCAATCTATGTATGTGGCTATCTATACATGTAGCTTTGAACAAATAACAGTTCTCTGTTGCAAGGCGCTTGCAATGCAAAGAAGGTCACAAAAGAGACATCAGAGGCAGGGAAGGACACTGAAGCCAAGAAGTAACCTAAGAGGCCGGTGTGATGCTGGCAGTGTGCTGAGATTCAGGAAGTCATGGGGCATTGGAGAGATCCCAAAAACGAAAAAGGCCTGGGAAAATAGGTATGGGGCAGCCATGCGAGGACTCTGCCCCGTATCAGCTTTCCTGCACCTGAACTGGGAGCGGTCCTGCAATGTGGGTTTCTCTCACCTGGCCACAGGTAGAAGTTACATCCTGCACCTTTGCAGAGGTACCTCAAGAAACATGCCATCTGGAATGGTGGGAAAGCCAAGTCAGAACAAAAGGAAGGTGGAGGAAACTTTTGGGGTCCTGGGATTACACACCGAATGCGGAAGGAGGGACAGCACAGGGCAGTTAGCAAGTCAGAATGATTTGCTTCCCATGAGGCTCCTCAAGGAAAGGATCCGTCCTGAAGGCAGGGCTTTGTTCGCAGGCCTTTCCCAAGCAGGAAAGCTGGAACCGTTTCCCAGCTTGACACTTTTTGCTGTCAACACAACTTACAGGGCAGCCCAAACTCTTTTGATGTAGGAAAAGCCAAGTGCTTAGAATTAAGGATCAGTGAATTGTCCTCCGTAAAAGGTGGGCCAGCCCAAACATGGGAGCCCCTTGCTTTGCCCAGAGGGGATCAGGAGAGACTGCAAGCTGTCCCCAGCAGAAGCGTTGTCAGGTGTATCTGAGCCCCATTTCCTTGACCCACAGGGGAAAAGAGCTGGGATCGGCACCGGGAGGGATGCCAAAGGCATCTGGTATTTTGCTCTGCAACACTTCCTTTGGCGTAATCGCCATTCCCTCTTCCCGGGGAGGGTTCTGTCTTTGGTCAGGTGCGGAGCAGAGGAGTGGAAAGGGACTCTGAGCAAAATCTCAGCATCCTGGCCAAACCTCACCTCCCATGATGCTTTGTGGGAAGCCATGATGAATCTGCTAAATGCAATCTTGCTAGCACAGAAAGGCCCTGAAAGGTCATCTAAGGGTTGAATCTGGGCTGAACTGCAATCAACTCACCGTTGATTTTAATGGGCCTATTCTAACTCTGACTGGAAGAAAATGGATGCATTTGAACCATGGTGCTGGAGGAGGGGTCTGCAAAGACCCTGGGCTGAGAGAAAGAGGTTGTAGGTCGGGCCAGGCCCGAGCTTTTCCAGCAGCAAAAATGGCCACACTGAAGCCATCATGCTTTGGACATACCGTGAGAAGGCAAGGCTCCCTGGAGAAAGCAATCGCGCTGGGCAAAGCTGAAGGCAGGAGAAGATGAAGACCAGCTATGCGATGGACGGACTCCATCCAGGAAAAACGTGGAAGAGCTAAGCAGGCAGGTCAAGGATGGGATGTTTTGGAGGATTTCATTAACAGCATCGTCGCAAATTGGATAAGACTTGTTGAAACATCACAATGACGTTCTGACTTTACTGGACCTGCTTGTCATGCGACGATCCCCCGAGGTGCAGCAGCTCCAGACTTAGGGACCTTATTAAAACCCCTACCCAGCTTCCACATGCTTAATTACATCATTTCACAAGCTCCGAAATGTGATAAAACTAGCGTGAGCCTCACCTTCTGTCCTGAAGGCCCCATCCTCTTGCTCTCTGTCTGCAGGGGCTGGCAGAAGCTGGCTTTCCTTGCCCGCTCCAGGAGGAGAATAGCGGATACTGCTGAAAGAGCTTGGATCCACTCTGCAAGGTGACAGGCAGGTACAGGACAGGTGCCCATTGGCCTTTAGCCAACGTTCAGAACCAAACCACTCAACCTTGCTACCTTCCAACAAACCCTGGGAGCTGCGGACAATGTTCTCCAGAGGGTCAGCAAGGAGCAGACAACCTCACCTGTCTTTGTCCTCAAATTTGCAAAACAAACTATTCCATTTCTCCCGAAAGCTGATGAGCTACAGACATTATGAAGCTTATCCGGCCTCAGCTGTTTGTCTCCTGACTCATCACAGTGGGTGCTGGTGAATTTTTGCACTGCTACTTCAGCGGCTTTCCAAAACACAGCCATAAACGTGAGAGTCGCACTTTAGAGAAAGGTTTGAGTCACACTTCCTGTAATTCATCTGTTTGCCATATCCCGCCTCCATACAACCCATGCCGGGCCGGGGTGGGGGGGGCGGGGGGAGAACACAGAGAATTTTGCTTGCTTCTTCCATGCACTGAATTACTAGTTGAATATGATTCATCTCCTGGTCTTCATTCAAGGTTGGCCAAGGTGAAAGGTAATAAGGGAGTAACGCAAAGACCATACAGTGGAGTTTGCAGGTGAATTAAGATTTCTTTACGGGCATGCACACCACGGGGGAGGGGGGAGTTTCCCCTGTCCTACTCTTACACTCCAGTCCAACTTTTCCCACTCCGGGGCACTCCAGATGTGCTGCACTACAAATCCCAGCATCCCCAGTTGGGGCTGCAGCCCAAGACATCTGCAGGGAACCAGCTCTGAGGAAATGTTGCTTTTATGTGCAATAAAGAAAGAGGTGGAAATATGAACTTTGCAGTTTAAGAAACAGAGGAAATCAGATCCAACTTAATCACACACATTTGTGAAGAACAAAAATATCTGGCAGATTTATAAAAGTGAGCAACTTAGGGCTAGGCAGAACGAAGGGGTGAGTGCGAATTCAAGTTTTCATTTTTCAGAAAAACATGGCAGGAATTAAGGGCCGTGTCTTCCAAAGGAGCCAAGCTCAGGAGCCAAGGCTCAATTTGGATGCCAGGAAGCACTTCGTGACAGTCAGGACCCCGAGGGCATGGAATGGGCTTCCCCAGGAGGTGGTTGAGGCCCCATCGGTGCGGGTGTCCAAGGATAGGCTGGACGTCAACATGGTGGGCATGTCATGAGCGAGCCGGCTGGAGCCGGGGGTCAGACTAGATGGCCCGGGAGTCCCCTTCTGACTCACTCTGTTTCTATGTTTCTAAGCCCTTTCTCGTTTCTTCAGAGAGCAGCAGCTCAGAACTTGGCAGAGAGGAAAACAACATCAACCAAGGTGGGCTCCTCCTGTCAGAGGATGCCAGGAAGAAAACCCACACATTGCGCCCCTCTCCCATCTCTTTCGCCTTAATAGATGTTTGGCAACAAAATGGGAAGCGGAAATAAATTAATCTGGATCCTGAATAAGGTTCCATGACGGCCCAAGGAAGGCCTCTCCTGAAAGCAACCGGGCAAAGCACGGATGGAAGGAAACTAAGAATTGCGGTACCAATTGTGTTTCGCGGGAGGTCAGAGGCAAGCTAGATGTCACTGCAAAGCAGCTCTTTATTTATTTATTTAGAAAATTGCTATGCCGCCCCATTCGCCGAAGCCTCGGGGCGGCTCACAAAAGCAGAGGGTTTGGTCCATAACGGGGAAAGTGTCAGCATATTCAAGGGTCCCGCTCTGGCTGTCCAAAATCAAGGCTTAAGAGAAAGAAGCTTTTCGATCTTTTACAAGGGGGAGGAGGGGAGAAACGACACCAAGGCTTGGAAACCCCCCAAAAGGCTGGTGTTGGAGGGGTGGGAAGGTGTGCGGCCACCAGGGAAATTCCACAGAGCTGGGCTGGGAACTCCAGATCATCTTGAGACGCTGCACCTGTGCCTTATGGGGCCACACCGCCTCACGGTTCAAGAAAGGGAAGGCACTCCAGGATCTGTCCTTCGAATACTGGGAAATCTGAGCGAGAACAGCATCTCTCCAAAGTGTCTGGTGTACCGCGGAGTTGTGAGCCCGCACGTGAACCTGCATCAACGAAGGTGGGAAAGGGCACTCCAGGGTTCTGGAAAGGGGACTTTTTCAGCCCTATGCGGAGATACTGGGAAGCATGTTCTCCATCCTGTCCTGTCACATTTCTGCCCAAATTCACTCCCACTGGTCTGTGGCTGGGCCCAAGGGACGCTTTATCTCAGGGTGCCTTCTAAGCAACCCTGGGCTCACATTTAGCCTGGTTCCCCTGCTGTGCCCGACAGCCAGATCCTGTTTCTCATCTCCACCCCTCACCTGGACACCTGGCAGATGCTTCTGCACAGGTGAATGAGGAGTATGTGGCACCTTTGAGTGTCACGCCGCTTCAGTGTGAATCTATGCAGAGAGCCAGCGTGGCATCGTGGTGAAGAGCATGGGACTGGGACTCAGGCGATCCGGGTTCGAGTTCCCGCTCAGCCATGGAGCCAACTGGGTGACTTTGGGCCAGTCACCGACTCTCAGCCCAGCCTACCTCACAGGGTTGTTGTTGTGGGGATAAGATGGAGGAGGAGAATGATGTCAGCTGCCTTGAGCCCTTTGTAGGAAGAAGGCAGGATAGAAATCCAAACATAAATAAATAAATACCACGTGTACTTCTGCTTGGCAAACCTCAGGACCAGAAAAGACAGGGTGTGGACCATCAGCGGTTGGATCTTCTGACATGTCTTGCTTTGATGAAGAGCCGCTGTGGTCCCCCGGCTGATCAGGGTTGCGGCCTCCAGGGAAGCAGAAAGTTTAACCTCTGCCGCCCCATGGCTCCCGTGCAAAGCGCATGGCCAAGCGGCACATGAGCACTAGCTGCTTCTCCAATACCTCTCCCACAGCAGTTGCGCCATATTGAACCAATGGCCGACCCAGTCTGGATACCGCATTTTCCAGATTGGCTGACCAGATGTTCTTGGGATGCCACCGAAGCAAGGATGAAGGTAAGAGCTACTTCTACTGAAGTTACCCAGCAACTAGTGCGCTAGAAAAGGGCTGGTTAAAATAAAAACCTGAAGGGTGGGAGCACCACAAGAGGAATGAAAGAGCACGTGAAAGAAAGAAACATGATTAGATGGGTCTCCCCCACCCAACACATTTAGAAACACAGAAACAGAGCGAGTCAGCAGGGGCCTCCCAAGCCATCCAGTCTGACCCCCGACTCCAGCCGGCTCCGCTCACCCCATGCCCACCATAATATGTCAATAGTATGCATTCCTGCTACAGAACAAGGAGAAGAAATGGAAGAGTTGACCCAAGGTGCAACTCGGAAGGAATTTGAGCATTTCTTACTCAGCTTCATGAATGAATAAGAGCTTGTATACCATGCCTGGGTACGCGCACAGATTTTGGAAATGATGCCAAAGATGACCAAAGGGCCGGCGCCATCTCCACCCCCAGTCATGCCCGGGGTTGTTTGCTAATCCACAGTGTTTTCAACATCTTCTCTCTCCTGTTTTTAAGTTGCTGCCTTCATTACTTGAAGGGGAGGCACCTCGTAACTTCCACATACCCAGGCCCTGTCAGTGCACACCTGTTCGCCGAATGGCACTGGATCAGACCAAGTCCCTCTAACTGCTTGGAAGACCATCCTGGGCCCTCACAGAGGGGCAGAGTGCAGCGGCTACCAGAACAGGATAGAGCAAATTCAAAGCAGGTCAAATCAGCGCTCCTTTTCCTTTGGAAAGGTTGGCCAAAATCCAGGTGTTCTGCATGGCAGTGGGTCAACCTGGCCAGGTTTGTGGGACACAACCAACAGCATGGCCAAGGGGTCATGGGGCCAGCTGGCCTCTCTCTCTCTCTCTCTCTCTCTCTCTCTCTCTCTCTCTCTCTCTCTCACACACACACACACACACACACACACACCCCCATGACTCTTCTCCAGATATAATGTTGCCAGGGGGACACCTTCCCCCCCCCCCGCCCTCTCTCTCCCTTTCCTAGAAAATGGGAGCAGAAGGAAAGGGAGCAATTTTGCTTGTCTACAGAAAAGATCCAGCTGGAAAACAAACTGCACAGCATCACCACCTTCACATTCTGCCTTTCTTTCTTTGCAAGGAACCCAGGGCAACTTGCGAGGGTCTCCCTCCTCTCCATTTCATCCTCACAACAACCCTGTGAGGAAGGTTAGGCTTAGAGTTTGTTACTGGCCAAAGGCACCCAGAGATCCTCAGTCCCAGTCCAGAATGCACACTGGTCTTTTAAAGATTACAGAGGGCTCCCATCTGGAAATCAGGAAGTTTTTATTGTTATTACTATTATTTTGGGAGGGGAACGGGAAGGGAAGCTGTCTGAACACACCCCAGTTCCTTAACCGGTTAAAGTGTGTGTGTTTCGTTTCAAGATGAAAAAGGTGGAAACAGTGGGGAACTAACAGATAAACACAAACCACGAGGGCAAAGAAATGGTTTCTTTTTTCTGCCAGATCTTGGCATCGCCCAGGAAAAGGTATTCACAGACACCTGGGGCAGAAAAGCTAAAAATTCTGCCGCACAGCTAATACACAATTCACGCTGAGAGCTTGGTGCCTCTCTCTAGAAGGGAATCCCGTGCACTCTTACCTGGAAACACCCCCCCTCCCGCCGGCCAGAAACCCAAGGGGACTTGCTCTTGAGTAGACCTCGATAAATATGCTGCATACTCTTAGAGGCAAAGGATTCGGCGCCCAGGGGCGTCTTAGGAGCGCCACCACTAAGCAGATCTAACCGCCCCAACCCACGCACGAATCCAGCCCTGACTACTTTCTTAAACGTCCTTCAGTTCAGCGATATAATGGCGTGCGGGGGACGGGGGCGTATTTTTGTTAAAAGGTTCGATATTGCAAAGGAAAAATCTACATACATAGCCAGCTACAAATCCTCGGAGAGCGACCAGGAAAGAGATCCAAAACGACTTTCTGCCCAACCCGGATTAAAATAAGCTTATTTTTGACTTCAAATTTATACACCCCTCAATAGCCCGGCAGGACTCCCGAAGTTCGTCCATAACGCTATCTTAAAGGGAAAGCCGTAAGCAGCTGCCCAAAACCACCTGAAAGCGCGACCCTCACTCCACCTCGGGACCAAGGCGAACGGAAGAACAGCGCGGTATAAACGCAACGCAGCAAAAATACTGCTCTTAGCCGTGATGGCGATTTCTCCGAGTGCGGCGGCGTTAAGCGCCGGGCACCGGGAGCGCGAGGGCAGGTGCGACAGAGCCTCCCCGACCAGCGCGAGTCTACCCGGGGCGCGCCCGCCGCCTCCGCGCGCCCTGGATGCCCGCGCGGGGCGCCGCGCCTCCCCACGAGCCGGGCTGGGGACGAAGGCGCCCCGGCGCGATGGGGCCGGGAGGAAGGGGCCCGGCCCCCCCAGGCGCGCTACCCACCTGCGCCAGCGCCAGCTGCAGCGCCCAGAGGAGCGGGCGCGCCGCGCCACGGCCGTTCCACATGCTGCGCCCTCGCCGCTGCCGCCGCCGCCGTCGCCTCCGGGAGCGGAAAGCGAAAGCTGGCACGGAGCCGGCCCGGGCCAAGACAAGCCGAGGGGCGGGCTCGGAAGGGAGGAGGAGACGAAGGGGCAGGGACTAAGCCGGCGGGGTGGTCCTGCAAGCCGCCCGGCGCAGCTCCAGGGCCGGGGAAGGGGGCTTGCCGCGAACGCTGCCTCTGCGCATTGCCAGAGAGCGCCTGGCGAGCGCCTGGAAGCAGATGTCCGCTCAGCCCGCCTCCCGCCCCCGACGCAAAAGGCACACTTGCGGGGCGCAGAGAAAGCACCTGGCAGCTGATATTCCCTCCTTCCTGCCCAGAGAAACTCTGAACGTGCGCAGAGGGCCGCCCCTTTCACGAGCGCTTCCTCCTCGGCAGTGCGGCAGAAGATGCACTGAAAGTTACGGCTGTAACGGCTGCGTCTCCAGGTGCAGCAATGCCCCCGAGCGTGTACAGAGAGCCCCTTTTGCAGTCGCGGTATCCAAGCATCACAAGTACTGGTGGTGACTCTAAGCACGTACAGAAAGCGAGCCTTGCTGTTCCTACCCCCTAAACCAGCAGACACGACAGCTTTCCAGGTGATAGCAAGGTGCCCCTTCTGAGCTAAACATAAAAGACACTCGCAGAATCTCTTTTGGAATC